GACAAAGTGTACCGTCAGCCTCCCGACACCATCAAGTTCACCAGTGTCACGGATTCCCTGGAGATGGTCTTAGCCAAGCATAATGCAGAGACGATGAATAAGGTGAGTCTTGGGTTGTTAAATAACATATCGGCACTCTCAAGTTAAACCTCAGAGGCTAGAAAGAGTTCTAGAAATATATAGATTACCAGTGCACTAATAATGCTGCAGCTTATTCTTCTAAAGTAATGTGTCAGTTTTTTAGATGTTGGTGTTTGTTGATGTGGAAACACAGCAGGAATTGATGCCTGTATATTTACTCAAGTAGAGTTAATATTATAATAAAATAGAATGTAATTCGTGCTGTGTTTTCTGTGATTTTAGCTCTGTGTTCTATGTGTTTTTACAAGTATTCAACATGTTTTGGAGAGCAGCATTAATCTCTTCCTGTATACTTTCTAGCGTTTATACACTGAAGCATGGAATAAAGATAAGACTATGATTCATATCATGCCTGACACACCAGAAATCCTACTATCTAAGCAAAACCAAGTAAACTACAGTCAGGTGAGTAATCTCAAGAGCTGAAAGGATGAAATAATCTATGAGAAGTACAATATTGTCATGTCTCACTTTTCAAATACTATTATAATGTTGTCAATCTGTTTATCTTCACAAGTGGCTAGCTCTGTGGCAAAAATCAAGGCTGTTATTTTGCTATATCTAATTTGCGATTTTAAAATATGTTAGTATATTACAGTAGACTAAATGTTTTTTCCACAGCATGGAAATAAAGAATTTAAATATTAGAATATTCCCTTCTTTACCTTATCCAAATTATTTCCACTTTCTAAACATCTATCATAAAACAGCAGGATTTGGAATCTGTATTTGTTAATATTTTAGAGAAGGTAGAGCCATGTTCAAGCTTTTAAGCTATCTGAGCATTAACAATATCATGTAGGGATTTTTTAACGTAATTGTGCTTAACTGAATATTTTCTGAATTTTATTTTAAAAATTTTAATATTTTTATAACAGAAGATGTACAGACTGGCTTTGGAGGAATCAAAGAAGAAGGGTCATGACTTGCGTTTTGATGCTATTCCTATCCAAGCTGCCAAGGCATCCAGAGAGATTGCCAGTGATGTAAGCAAGCTTTTTATCATGTCTATATGACTTTAGTAATGCAAAACAATCAGAATTTTAGTTCCGTTGTTTCTAATGTAACATCTTGCATTTATAGAATACACGATATTGCCATCTCTACTGAGTCTGCTGTATACCTTTAGTGTATGAAAGGAGTGAGCAGCCTTTATTTTTTATATATGAAGCATATATGAGGTAAACTGCAAAATATATGAAGTGTATTGCAGTAATAAATAGGAAAAATAATCTGAGAATCAATTCTATGCCTACTCAGGTGTTTTGACTGATGCCCTTGGGATATTCAATAAGATGCTCGATCAGGCATATGATTCTGTGATAGAGTTGATTAAGTTCACTTCTAAATCAAAATAGGAAATAAACCGTTTAAAAATATCTCCCTAAAATAAATACATTAGCAAATCAGTGTTAGAAATTCTAAATTGTTGTCTTTTCTATAGAAAAATGCTTTTGATGGGATGTCTTACTGAAATTAATAATGACTGAACACAGAAATAAAAATGTGCAATGATTGTGAAGGTTTCACTTCAGATTGAGTACACATCACTGAGAGTTAGGGGACAGCATTCTTCTTGGGGATTGTTCAATGTTTGCTAAAGGTCCACTTTGTGAATGTGTTTTGTGATAAAGGTTTAAAAAAGGTAGTCTTTACATTTTAATCTTAATATCGAAGGGATTTGGAATGGGAAGTATGTGACATTAAATATTTAGTTGATGGAACGTATGAAACAGTTATACAAAAATCTATAATAAAATATTGCTGATTATGCTGAACTGTATGTACCATTTTTGATTGAAAATTGCACTATGTGAACATAATTGTACTTTATTTCAGTACAAGTACAAAGAAGGTTATCGCAAGCAGCTKGGGCACCATATTGGAGCRCGCAACATAGAGGAYGACCCCAAGATGATGTGGTCTATGCACGTAGCCAAGATCCAGAGTGACAGGGAGTACAAGAAAGCCTTTGAGAAGACCAAGACCCACTTCAGTAGCCCCGTGGACATGCTGGGAATTGTGTTGGCAAAGAAATGCCAGGAGCTGGTCAGCGATGTGGATTACCGGCACTATCTGCATCAGTGGATCTGTCTGCCAGACCAGAATGATGTTATCCATGCTAGGAAGGCCTATGATCTACAGAGTGATGTGAGTGAAATGTTTAACTTGTAATACATAAGGAAATGTATTGTCTTGTAAAAAGTAATTTTAAAAGATACATAAAAAATATAAAATAATTAAAATTGATGCTGTAATATAAATATATAAAATAGACTATAGAGAGTTAGCCAATTGTATGCCAGTTATGCTGTGCATACTCACAATTATTTTAATATTTATTCACATCTGCACATAGCTGATGAACTTTCAAAAATTTTCAGGCTGTATACAAATCAGACCTTGAATGGCTACGGGGAATAGGATGGGTTCCTATTGGTTCCATGGACATCGAGAAAGTCAAGAAAGCTGGAGAAATTCTGAGTGAAAGGAAGTACCGTCAGCCACCTGACCAGATTAAATTTACTAGTGTGACTGATTCCTTGGCCATGGTCTTAGCTAAGCATAATGCTGAGATAATGAACCAGGTAAGTTTTGTGTTTGTTGGTTTTCCTTTGTTTATATATCAATATACTATTATATAATATTTATTTTTATCATGTTACACATTAAGACACTTTATAAAGCAATATATTTTCTTCTTTTCTAGCGATTATACACAGAAGCCTGGGATGCTGACAAAACCTCAATTCACATCATGCCTGATACACCAGCATTTCTGTTAGCAAAGGCCAATGCAGCTAATGTTAGCCATGTAAGAGCATTTAAATATTTAGCAAAATCATTGAAATTCAGTGAAAAGTATGCATTTGTTTAACCATAGAGATCTTCTTTTAAAATGTCTTCTAGTGAAATGTAGAAATTCCCTATTTTTCTGAATGTTAAGCAGGTGTTTTCCGTCTTCTTTTTTGTAGAAACACTATACACAAGCCTGGGATGAAGCCAAAAAGAAAGGTTATGACATGAGAGCTGATGCAATTCCAATCCGAAGTGCAAAGGCATCAAGAGATATTGCAAGTGATGTATGTTCTTCTTCTTCATTATTTCTTAGTCAGTATGTGAAATGGAATTAAATAACAAGCTACATACCATTAAATATTTATGATAAATCTAATTCCTTTTAGAAGGTTTACTTAAGAAGAATGAAGTACAAGATAAAGCACAATTTCCAGAGCTAACATTGCAATGCAATCACTGATATTAGGCTGGATTTAGAAAGTAATAATGTTCTACGAAATATGACAGTATTAAAGAGCAAGGATATATTAATTATTTTCAAATAAATAAATCTCATCTCATGAAATCAATCCATAAGTGATCAGGAAAATATGAAATAGAAAGTTGTGGGAAAACCATTCTTTTCTGTAATACTCTCTTTTACATTGATCAGTACAAGTACAAGGAAACGCATGAGAAGCAGAAAGGGCACTACATTGGGTGCCGCACTGCAAAGGAGGACCCCAAGCTGTCGTGGGCGGCGCGTGTGATGCAGCTGCAGAACGACCGAATCTACCGCAAGGCCTACAATGATTCCAAGTCCCACGTGCACATTCCAGTGGACATGATGTCCGTGCAGGCAGCCAAGGAAKGCCAGWCACTGGTCAGTGATGTGGACTACCGGCATTACCTGCACCAGTGGACGTGTCTGCCTGACCAGAATGAYGTKATCCATGCAAGGAAGGCCTACGACCTGCAGAGTGATGTGAGTGAGAGTCTCTGCACAGAAGCTTTAGGACAGGAGTGGGAGTGCCTGCCTGTCCGTGAGGGGGCAGGCAGCCTTTCATTCATTTCTTCATATCCCTGTAATCAGCTCTTGTTTGTATGTTCTGAATTCATGTGGCTGGTCCCTTCCAAAGCAGTCGTGCTTACAGCATGGGGCCAGAAGTGTTTTGAGCCCTTCCCATAAAAGAGAAATATGGGTTTCAAATGTCATTTTTGGTCTTATAAAAATATGTAATTTGCAGACTTCTGACACTGATTGTCTTGGAGTGTGTAATTTCAAAAGCCCATTGATTTCACTGCTATGAAATCAAGAGATGCAGAAGAGAATGCAGAGGGCCTCATATGCCAGCGTAAATATCGGGAGAAGCAGTTTGGGGAAAGCCTTGGCCAGGCCCTGCCTGTGCCTGCTGTTCTGTCTGCCATGGCTGTGACCCCTGGTTTGTTTGCAGAACGTGTACAAGTCGGACCTGGAATGGTTGCGTGGCATTGGCTGGCTGGCYGAAGGGTCTGTGGACGTGCTTAAGGCAAAGAGAGCCCAGGAGATCCTGAACGACAGACTGTATCGCACACGGCCGGACGCGCTGAAGTTCACCAGCGTCACTGACTCGCCAGATGTGGTCCAGGCCAAGATCAATGCTCTGCAGCTCAGTCAYGTAAGCTCTCTTTYCCTGTGCCTTCCATTTTACGTGGTGCCTTTTTTGTTTTCCTCACTTCTGTGCTAGACCCTACAGTTCTGTTGACATCCTGATAGGGAAAAGCATAAATTCTCTTCACTGTGATTGTTTAGGTTGAAAGAAGTGCAAATTGGCGTTAGCACAGAGTTCCTCTGCACGTGTTTGTCTGGGTGCTTGGTGTGCAGTGTAATGTCCCTGTGTTTTCCTCCTTTTTAGCGCCTGTATCGTGAGGCCTGGGACAGAGACAAGACGCAGATTTGCTTGCCTTCCGACACACCTGACATGCTGCAGTCCAGAGTCAACGCTCAGAACATCAGCAATGTAAGAAAATAACCTTATCCGCATGCAGCATTATTAAGATAGATTCCTTATGGTCGATGACGTGGTAGCCTTCTGTTCTCTTTCATCATCACAGAGGTGCTGAGGTTATTGGTTATTTGTGCAAATGATTAATGATGACTTTGGTACAGGTTGTCCAAACTGCTTCCAAGAGTAAAGGCCACGGAAGAGTTAGCCCCTGTGTCCTTGAGTATGGAGTCCGAGGAGCATTGGGTGTTTCTGACCAAGTAAAGGCACCTCTGTTGTCTCTCAGTGTCACAGACTGAGCCTCTCAGCCTCCCCCTCCATTCCATTTGTTGGTAGAACTAGAAAAGGAGCAGTGAAGAGAGAGGGTCTCTCTAGGGGCTGTCAGGAAGCTTCACAGCTCATTGCATTTAGGATACTTTTTGTCAGGTAGAAGAGTTGTTTTCCATCAGGAGGTCAGGCCGTGCAGCCAGGTGTTTGAGATCAGAGCCCCTCCCAGTTAGAGAGTCCTGCTGACCTCCAGGTGCAGCAGCATGTAGGGGCACAGCTGACTCTTTATCTTGCCTGTTTGAGAAGCAAATGGTAAATCTGTGCCCATGGTCTGCTTAGCGGGGTGCTGTTGGGAGTTCTTCAGGCACTTCTTTTCATGTTTGGGGTTTTGAGCCTGTGTTACTTTTAAGCCTTGAATTTTCACTAAAGAAACTGATAACATTCCACTCTGTACCTTTCATAGTTATGGGGGGGCAAATAAGCCACCCAAGCAGTAGATTCGCAAGACCGTAGGCTTTAAGCCAAAAAAGAACCAATTCCTTTTCCATTGTGTCTACTAGATGTAAAATGGATGCTTGATTTTGATTGCAGAAACACTATCAGAAGGACTGGGACGAGGCCAAGGCCAAAGGGTATGACTTAAGAGCTGACGCCATTTCCATCAAGCATGCCAAGGCTTCCAGAGACATTGCTAGTGAGGTATAGTCGTCCTGAAAAGTTCTGTTCTGAGTGTCTGTGTGTGTGTCAAAGTGAGCAGAACTGAGAGAGGTGTTCAGTTCAGCTAGAAGCAGTCCAGTGTTTTGCCTCCGTGCGTTACTTTGAAACTGCAGTGAGTCTGTCTGTCTTTCTGTTGCGCGAGAGCCTAGAACTTGCCTGTTGTTAAGTGCTCTGTGTGATGCCTTTGTGAACTTGCAAGGAGTGCTCAGTAACGAAGTGTTACCTGTCAGATACCATCTGTAAAATCGTACAATCAATAAGGTAGGAAGGGACCTGTTGAGATCATCTAATCAAACTCCCCTGCATCCTCAAGGGAGTCACCTAGAGCACAGGGCTGCATCTGGGAAGGGTTAGGAAGATCTCCAGAGAAGGAGACTCCACAACCTCTCTTGGCAACCTGTTCCAGGACTCTGTCGCCCTCACTTGCCAAGAAATTTTACCTTAAGTTCCTTGGATCTTCTGGTGCTTCAGTTTGTGGCCGTTTCCTCTAGTCCTTTCAGTGGCCACCACTGAAAAGAGGCCACCCCATTCTCCTCACTCCCTCCCTTGAGGTATTTGTAGACACTGATCAGATTCCCACCCCCCTCAGCCTTCTCTTCTCCAGGCTGAACAGGCCCAGCTCTCTCAGCCTTGATCAGTCCAGGCCCCCAATCATTCTCATAGCCCTGTGCTAGACTCTTTCCAGTAGTTCCACATTCCTCTCATTCTGGGGAGCATAGAAGTGGACATAGTGCTCCACGTGTGGCCTCACCAATTACAAATGGTTTTGTAATCACCTCTCTGTGAGGGTGTGAAGTGAGGCTGGTGCTCAGAGTGCAGAGGTGTGCATGTGACATGTGCAGAGGCTTCTGCTTCACTGTCATAGGAAAAGCCAGCCATACTTTTCCAGAATCTCTGATTTGTCACCCATGTTACCGTGAGAAGTGTGTGACTATTTGCTTTCTTCTTACATTGATCAGTACAAGTACAAGGAAACGCATGAGAAGCAGAAAGGGCACTACATTGGGTGCCGCACTGCAAAGGAGGACCCCAAGCTGTCGTGGGCGGCGCGTGTGATGCAGCTGCAGAACGACCGAATCTACCGCAAGGCCTACAATGATTCCAAGTCCCACGTGCACATTCCAGTGGACATGATGTCCGTGCAGGCAGCCAAGGAAGGCCAGWCACTGGTCAGTGATGTGGACTACCGGCATTACCTGCACCAGTGGACGTGTCTGCCTGACCAGAATGATGTTATCCATGCAAGGAAGGCCTACGACCTGCAGAGTGATGTGTGTATATTTAGGGATATGGGAAATACTACTCTACTATTTTTGCTCTTTAGAATATTTTATTCCCCATTGCATTGTTTGGTCACAAAGGATTTATCTTAATATTACTTTCTTCAATTTTTCGTTTTTTTTATGTCCTTTGAATATTATGGATTTTTTTTCTGAATTCATAAAATCTTTGATAATAGTATCTACTGTGTTACTGTATGCCCTAAGAAGCCATGGCTTGGAAATGATGAAGGATTTGGCTGTCTCGATTGGACCTCTGAGATAGCAACTCTTTTTTTTATCTTTGGAATCAAATGGCTTTTTCTACTGTATGAAGATTTTCTTGAAAATTTATTTAATGAGCAGGAAGGCTGTATAAGGCAGCATATTATCTGTTGCAGTGGCTGGTAACATGAAAATAGTGATTATTGCAAGCTGATTTCCTTTCTTGGTTTTGCTGTTTGACAATCAAAAGTCATTCTTCTTCTTGCTGTTTAACAGTCAACAGTCATTCTTCTACTGTTTCCCCTTTGGAATTAGATAATGTTAGAATGTTCCTTGGTTTTGCTCCATTGAAATTTATATAATGTGATACTAGTTTAGGAGTTATGCTGTGTACCCGTAGTCCTCATTTTCTCCATAACATTTTACTCCACTTACCATTTTTAACAGCCATTTCTTCCCCCTATATTTACATTTATAAGTTTTAAAATTTTAAAGAAATTAGCTATTTAAAATCAATCTCACAGGTTGTGTTTTGCTTATGGCATTGGTCTTGTATATTACAAGTATTCTAGCTCATGTGACATTTTCTAGAACACATACTGCTTAATACAATTTAAAATAAGTAATACAGACCTTTAAAAAAAATCCTTTTTTTTTTTAATTGACCGTTTCTGATACAGGCTGTCTATAAGTCGGACCTGGAATGGCTCCGTGGAATTGGTTGGCTGCCAAATGATTCTCCTGATCTAAAGAGAGTGAAGCATGCCCATGATCTCCTGAGCGACAAAGTGTACCGTACACCTATAGACAGCATGAAATTCACCAGTATTGTTGATTCTCCAGATGTTGTTCAAGCTAAAGTTAATGCTGAACAACTCAGCATCGTACGTAGCAACTTTTTTATTATTATTTTTTTCAGGGCTAAAAGGAAATAAGGAGAAATCTCACTGCTGAAATATAAAATCAAACAGTTGTATTTTAAGACAATTTTAGTGTTTCTCTAGGTATTTTATTTTTTAGAGATAATAATTCAGGATGGATAAATGTATTTTTATGTTACTGACAAGTGGAAATAGCTCTGTATTTACAATATAATAAACTATTTTAACAGTCAAAATATAAAGAAGCCTGGGAAAAGGACAAGACCATGGTACGTATGATGGCAGACACACCTGCAATCAACCTAGCCAAGACTAATGCTCTTCATTATAGCCAGGTATGCATATTATTCTGATTTATTTCATTTTTATGAACTGGTATTCTGTGAATTTTAGCTTTCTAAGAAATTATTTTTGAACTCCTGGATAAAGGTGTATTCTCATTGTAGTCGGTCCTCACAGAGGGCTTGCAGCATTGCCATCCAGGTGCTGAGGCTTTTTTACAGTATTTAGACATTTTAAAACAAATGCTTGCATTCAGGTATTTAAAAATCATTAATATAATGCATCACCAACATAGTGTTTTGTTGAATTGTAAGAGATCCTAAGGCATATAAATATTTACTAAATTTATACAGACACCCTCTGCAGTATAGCTTGCAGAACCTACATTACAGGTACTGGACATGTTTGAAAGGGAGTAAGATTCATAACACTTTTTTTGGCAGAGAGCAAGAGGAAAACAAAATCATGTGTAATTCATCAAACAAATAGCAGTAAACTATTTGTTCCTTTAATGGCAAATGCCATTTTATTAAGTGTTTTATTTATAATAAACATCATTTATTAAGCATGGCATTCTTCTGTTTTTTCAGAAACTGTACAAAGAAGCTTGGGATGAATTGAAGACAAGTTATGATTTGAGAGCAGATGCAATCCCCATCAAGGCAGCCAAAGCTTCCAGAGAAATCGCTAGTGATGTAAGTGCAAAAAGAGACATGTAGCTCTTCACAAGCTTCTCAAGAGCTATTTCATGATAAGTATTAGTAATTGTCATCTTCCCAAGAGCTATTTCATGATAATTATTAGTAATGGTCGTCTCTGTTCTTTACCTCAGTATAAATACAAGTTGGATCACGAGAAACAGAAAGGACATTATGTTGGAGTTCCAAATGCCAAAGCAGATTCGAAAATGCAGTTTGCCCTGGGCATAGGCAAGGTTCAGAGTGAACTGGAGTACAAGAAGCACTTTGCCAAATGGAAGACCCAGTGCCACCTACCACCTGACATGCTCGCCATCCTGTCAGCCAAGCATGGTCAGTCTTTAGTCAGTGATGTCGATTATCGTCATTACTTGCATCAGTGGATCTGTCTTCCAGATCAAAATGATGTCATACATGCTAGGAAGGCCTACGATCTTCAGAGTGATGTAAGTTAGCTCAATTTCTTAGTTTATCTTACTACTTTCTTCTCTATTATTGGCCTGCTTCAGTTCTAGCTGATGTTAGTGGGTATCTTTGGTTGAATGGCTGGCTTTGCGTTTTATTAAGAACATGTAGTTTATACCACTGTTATTTGTTGGAAGGTTTGAGGTGTGATAAATTTAGACATAGTGCTGATATTGGAAGTGTTGCTTTCCTTTTAAGCGGTAGCAGTAAATGTCGTTATTTCTGAGAATTGCTGGATCATATAGGAGTCAACATGGGCTCTGTTTTGTCTTCTCAGGCTGTTTACAAGTCTGATTTAGAATGGCTGCGTGGGATTGGATGGTTGCCAAATGACTCAGTTGGGCTCAACCATGTCAAACATGCTGGAGACCTCTTGAGTGAGGTAAAAAAGTAGTAACATTTTTTCAAGGATATTCTTTATTTTAAGTGTTTTAGTGCTTAAATACGTGAATATTTCATTTATTTTTATTATAAAAATATAACTGCAATAATTCTACTGTCCAGTATCCTAGTGTAGAGATTTTCTTTCCATGTAGTTTTTTTTCCTCTCCATATTCAGAATTGCTCTGTTAGCTATTAATTACTCTGATCTGATTGTAATTTTGTCTTTTTTTCTCTTATACAGAAAAAGTACCGTACAAAAGCTGAAACACTTCCATTTACTGCTGTGGCAGACAGAGTTGATTATATCACAGCAAAAAATAGTGGTGCAATCCTTAGTGATGTAAGTCTCCTGGCATATTTTCAGACTGTTAACTTAATCTTCATGTTTACATTGTAAGGTTTTATTGATACTAAGAAAAAAAGGATTAATACAAAGGAGTTTAGAAACAGTTTCCAGAAATTCTGACTTATTAGGCAAGAAACTCCTAAGTAGAATAACATCTTGCACATTGTTCTTAGAGATATGAAAAGCCATTGCTAGTTGTGCAATCAGTCCCTTCTTTCAGTCTTGCTTGATATCACAGACGATGACTGAGAATGTGATGAATTTTAGTATTGTCAGTAGGATTGTCTTTCAGTTTTGCTAGTCAATGTGTGTATTAGTGTTGTTGTCAAGGGAAGACTGCATGTATATAGCGGCCTCTACTCTGGCAACCAACATTTGCTTACACCAATATGAACTTGCCCACTTTTTAGCTTTCTCTGTGTTACTGTATTGTATTATTATAGTGTTGTCTCATGTAAACATGAGAAAAGCTGGCGTGCAATTATCTTGCCCTTCACAATATCGTTTTGAGAACTACCCTGTGAGTAGCTGCGATCATGAAATGTCATGAGTTGCCCTCAGTTTATGAGTTTGTGCTTATTTTCAATATGCCTCCCACTGGACAAGAGGGTGAACCCAACTCTTATATTAAGTCAAACGCTGGTAAAAGGATGACGCAGACAATGATCCAGCAGGCAGGCTGCCATGCAGGCATACACAAACATTTGGGCACGTCCTGTATTTGGGAATATGACACGGAGTGTGTGTGTGTGTCTGTGTGCACATGCATGTTTATGTGACTGGGAGGTGCTAAAATGCTGTATTTACTTAGATATCATGCTGAGTAGAGAAACAGGAGATTCCGCCTTCAAATGCCTGAAATGTGCTGTTCTGCTTCAAACACTTTTTGCTGTAGCTGGGCTATTGGCTGTTGATCTTATTAGACCAAACGGCCAGCCTAATTTTGGCTGCTAGGCATTTGTCCCTATCCATCCAGCCATACTGAAACAAGCTTTCAGAATTTCTCTGACAAAATTTATAATTTCCTTTCTTGTATAACTTCATTTTATTAATATATCCATTTGGATGCATATTGGATGTGTCATATCTAATTATTTTGAAAATTCATTTTTCTGCAATATTGGGTTTGATGTTTTGCAGATGTTGTGACGATATTGCAATCATGCATTTTTGTGTTCTAGATTAAATACCACAAAGAGTGGAATGATGTCAAGTGCAACTACACTCTGACAGATACACCACAGCTAGATATGGCCCGAGAGGCAGCCAGAATTCTCAATCAGGTATGTTCTTTCTTTGACAATTTATAGTCACATTAGTAGCTCTATAGGGCAACTTACAAAACTTGCCTTGCTGAGAACAGCCTAACGGAAGAGTTTGTTTTCCTTACACTTTAGTATAGGTCACATAAACACAGTAATAACCATGATTATAGTAGTTGTGAATTCCTTCTCGCTTTTATTTTCCACAGAATTTGTACAAGGAAAGTTGGGAGAAAGAAAAAGCCACTGGTTACCTCTTACCTCCTGACAGTGTGCAGATACGTCATGCCAAGCACTCCCATGAAGTCCAAAGCGAGGTAATGATTTTTTCTTCTCCAAATAGGAAGGGAATGCTTGGAAGCCTTGGAAGGTTAAAAGCCTTGCAAATTCAACACTAGTGTTATAGTAATCAGGAGAGCTTTCGTAACTCATGAAATTCACTCCAAATAATTGTTCTACCTGCGATATTTTGTGTTTTGTGAGTAACAGTGCTTAATGGTCAGATTCTCTTTTCCGTCTTCACCTTGTGCCAAAAAAACTAACTATAGACTTTCATGTTCTATCTATTTTAAATAATTGAAATGATATGCTTATAATGTATAATTCTAGTTATACTTTTTGGAGTTTTCTTCCTTGAAAAACTTTTAAATGATATTCATATTGCATTCTAAAGTTTTGCATAGTGGGTATTGAAATTATTACTAATGGCATTATTGAAGCTATTGAACGTACATCTTAACAAAATCATGGTGCAGATACTTTCAGTAAACTGCCAGTCCTTAGACAATCTCAAGTAATTTGTTAGAAAAATTGGTTACGGATGTTAAGTGTATTTTTTATCAAGGCTTCCCTCGTGTTGAAAAATACTGCTTACTAAAAATCTTAGCATATTAATCTAAAGAATTATGTATTTTGAAGTTGAACACTACTTAACATTACTTTTTGTATCATAACATTTTTTTATTTGGTCATGTGCTGAAAAATAGAGATAGCAGTTGACAAGTCCCTATCTCAATAACAAGATCTCAATCTGTCCTTTCTGTTGACAAAAACACAGCTTTTCACAGGTTAAAAAAAAAAAACAGTAGGCGCAATCTGTGTTGATTTTTATGTATTTCTCCCCTTTTCCATCAGCTTAAATACAAAGCTGACTATGTGAAACAAAAAGGTCACTATGTAGGAGTTCCCACCATGAAAGATGACCCCAAGCTGGTGTGGTTTGCGCATGCAGGCGAGATCCAGAATGACAGACTGTACAAATCAAATTATCACAAAACTAAATCCAAAATTCACATTCCTGTGGATATGATGTCGGTTACGGCAGCCAAAGAATGTCAGACCTTGGTCAGCGATGTTGATTACCGCCATTACCTGCATCAGTGGACGTGTCATCCTGATCAGAATGACTGTATTCAGGCAAGGAAGGCCTATGATCTGCAAAGTGATGTAAGTGATTTTATATACATGCTGTGTAATACACACCATGTTTAGACCAAGCGTATTGTCTGTCATGCATAAGACTGAAAATTGTCCCCTGGAGTAAGTAATTTCTTTCAATTTCTTTTTGCTGTTCAGAATATTTACAAATCTGATTTGGAATGGCTTCGAGGTTGTGGCTGGATTCCTCTGAATTCGGTGGAACACAAGAAAGTTAAGCATGCACAAGAGTTGATAAATAAGGTGAGAAAAAATATTATAGCGTTGATGACTGGCTCTTATTTCACATGCAAAATATTTAAGAAAATTTTTCATCTCTTTGCAGAGAGCATATACAAAAGCAGCTCTTGACAACTTCTCCAAATATACAAGTGTGGTTGACACTCCAGACATTGTTTTGGCAAAGATTAACTCTGTCAATCAGAGTGATGTATGTACTTCTGTTTTTTTAAGAGAAAACTGTTACAATAGTAGGCTTAGTAAATGACTACTTTTCTAGATTATATATTAAGCAGTGTTTATGTATGTATGTTTGCATGTGTGTGCTTCATTAATACTGGGCTTAAGAGGGTAAATAAGATTCACAGTAAAAGTAATCAAAGTGAATAACACAATATCAATCCAAAATAACTTTGTATTTTGTTCTGTAGAAGAGTATTGGATATCCCTTATTTAGAATTAACGTAGATTGTGCATATAGTCAATTAAAATTGAGTCTTGTTCAAAACAAATTGCAGTATATTTTACATATAATAACAATAGCTAAGTTTATGGCAGTGCTACTAATGTTTGCTGATCAGGATATTTAATTTCACTAGAATACTGTGTAGACTTCGTGGTATGATGTGCTCATGGCATTTGCCCGCATACAGTAGGGGTTGGAAGGTGCAGCCAGCATCACATGCTGGCTGTGATATACATGACAATATAACCAAAGATAAAGGTCTGCTTCTGACAGAATGATTGGGCTACTTTATTTCTCTTCTTCTGGGAGTTAACACAGTATCTGTTTATCTGTTTTCTGTTTGTTCTTTTTTTTTTTTTTTTTTTTTTTTAGTTTACTCAAGCAGAAGACGACAAGTGACTGGAGCTAAGAACTGGACTTCAGACGTGTGCTCTTCCGATCAGTCCTGAATTATGGAACTGCAGACATTAATATGATGCAAATATTTGAAAGCTCCAGTGGAGAAAACCAGCCTTTTTTTTTTTTTTTTTTTTTTTTTTTTTTTTAGCTGAAATACAAAGAAACATTTAATCTGGAGAAAGGCCAGTACATTGGATCTGATGACACTCCTGAGCTGAACCATGCCAGAGACATGTCCTTACTGTATAGCGATGTAAGATTTGTTAAATATCTACGTTGTTTTATGTTTGCTTGTTTGTTTTTTGAAAATAATGCTAATTACAATATTAAGCAGTTACTTAGGAGTAGTCTCATTAATTTTACTATGAAATATCTATTTTTGAAAATGTAATGACTGTAAATAGGTACTTTATAGTTTAATCTACATGTAAATATATTTAATATTAAACATATGTGATTATTTATTAGGAAAATACTTCCATAGAAAATACAGTAAACAGTCGTAAAAGTAGCCAGGAATTTTTCACAAGTTTTAACATATTTGTTTAAAGCAAGAATTTGCATTTACGTTTTAATATTTTTGTTAAACTTCTGGATGAGCGCTGTCAAATGCAAGATTACCATTAAAGAGATCAAGTTTAGTGAAGAAAGCAGAGAACAGTTTGCATTCACATTAAATTCCTTTCCTGAGTTGGCACACTAGTTCTGGTTCTCTTACTGACACTAAACAGTTGGAATCTTTTACATTTTTACATTTACTTTATTGGGACTGTTCTTGGAGCAAAGGACTACTGTATAAAAGCAGTCATATCCCATGTGAGTAAAAATGGTAGATTCAGACTTTAAATATTTTGTTAGTTTGTAATATTATTGTAATATTAATTCGTTTGTTGGAAACTAAAATGTTCTTTTTTTTCTCAAAACCTGTATGTGTTTTGTTCACTTAGAAACTTTATAAAAATGCTTGGGAAATCAGTAAACCCATTGGGTATACTTTGGATGAGAAATACATTCCTCTTGTTGGAGCTAAGCATGCAAATTACATTAATAGTGAGGTTAGTATAAATTTTCCATTCTTTCTCTCTTTTGCTATGTGTTGTCAGAGTGAGTTTAACCATTGTTGCATAAATATTTTGCAGCTTAAATATAAGGAAATTTATGAGAAGCTGAAAGGCCATTACCTGGCTGGGAAGGATATTGGTGACTTCCCCGGTGTCGTTCACTCGCTAGCATTCCAGAAAATGAGGAGTGCGGTAAGGAGAGAATTAATCTTCCTCTAATATTTTCCCTTTTCAGTATTTTACTTACTCATATTACACATAAATAATGTCTTTAGAATAAAAATTGTAGTAGTAGTAATAGTAGTAGTAGTACTATTTTCAGTACACCTGTGTTTCTTGAATTCTTGTTTTGTACCTGGGTTGCATAATTGAACTTGAAATGCTTTAGGACATGAAGAAGGAAATTATTCAGTGATTAGACATATTAGAATAGGATAAAAATACTTTCATCTATTTGATTGTAAGAATCTGAGCAGTAAGAAGTACCATATGCCTTGGTATACTTCTGCTTTATTAAAAAACTGTCAGTTTTGTTTCAGATTTGTATTTAAATGTTATTTAAATGTTCTGTTATCATCACTGCACCACAACCTGTTTAGCATGTTGTGCTGGGCATAAAGTTATTCTGCTTCCAGAAAATATCTTCACTTGCAAAGATTTCACTAAACTAAAACCACATTTTGACTTCTTTTATCTTGGAGTCTTAGAAATTTTTACACCAGCTATCTAGTCTGCAGAAGGTCATTCTTGCAGCATCCCATTAGAGTAAAGGGTGGTTAAATACTAAGTCTTCTCATTTAACATTTTCTTCTACTCAAGCCTATGAGAGTCCAGCCATTAATTCCCTAAACTATGCCTCAGATTATTAACCTCTATCCTGTTAGAGAAAAGCATTCCAGTGAGAGAAAAACGTTATTGTTCTTCTTACTTTCTCCCCAATCTTTTCTTTTCTAGTTGGCATACAGAAAGAACTATGAAGATACCAAAAAAAATGTCCATATTCCAAGTGACATGATGAATCATGTGCTAGCTAAAAAATGCCAATATATTCTCAGTGATCTAGAATACAGAAATTACTTCCATCATTGGAATTGTTCACCTGAAGAAAACGATGTTATTCAAGCCAGAAAGGCCCAGGAGATTCTGAGTGATGTATGTATGAAATTTCATTTATTTAACATCTTACTACCATTTTATGTTGTTTTCTAAAGGTATTTAAATATGAAATACTTTCAAGTATTTTCAAAGTATTTGAAATTGTTACGCGTATTCCTAAAGTGTACAGTAGACCCTGTAGCAAAAATTACATTTTTAGAATTTTCTTTGGGACATTTTAATGCTCTGGTAATTTGGTTTAGTTTCACTTGTAAATTTTGTAGGAAAAAAAAAATCATTCAGGTTAACGATGAGATAGGCTAGTGTTCTTGTGCTTGTATATAAATGTCCAAATAGTTTGTAGTTACTGAATGAGCTTGGATCAGATTCAGTGGTAATTTTCTGCTTTGCCTTTGCACCAGAGAATACTGCAAGGAGAGAAGAAACATATTCTACTTTCTTTAAACAGAGCGATTATCTTCTGAACTGATTAGTCTGTTTCCCTCATGCAGGTGATATATAAAGATGACTTGAATTGGCTGAAGGGAATTGGATGCTATGTCTGGGATACTCCACAAATCCTGCATGCTAAAAAATCATATGATCTCCAGAGCCAAGTAAGCATATTTTCCTCAAATAAATAAATACCTGTAAGAATGTCTTCCATTTATTATTTGCTGGGACTGATGTTTCCCCCAGTCCAGAGCAGAATGATATAATTCCTGTTACATCAGAATTTTTTTTTCAAAAACTGTATAATACTGTTCTTCAGTTTGATCTCTAGAGACTCCATCCACTTTCATTATGGAGGGAACAGAAAAACTAGAGAAAAGGCCATCACAGTTTTGATTTTTAACAGTGAAAAGATCTGTGCACAGTATGGCTCAGGGAGATATACACATAGTGTATACATGTATACATGATACACATGTATACATGATGGTATCTCTTGACTTGTTGGGAATACTTCTAGCCTACTATGCAGTGATATGTAATTTTCAGAATGCTTCAGTCCATACTTGTTATATATTCAATATTTCTACATTGCCTATCACCTTTAAGAATCTTCTTGACTGGCGCTTCAGTTGTTCAGAACTGTTAAGGAAGCTGACAGATAATTTCTTGGTCGTTTCTTTATCATTGATGTTTTGTTTGTTTGTTTGTTTCTCTAGATAAAATACACAGCTGCAGGAAAGCAGAATTTTCAGAATTTTGGTGTTGTTACTGATACACCTCTTTATGTGACTGCAGTGCAGAGTGGTTTAAATGCTAGCGATGTGAGTCTCTCCTCGTTTTTCTCCTCATGTTTCAATTCTCGGGAGCAAAGGGAAAAGCAAGTTCATTAACTCTCTTTTGCCCTGCAGGTGGTATACAAAGCAGATTACCACAAAACTAAGGACAAGTATACGACTGTGACTGAAACAGTGGATTCTGAAAGGGTCCAAAATTTGAAACATCTTTTTAGCAATGTAAGTGCTCTGTTTTATTTTGTTTTTTTGTTTGCTTCTCTTCAGTATGTGAGTGTGGGGGACTTTTATTTGTTCATTTTGTTTGAAGATAAGCTCCCAGATACAGAACTTACTAAAGCCAGTGATAACCTTCTGCGTTGCTTCAGTGTGGTGCTGGTACTGTATTTCATAGAAGGGGCGTATTTCCTATCTGTAGTTCAAGTTTTGTTAAAATGCATACATTAATAAATGTATTCCCTGAAGAAAAATGTACCAGAAACAAGGCCAATTCTTATATGAGATTGAACAAAAAAAACCCGTATAAATGGCCTTTTGTCACCCTTCATGTATACTTTTAAGTCCGGTAGGAGAATATCCTAAATAAGTAAATTAATCTCTTGATGTCAGGTAATAGTGTCTAAATAAAAAAGGAGGTCTTTTGGTTTCTATTACATTGAGAAGAATTTTCAAACTCACAGAGACTTTATTTCTCTATAGAATCTCTACAAGGAAGCCTGGGATAAAGTGAAAGCTACTGGCTATATTTTGCCCTCTGATTCAGTCTCCTTAGCACGTGCAAAAGAACTGAAGCATAATGCTAGTACAGTAAGTGAATAAAATATATATATTTTTTAATCAGATGATTATTTCTGGCAGTGAAATCCTGCATGCCTTGCATATGCCATAGGTATCAAAATGATTCTTAAAGTTGTCTTCTATGTTTAATTTTAAATACCATGCATATCTTTGGATAGAAAATTTTCAGTGATAATCACTTGAATAACAGTTAATAGTGCTTTGCTGCTTCTTTACATGGTGGAAAAATCCACATTTTATAGTAAGAGAAATCATTTCTTGAAAATACTGGTTGAGTTTTTTCAGGTCTATGTTTCATAAATGTCAAGGTCACAGAAAGCACTAAGTTTTATGTATTTTCTTAAGTTATGCTTTTCTGAGCATAGATTAATGAAACATACTTTAATGAACAGAAGCTTAAAACAGGTCACCATCTTCATAGATACCTTTAAATGAAGGAGCTGGAACAAAAGAGAAATAAATTGTTTATTTCAGCTTTTTTATTTAAAAATCTCCTGGCATCTATTGTTATTTTTTATAGCATAGTTATGGCATGTTTTCCTTGCAGTTTTAATAAAATAGAAAACTACAATCTTGCTCTGAAGAGCTTTCTCTGCCTTTCTCATATAATTTGACCTTAACTGCATTCTTTACTCACTGATGAATTTGGTTCCAAAAAATGATGTTATTTTGTTTGGAGTAAGTTATTTTGTTGCCCTTTTTTGCATGTGCTTAGGTAAAATATCGTGAAGAATATGACAAGTTTAAAGCGCTGTACACACTACCCAGAAGCGTTGAGGATGATCCCAACACAGCAAGGTGCCTGAGAGTTGGAAAGCTTAACATTGATGTAAGTAATTTTTAATGTATATTTTCCTCAGAAAGTTGTACTTATCTTATAAGGGGATATTCAAAGAACCACATTTATTCTCCCAGATAGCATATTTCAATATGCATTTGGCAGTGTTCAGTATTTGTTAAATACTGTATCACACTTACAAAGGTGTTTTTTCAAGTTTCTGACTCGGCTGTTAAATCATCTGCACATTAAGCCTTTAATATAAAATGAGTATGTTTAAAACAGGATACTGCTTAGTTTTCATGAGTCCCGTGAAAAGCTGACAGATCTTATTTTAGCAATCATTAGTATGATTGGCTGTGAGGTTCCCTGTCTGCAAATTATTTTTAGATTTTTTTAAGCAAGCAAGTTTTGAATTTTAGTCATAACCATAGTGATGGCTTTTCAACAACCGTTCCATGAAAATGGAATTCTTGACTTCAGCAAAATTTGTCAGCATGTATTTTTAAGTAGTGAATGCTTTGAATATTTACCAGCATCATTAATGTATTGTTTATACTCTGCAGCGCCTGTACAAGGAAGTCTATGAAAAGAATAAAACCAAAATCCACATTATTCCAGACATGGTAGACATAATTGCTGCCAAAGATGCACAGAAGAAAATCAGTGAAGTTGATTACCGCACACATCTTCATGAGTGGATTTGTCTACCAGATCTTCAAATCAATGCCCATGTTCGAAAAGTCACTGATCAACTTAGTGATGTAAGTATGCAAATAATATATTCCTGGCTCACTTTTAAAAAGAATTTTTTATTTATGCTGTTAGAGGAAATGACTTTGAAAAAAATCACTTAGTTAAACTGAAACATTGAAGAAAAATAAGGTAAGTCATTTCAAAGTAATTGCTTTGATTTTCTCAAACCAAAAGAAAATCAAAGTAGTAGAGACCTTGCTTGCTGTGGGTGGCTGTTTTAGACTCACTTTAGCTGTAAGAGGTTAGATCATAGCGGAAGTCCCTCTGCTGATTGTTTCTTTATTCTTATACCGTAGGTGGTGTATAAGGATGATCTCAACTGGCTGAAAGGCATTGGCTGCTTTGTCTGGGACACTCCTGAAATTCTCCATGCTAAGCACGCATACGACCTTCGCAGTGATGTGAGTCACAGCTGGTTACATTAGTCCTGCTTCTTAATTTTTTGATTTTTTTTTCACACTATTATATGAAATGGATATGTGATATGGATATGGATAATGTGAAAATAGTGAATGATTTATCTAGTCCAAATATAATTTGCAAAAATGTTATATATCTTTCTCTTGAATTTCTTTCTGCAGATTAAGTACAAATCTAATGCAGAGAAAATGAAGAATAGATACACTGTGGTCATGGACACCCCCCTCTATGTCCAGAATGTCCTCAGTGGCATGAATTTGAGTGAAGTAAGTGTTTGTATCACATCTCATTTACAGTATTACATACACCATTACCTTAGAAGTTCAGAAAAGTAACATTTAATATTTTTAATTATTTCTTGCTGATACCCACAACTCATTGCCTATGCCATTATAAAGATAAAGAACACAATCAATACAATCAATAAATTGCCTAAATAAGAAAAACTGATTTTTTTGATTTTTTTTGAAAGATATTCCTATAAGTGTGCAAATAATATGTACAGTGAGAAACAATGACTATTATGACTCTCCTCTATTTTTTTCCCCTTTCTCAGACTATCTATCGTGGTGAATATTTACAAAACATCAAAGGCAAAATGACCCCTACCGATAAAACAGTAGACTTGGATCGGGCAAAGCATGCACACAAAATACAGAGTGAAGTAAGTATAAAAATTCTATTTCTAGCAGGATACCAAAAGCAATAGGCACATTTTTCTCCTGTATGATTGATGCAAGTTCCTAGTTCTTCTGCATCTTTTTCTTTTTGCAAGTCCAGAGACTTCTCTTATATTCAAGAAGCAAATTATTTAAAAATTAATGTCTTCTTGTAGCTTTTCAGATAAAAAAGCCAGAAGCTTTAAAAATGGAGTGGGAAGATGTCCTCATTTAATCTAATCCAATATCCAATTTGGATAATGGATATCTAATTATTTAGAAGTTTGGGAAATATTTTGCCAATTGTAAATACTTCCATACAGCTGTTGAGTAGTCTCAGCTATTTCACATGATTCTCATAAACCCTCTCTCCTTGCAGAATTTGTATCGCTGGGCTGGTTTGAAAGCTTTGCCTACTGGATACAGTCTTCCTGCAGATACTCCAAACTTTCAGCATGCTAAACATGTCCAGTACATTGGCAGTGATGTAAGTAATGTCCTTCTGCAACATGATTTGCAAGGCAATATTGCAAGGAATATTTTCAAGGGAAGTTTTATATTGAGCACAGTTGTTTGAGACATTAAGTTATTTCTCAGATATGAGACTGAATGTCAGAGAGGAATGCAGGTAGGACAGTTCCACGTTGGTGGATGAACTGAGGGTGCCCATGACAAAGGCAGTATCCTAAGCAAGCAGGGTACAGTCCTACACTATCTAGGAGATATTGGGCAGAGCAGGTGTTGATAACAAGTAGCATCAATAGTCCCAGACAAAATAGGTGTGGAACCAGATTCAGGAGCCATCCAGGGGGATCCAGTCAGGAGACGCAGGAAACAAGGCCAGAGACAAAATGGGAAATAAGGATGCAAGGTCCAAGGTATATCCAGAAGACAGGGTTAGAACCATAATTAGAGGCAAGCTAGCTAAAATGTAGGTAAAACCTCCATCCAGGAAATGAGGCTAGAGATAGGGCTGCATATAGATCCATTTACAGCACATAGCAGGCAAGGACTGAGGCCCCAGGTTAAACTGGGCCAGGCAATTAAGACCTATTAGTGCATTCCAGGCCCTGCCTTTGATTATGTTTGTCTTAACAGAATTTAAATGTTACTCCATTGTTATCTGAATAAATTAATTTCAATATATAATTTTCCTCAGCTACTAATATTTTATTAGATATGGGAAAAAAAAATATTTACCTTAGGCCACATTATAAAGATGAAAATAATGGTGATGCCCAGGTATTTTAAAGACTCTGATACTGCTAAATCTCACTTAAGTGGCTCTAAAATTTATTCTTTATGCTGCATAAATTACTTCCAGAACTACAGAGTAAATAAAATCACAAGCAAATTCAACTTTTGTGGGTTTTTCTTCTATCTAAAAATTTCTTTTTCCATTTTGTAGCTGAAATACAAAGAAGCCTATGAACACATGAAAGCTAAAGGCTATACTCTGGGACCTAAAGATGTTGGGTTTGAAAATGTAAAGAAAGTGAATCAAGTCATTAATGAGGTACAGTAAATATATATGTAAGGCAAGGGATCGCTGATCCAAACTTGGAGTTGATCTGCATGGCTTTTTGAACTTCAACCCCAAATTTCTATACTCCTATAAAACTGTTACCATAAAAGTTATATAGAAATTATTGTATCTTTATGCCAGTGGGTCTGTATATTTTTAGGTCTACAGACTATAAATATGTACTCATTTTCTTGGTCATTGACTTCAATAGGGTGGAGGTTATACATATGCATTTAAACATTTGTAGGAGCAGAATCTCATATTTCATATATATTTGATATACTACTGTAAAAAATGCTACAAACAAAGAACGAAGTGCTAGTACTAAAGAGAAAAGTACTTGCACTTCGCCAACCCACTCACTGTTTTACGTTTTTATGTTTTAACATGTGGAATTCTGTCTCCTTTGATATAGAGGTTGTATCGGGCAACATACCACAAGAACAAGGACAAGATTCATACCACTCCTGACACACCTGAAATCCGTCAAGTCAAAGCGACACAGGAAGCTGTCAGTGATGTATGTCTTTATAACATTTAAAAATTGAATAGATTTAGAATATTCAGCATGATCAAACATGTGAAATGTTACTTTTTTCTTTTTCTTTCAGCAAATCTACAAGTCAGATTTCTTTAGGATGCAAGGACACTTGATTTCCCTGCCATACACACCCCAGCTGTTGCACTGCCGCTATGTTGGGGACATCACAAGCGATGTAAGCAGCTTCTGTTGAGATACTGGTGCCTCATTGTAACAGGTCGCTTTCTGCTGTACTCATTCATGTTCACGTGCTAGCAGGAGTTGAATTTGACTTTTTATTTGCATTCTGTTCTTTAACACTTCGTTAAAGAACAAGAAAACAAAGTAACAGACTTCGTGTTTGGGGACTTCCCAATAGCTGGGATTAGTGATCCCAACAGTTAACTTTTGATTTCTCTTCTTTTACCTTCCATGTAGAATAAGTACAAAGAGGATCTGATGTGGCTGAAGGGCTTAGGTTGCTTCCTGTATGATACTCCTGATATGGTCCGATCTCGCCATCTGCGCAAACTTTGGGTGAGATTTTTTTTCTGAAAAGCATATGTAACAATTATGGATTTACTGAAGTGCATGATAAGTACTTACAAGAAATTAAATCCATAAAAACGCATGAAGACCTCTAACAAAATTTCTTACCATGGAAGTAGGTAGTTACTTCAAAGTACCAGAAGAAGAGTATGATTTTTTTTCTATTAAGTTGCACTGTAAAAATGTTTACTTCTAAGAGTAATGGCAGATTCCTAAATGATACTGCTTTTATTTTTCAGTCTAATTATGTATACACTGATAATGCAAAGAAGATGCGGGATAAATACAGTGTGGTACTGGATACTCCTGAATACAGGACAGTTCAAGAATTAAAAACACATTTGAGTGATGTAAGTTCTGTATTATTTTTGATCATCTTTTTAAGTTATAAGTAAAAAAAAAGCTCGGATCCTCTCACTAGCTTTCTTCAAAAGTATAGAATGCAAAGTTGTGATTGTTTAGATGCTAAATGAACATCTGTAATAGAAATAATTAATGGACTTGTTTTTTTCCAGCTGGTTTACAGAGCTGCAGGAAAGGAGCTGAAGACAAAGTATACTTCCATCCTTGATACACCTGATAACTTAAGAGCCAAGCAAGGACAAAAAATACAGAGCCAGGTAACAAATTTTTAGTGAGAAAAACCATCCTGGATGGGCTCCCTCTTGACACTGTATTGAAATACAGCAAAAATTTCCCAGGCCATTTCAAAACAATATACAATTCCTAAAAAGTACTTTTGAAAATGACTGTTCTTTCTTTTCAAATGACCACTTCTTTATAACGGACATGTCCAGCTTTATCTGTCTGAAATAGAACACTGAGTCCTGTCATAGTTTTGTTCAAATTCTCTGAGAAAGTCCAAATTTCAGAGAAATAAACACTTCTATTCATCCATTTTTGTCTACTCATCATCAGTTCTTTGTTTATGTAAGACTTTAACTGATTTGTTATCTACAAATTTTGTTATGTTACCTGCCAGAGAGAAACAGATACCTTGGACAATTTTATCTAAAATTAGATCTGGATACAGAGCAGAGAAGTCACTAAAGCCACATGCATATGGCATTTTTATTTGTGAGTGTGTCGCTGTCATTTAGTAAATATCAAGAGTACTGATAGAGAAAGATAAACTGAGAGAATGTTGAAGGAGAAAGGACACATTACTTTCTCCTGTAAGTTATGTTATAAGTTATGTGGTTATATATGCATTGTCAACTTAAAATCATTTCTCAAGGGATAAAGTAAAACTTACTTCAAATGTATATTTATGAGTTCTTCTCTTCTTCCTGCAGTATTTGTATGTGGAGCTTGCCACAAAAGAGAGACCCCATCACCATGCTGGTGGTCAGACTCCAGCTTTTACCCATGCAAGGCATGTAAAGGATATGGTTAGTGAGGTAAGATTCCTGCTCTTTTGTTTGATACTGCTATGCTGAGCTATTTAGAAATTTATTTCTGTTTTTAGTGATAGATTCAAGGCTCAAAACTGTTTACTCTTTGATTTTGTGCCTTTTATGCTTAAATTCCACATTTCCTAAGCTAACTTGGTAAACCAATGCACTTTTTATGCATTTCAGTATTTTATAAGATGCATTTTTATTTAAGAGCTTGTTGTAGAATCTAAGGGATATGGGTCATGAGACTCAGAAATAGCTGAAAAGCTGATCTTGTTTCCCAGTGTTTTGAAAAAAGCACTTCTTGGGAGTGACGTCTTTGGGTATTCAGTGTAGCATCTTACCATAATTATAGTTTAATGAATGGTTTTGAGGTTAAAATGTGTAACTTGTCTTTTCTGTCTTGTTGTCTCTCCTTAGAAAAAATATAAAATCCAGTATGAGAAGATGAAGGACAAATACACGCCTGTCGTTGATACTCCAGTCTTGATCAGAGCCAAGAGAGCTTACCTGAATGCTAGCGATGTATGTAGCCAGGAACACTTTTGCTTTTTTTTTTTTTTATTTTATTTTTTTTGTAAGAAAAGGAACAATAGGTAGAATTTCATGCAAACAGCAGAATATCTTAGTCCAAGTGGATCCTGCACTTACGTCACTCCATTTATGGATATATTTCAATTAGATATTACTGAGATTAGTAAATCTCAGATTGAGGGCACTGTAATGCTTGCTGTCTGTCTTTCCTAATATTCCTTTTAATTTTCTTTTGCGTGTAGACTTAGGGCAAAGGAAAAAATAGATTCAGAATAAATTGTTTACAAATGAAATCGTCAAGTAGAGCAGATTAGAGTGAAATGATTGATACTGGAGCCAGAATAGAATACATCAGAATATGTCAGATGTCTTTATCTCAGTTAAGTGTGAGAAATAAACTTGTATCTCAGTGGGAACTCATGCATAGAGAAAAAAGTTTATCTGACTTGCTGCAAGTAGGGATTTGAGAATGAGATTAATTTCTCCTTTGAGTGAGGAATAGTGCTTTATGCCTTAAGGCAGTGGCTAAAAGTAGACTACTCATTAGTGAGACTTTTGCTATATACTTCAAATTGCATGTTATTCAAGAGTCCCAGAAAAGCCTGAGTGGGCATGTCCTGGGCTACTGTTTTTGTAGATTTGTCCAATTGCTGTCCTAAAAGTGATTTAAAGTTCTGTAAATGAATGTCCCAGTTCTTTTGCACATTTGAATTTCTCCCCAGAGATTTGCCCAAACTGTGATCTTCCTGTTTTCTTCTAGACTGGGATATGGAGGAAAGGATGATATTTTTTTTCTGCATAATGCAGCCCTTTTATTCTTTTGGAAGGTAGCATGGATGTTTTTGCTTCAGTCTGAAAGTAAATAGGGCAAAGTTTTGCTTTGATGGGCAATTTTCACCGTGATTCTCAGTCATAATGTAATTGATTTTAGGCAACTGAATCCTTTTGAAATTCTATAGGACTTACCTGAAGATGTTGAAAGGCAATATAGGCCTTCAGAGATAGGATGTTTAACTAAAACAATTCCTGACAGGTAAATATAATATCTTTTTTCATATATTTCATGTGTTTCATGTGTTATGTTTCTTACCAGTTGCGCTACAAAGAAACCTTTGAGAATGAAAAGGGGAAATACCACACTGTGAAAGACGCTTTGGATATTGTCTATCACCGAAAGGTCACTGATGATATCAGCAGTGTATGTATTCAACATTTCCTAATTTCTCTTTGCCAATTAATACTCTAGAATATACCATTTATACTATTTTTCTATTTGATTATTTCAAACAATCAGAAATACATCATTAGTACTATTAATATTAAATTTTGTCCTTCAGAAGATACAAATGCAGGTAATTCACAGTCTCATGTTTTTAGTTATGATATTTCAGAAATAGGGATATCTTAACATTGTATGGCTGATGTGTTCTGTTCTACAATTGTTTTACTTCATTTTTTACTTATTTTTGTAGGTGAAATACAAGGAAAACTACATGAGTCAGTTGGGAGTCTGGAGATCTATTCCAGACCGACCAGATCATTTCCATCATCGTGCAGTCACAGATGCTATTAGTGATGTGAGTTCAAGTAGATCCTAAATTTGAGAAGCTAAGTGGAGTTTTATGAAATAAAAAAAAAAGTCCATATGTCTTAAGAAAATTGAGAGGTTATCAGTGAAAATGAAGAAGTGATGTTTACTTTTGCCTGACAGATCTGTGAAATGACAGAGCAAATCAAATAGCTAAAATTTCAGTCCAGTTAAGACTACTCCATTAATTTCAATAGTGGTATTTGCTGTAATAAAAACTTGGGTTATTTTAAAAAATAATAAAAAAAAAAAAAAGTTTCTTCCTGAGATTTCTAGTTAGCATGTAGTCTCCTGGCTGTGCGTTGAGAGGCACGTAAAATCGTGGGAGGTGTTGATTGCGATAGATTGAGTTTTACTCTGGATGACCTTCCTTGGTTGTATTCAAACCAATGTTGATTTTTTTGAGAGCTATAAAGCGACCCATTAATTGTATAGATTTTGTTTTTAATTCAGGCAGGAGATCAAATAGATAGTGCTGGATCAGATATGTGCCAGGCTATCAGAAAAATTGAGTAATACAGTAATAATAACTTTGCAGTTCTGTTTGTATTGAAATATTTTTTTTAGTACTGATCAGATACCATTCAATGCCATTTAAGACTGAAACCTTTTACTTCTTTTCTAAAGTTTAAGTATAAGGAAGACTTATCCTGGCTCAGAGGCATTGGCTGCTACGCATGGGATACTCCAGATTTTGCTCTGGCAGAGAAGAATAAGGTGCTCTACAGTGGGGTAAGTAAAACAATGTGCCTTCTTGCTAAGTATTTCTTCAAAGGTTGCTTATGTCATAGTTGCATCTTTAGAGAAAGACAGTCAAATTTTGGTCAAAAAATGAATATGAATATCTAATGGTAGTACATAGAACAAAACATCTGAAAATAGGTGGCTTGCTGAAATGAAATACGAGACAAAATCATCGTCTGCTTATCCCCCTGTTCATTGGTGAGATATATTTTGTAGTAATCTTTCCGTAGTCCACCTTCATAAATGAGAAACTTTGAAGATTCTGTTGCTTCCTTAATAGGATAGTTATATCTCACAAACTATTACATCTGCAGCTGAAATATTTTTTGTTTGTAAATATGTTAAAAACACATATTCACTAATTCTACCATAGTTTTGTAGATGGTTTTTACAAGTTTGGTATTTCCATTGCCTTACATTTAGTAACATTTCTGTTTTTCTTTCTCTCTTTCCTTCTTTCTTTTTCTGTCTTTCCTTCCCTTTTTTTGTTTTTTTTTTTTTTTTTCTTCCAGTGTAAGTACAAGGAGATGTTTGAGAAGACTAAGTCTCATTTTAAGTATGTAGCTGATTCTCCAATTAACCAGCATTTTAAATATGCTACTAAGTTAATGGATGAGGTAAGTATTAGAAGATTCTGGTAGTGTCTCATACTGAAGTAATAGTTTTTGTATATGTTCACACTGAGTTAAAGGCTTTTTATTTGACTCGAGGAGTTAAAGGAAGAATGTCTTAAGGTCAGATTAAAATGAGGAAAGACAAGATTTCTACCTGAGTAGTTGCTCAGAACAGGTTTACAATAATGAAAATTGCAAAGAAACTTCTTTGCTGCCCAGTAAACAAATGTTAATTAAAAAGATACTTCTCGCTTAGTGAAACTGTTGAGAAAAAAATGACTGTTGATTGCAAAGGTTTAGAGAAACAGTCACAGTTCCTTTCTTGAAATACTGAACAAAATTTCATTATTGTTTGGAGGATAATATTTTCTCCAAATTATCATAACTTTGTTCCATTACGTATATTCTGCCTTGAATTTTCTCATTCTTAACTTACTTGCTCTCTCCTGTAGATTAAAGAGAAAATAAGGACAATGTATTAGCAAAAGGGTAACAAATGCCTCTGGGTGTAAATCACCAAGAAAGTTTCTAGATGTAATGCTGTACTTTTGCAGGACAGAGCCTTTTGAAAAAGTCTAGCTTACTGAAGAGCAGCAGGAATAGAATATAGGCGTCCTTAAGTTGTAAATTAGGACTTTCAGGAGTGATTTACAAATGCATATTTTGATTTGACATGTTTTCTCTCCCTTTTTTCCTGTTTTTTTTTTTCCCCCCTTTATTTCTGTCTTTTGGATGTGGACTTTAATCCCAACATTTAAATATTGCATTTATTGAGATTTCAGTGGTTAGAACTATGATCTCGGGATCTCTTCACTCTCTCTGTGTCTTCACTTTCTTCTTTTACATTGTTACAATATATTATGCTATTCTGAGCAGAAATTGTATAAAGCTGCCTATGAGAAGCTCAAAGATAGGTACAGCGTTATTGTGGATGATCCTAGGAACCTCCTGGCCAAGTGGGGGACCACACTGAGCAGTCAGGTACTGTGGGAACGCCGGCCAGTTCTGCGAGAAAGTGCCTGGTTCACTCACAGCTATCTTTGCCTGCCTGAAATGTCTATATTGGCAGTATCATAGGTCTCACCTGTGATATTGTGATATTTTAGTTCAGTTGATCAGTTAGTCTCTGTTTTACCACTCAAAAAGCATCGTTACTTTTTGAGTGAGCTAATAGATACCGTATGTACTTTCATGTATATTGTGCATCAACTGACATAATCTTCAAGTAGATTCTCATCTAACGCCTATTTGAAATCAACAGAGAGGTTTCAAAAAATGGATGTTGTATCATGCATTTTTTTATTGCCTCTTTTTAGTGACTTTTACAAAGATTATTTTCCTACTCATTTTTAGATAAAGCAACAGTGTAATATATTGCTTTTGAATGCCCTTGCCTTAATCTATGATTTACTCCACTATCCCCCCAAATATTTCCACTATTTCCTTAATGGGACTTTTAAGAACTTGCTGTTCTTAATTATACAGATGTAAGTTGTATGCACAACCGAATGAATACATACAGTATCTTGCCTAAATCTCTCCACTCTAAAAGTGACTGGGATCTAGAGCAGTGCTGTTGTTCATGGTCTTCACAAGTCTCTTTTGTGCTTCGTTGCCATTTGCACGCACAGAAAAAATATAAGTCCTTTGCCAAGATGTTGCTGAAACAAGGATGTAATGAAATTCTGAGGCCAGATATGCTGAGAGCACTCTACAACACATACTTATGGAGCCAGGTAAAACGAAGAACTGCTGCTTTAGGAGGCCTTACATATACGGTTTAGCTGCTTGGATTTTTAACGCATAATGCTTGTGAGTCCTCTAAATTTCCCCAGAAATCAGACTTCAAAGTCTTGCATATGTGCTCAATTCTGGATGTTTTAAAATAGTCTCGATGACAGAATATCTGAGACAGTGTTTACTGTGATTAAAACTTGCCCCAGCTCATGTTGATCTGATCCTCCATTTTCTCCTTTCATTACAAATAATAATAATAATGTATATACTTCTTTATGATAATTCACATACTTAGGTAGAGCCAAACCCAAACCTTTCCCAAACCTTTAAGAAAGTGTGTTAACTGTTCCTCTCATTTTCCCAACCAAATACTCATTCTGAAACATTTTCTCATATTGACCCCCTGTACATTTGTAAATCAGTATGAACATAATGATCGAATTTGTAGAGAGGATTACAATGTTTATCTAACAATCTGCCTAATGTTGATGCCCAGTGACATGAGAGGAATGCTCTTCTTGATTGCTGTCAGCACAGTTAATAATATCCTCTACAGTAATGTAACAATCAGTGGACAGTATTCAGTTTGTCAATGGATTTTTATTTATTTTCTGATGAAAAATATTTGCAGATAAGCTTTCTAGGTGTGCTTGAAGAAAAGAATAGCACTCTGTCTGACCTGTATGTTCATCTGGGTTGACTTCATGTTTTTGTGTTCTTTGTATATGATTGTCTATATTTTGTCCATCTACTTGTGTTTCAAAAGCATGCGTTTTTTAATGCACTTTTCTTAGCATGCAAGTTTTTTTCATAGAAATATGTTGTGACCTTCTATACCTGATGTGAGACTATCTACCTAAATTATTATTCTTTGCATGTTCTTGTATATTTTGTTCTCGCTGAATTCTGCCAAAACAGTGTTGGACTCCTAGTTAAGACAAGATGATCTTAAAAAAATAGTTAAAATACAGTGCTTTTATCAATTCCTTAAAATAGCTTGGCATAATCATATATTCAGTGAATTTATTTTCTGCTGTGTAGGAGAAGAAGAATGAAGATGAAGAGAAATTTAACATTTCTCTTCATTATGATCAGTATTTTAAAATGAGATCTTGTCCCGTTACAACTTTTAAAAGCCTCTGATATGCCAGGATTGCTTTTCCAGCTTTATCTTGATGATTTAGAAGTTTTTACACTCAATGAAGCTGACAGTAAAACTAGTCACACAAATAGAGAAGTAGCTTGTAAGGCACATATGGAGTTTACAAAGTCTGGTTTGTGCATGTTCAAGCTTCACTGGAAACTTTAGTGGAGCTATTTTACAACCTGATGTCTTAATAGAAACGTATGTCGTGAAGTTGTGTTTGAAAAGCATGTCTTTTTTTGTCTTGGTTGGTGTAGTTAACTTATTTCACTTCCATATTACTAGATTGAATATAAAAAGGAATATGAAAAGAAGAAAGACAAATATACTACAGTTGTGGATACTCCAGAACACTTACGGACTACAAAAGTGAACAAACAGATCAGTGATGTAAGTGTGGTCAACACCTTGCAATTTGTTTGGTGAATTCTCACCTTTGAAGTACAGTGCTTTACAATATGTCATTTCAATAGTCAATTATAAAATATTTCTCATCCTGATTTTTTTTGATTTAACCAACATTATCAAGTAATAATCTGATCTAATAATTTTTTGTATCTTCAGATTATTTACAAGTTGGAATATAACAAAGCAAAGCCTAAAGGCTATACTACAATCCATGATACCCCTATGTTGTTGCACGTGCGCAAGGTCAAGGACAGAATAAGTGATGTAAGTATCCCTTACCCTTATCTATGATGTCAAAAAGACACATAATTTACTTTTTACTTTCATATGTGATACTTCTAATCCATATATAATGCTGTAATATAAAATATATTCTTGCTAGAATGTGTATTAATATAAAATTCCTTGTGTATTTAATGCTTTTTAAATAATGCAATAGAATCTGGAAGTGTTTAGGAAGTTTTATTAAGTAAAGTTCCGCGGTTTCTCTTGCAACATTTTTGCTGGAATAGAACAGACTTTGCTAGCAATAAAAGCTGTGAACTAGAACTGGTATCTAATGAAAGCAAGGATTTAGTAGGGAGTCTGCTTCTGAGTTTCCTTTCCTATTTTGGCTAATTGCTTCTATGGAGCCATGTTTTAGACAATTTATCCATTACTCTGTCCGCTCAGAGATGTTAGTAACTTTTAATCTACACTTCATGATGAGTTTTCCCAAGTGTTTTCTGTGCTGAACTGCTGCAAAGGACCACTTTCTCAGGCGGATAGTTGATACTAAGATATGTTGCTAGGATTCCTTTTTCTGTTGCTAAAATGCTTTCTTGACAATTAAAAGCTAATTAGTTAATACTATTTTTTATAATCTGCTGCTTTTCTTTTTTACAGTACTAACTTCAATGTATTATTTTTATAAACTTTTTTTTTTATATTTTTCTTTCTTTAGCTGAAATACAAGGAGCTGTATGAGAGGAATAAATCTCACTGCAATGTCATAGCTGATTCAGTTCATATTAAGACTCCAAGGCATGCTTACAAGCTAAACAGCAATGTGAGTTTTGTTTTGTTAATGCCTTCATCGTTGGGTTGGGACAGTGCTTGAGACTAGCAAAAGAGACCAAGAAAAATTGTTTTACATTTCTGCTGAAATTCAATGAGCTTATATATTCCTTCTAATCCTTACTCTGCTTGAAGTTCCCTGTATGTCACATAGACATCTACTATTCTTTTAGCTCCTTTCTGTTTCTCTAACAAGAGACATAACTGCCTCTGAAATTCTCCGCAATGCTCTTCTTACAGCCAGAGCAATTTTTTTTTTTTTTTTTTTTTTTTTTTTTTAGGAAGCTCTCACTTCTGTGGTTTATAGTCTTTTGTCCATGGTGGCAGACATGTCCACGGTGGCAGGCAAAACACCCACTTTTCTCAAAGCCATGACATGTTCATTCCTCATATTCTGGTGGAAAAACATAGAGCAAATAGACTACCACTGGACTGGATATAAATCAGAGGAAAACACTCATCTGATAGACTTTTTTTTCTTTTTTTCTTCTTTTCACATATTTTCTCTTTGTTTGGTGCTGACCAAAAGAAAATTTGCATCTTTGTAAATTAGGGGTCTAAATTACACAACCTCAAATAAATCTATTTTTTCTTGTTTCCCTATAAACAGCTAGATTATAAGAAAAAGTATGAAGCAGCCAAGGCTCATTGGCACTGGATTGCTGATAGACCTGACTTTGTGCAAGCAGCCAAGTCATCTCTGCAACAGAGTGATGTAAGGAAATTAGAACAAACTGAAACCTCTCCCCTTTTCACCATAGAGAGGGAAAGAAAAAAAAAGTTGTAAAAGGTTTGGTGTCATTTTTGTTGTGACTTGCTTTCTCTTCTTGCAGTATGAATACAAACTGGACCGTGAATTCCTAAGAGGATGCAAACTCTCTGTCACGGATGACAAAAACACAGTATTGGCTTTAAATAATGCCATCTTGGCAAGTGATGTAAGTACTTTATCTTATATCTCTAAGTTTAATAGTTATTAGCCGTATATTGATTATATAGTACAATTCTACTTGATAGTTATAGGAATATATAGTCTGGAAATATCTTGGCAAACATGAAACTATGGGATCACCTGCAAACTTTTGCACTAACAAGCAGGCAGAGCTTAGTCATTTCTTTTTAGATTATCAGAAGACAAGATACTTATTACTTTACATATCCTTTCTGTCTGCTAGATAAAATACAAAGAGAAGCATAACAAAGCTCGAGGAACATACCACGTTGTTCCAGATACACCTCAGATTCTCCTGGCTAAGAATGTCAGCTCTCTTGTGTCTGAGGTAACACATCCGACATCAGTCCTTTCCCTTTCCTTTTCCCTTATGTTTCCTTTTCCCTTTCTTTTCCATAGATTTTTAATATTTTGTGTGGATTGTTTGTTTTTAAGCTATTTTCCTTCTCTATTTTCAGAACAAATACAAAGAACATAGCAAAAAGCAGCTTCCACGTGGGTCTTATACAACCCTTCCTGAAACACGAGACACTGCTCATGTGAAAGAGGTGACCAAGAATGTCAGTGAGGTAAGTAACTAGTGTGGTAATTTATGGTGACATTGTTACCTGATATCTGGTACAGTCTGACTGTTTAAACTGTACGTCTTTGTACATGCACAGCTTAGGAGTTCCATTTTTCACAGAACACAATATAAACCCAAATCATCAAGTACAATTAGCAAGTTTTAGTGAGCTGAAATACAAATTATGACCGACAAACTGGGGACCATAAATTTTGAAACCTAGAAGACTGCATTTTATCTGTCTTAACAGTTTCTCTGAACTTGGTTCGAAATATCAGTAAAATTTATATCTGTCTGAGATAACAAAATCACACATGTCTCTGTTCTCAACAGACAAATTATAAAAAGAAGTTTGTGAAGGAGAAAGGCAGGTCGAACTACTCGGTGATGCTGGAGCCTCCTGAAGTGAAACATGCCATGGAAGTGGCTAAGAAACAGAGTACTGTAAGTTTTTCTTGTGCCTTGATGAATTAGTTTGTGTAAGTAAATTGAAACCAAATCAGCTGAAAGAAATACAAGTTTATCTATTCTGGGATTTTCTCACAACCTTTATGTTCAGATGTAATTCAGAAGGACAAATATGTGAATATTTACAGGTGTAAAACTGTACAGACAAGAATTTTTTTGAAAATCGTGTCTGTATTTAATGACATGATAAGATTTAATGTGTTGCAAATCAAATTAATAATTTTTAAATTCCTTCCAGATCTTTCCAAATACAGAGAGAATTCCATGTGCTTATTCATTGGTAGATGACTTGCAAAAATTGTTTCCCAAAACCATTCTTTGTTATACAAATAAAGAAAATATCCTGGGCACTTTTTCATGAGCACTATTTGGTCCTTATTTAGGCATATTCCTCGTGACATCAATAATCTACTTTCCTCTGTCATTGTGGTTTAGGTTGAATACAAGAAAGATGCCAAATCCAAGCTGCACTATACACCTATAGCAGATCGGCCAGATATTAAAAAAGCAACACAAGCTGCCAAGTTAATTAGTGATGTGAGTGTTCTTTTAATCTTCTCTATAACTACTCAGCAGCAATCTCCGTATTGCAAATAGTAAAAGTAATTAGAAAGGCATGTGGTCACTGCTAAACCATACACTTTTGCTGTTTTCTCTGTGTTAGATTGAATATAAGAAGCGTGGAGGAGCTGGCATAGGTGTAACCATGCTGGGACGTCCTGATATTGAACTTGCAAAGGAGGTGTCAAAGCTAACTAGCCAGGTAATAATAAAATAAAATTGCTTGCAAACAGTGAAAGTAATTAATTCAGATTGGCTGAGATGTGGTATCATTTTATAGAAGAATGTTAGTATTATAATTGGAATTATTTCTAGATTGAGAGTTAAGGAAATATTTCAAAGGGAAACACACTGAAAAAAATAAAACCTGTTGCAAGGCTATTTTTTTGTAAAATAAACAACAGCTTATTGGATTTAGTGCCTGATTCTGCTTACGGTGATATCGGTGAGACTTGATTTTCTCTTTTCTTGTCTCATAGTCATTTATATCTGCATAATGGTACAAGGCAGGTCAAGGCACTTTCTCAGATATCAGGCTGATGAAGAATTGTGCTCAAGTGCTAAAACTCTCCAGTCTTTAATGGGAGCAGAAGTGGTCATTCTGTACTGGCTGGAGAGAAGATTCATGGAAGGTGGTGAAAGGGAATTTATAACCTCTGTGTTTTATTCCTTCCTTCACTTTCTTTTAATTCTTCTGCCATTTCTAAAATCTTCTTTTGTTTTCTTCTTCTTAAAAAATCATTTATAATTCTTCTACAATGTCCACTATAAGCATTTTTAGGGAACAGCAAGAGCTAATATGTAGAAAGTATAGGTACCTGAATAGTTTTGTGATGTGCAAATGTGTAAGGTCTATGAATGCTGAAAACAGCTGGTATGCAGCAGAATTAAACTGGCCTGTTGGTCTAGTGGAGAAGTCTGTACATCCTAAAGATAAAACAGAGGGCAATTCATACTTCTAAAAGCCAACTGATGGTTTTCAAAAGTGTGTTGTCTAAAAATGAAGTGATTCAGAATTAGAAACCATTTTTCTGAAGAAGCCTTGAAACTCTTAGTGCTTCTATTGTCTCCAGTAGTGAAATGGATACAAATTTGTTGCTTACTCACTTGTATGACATTAAAAAAATTAAATAAAAGCACTTACACGTACAAGCATAAAATATTCTTATATTAGAGGTGTTTAATAGCTCTTCTACTGATTTATTAAATGCCAGTAATGGAAGTGTAGAATTTCCTTAAAATGAGGCTGTGACAAGATCTTTCAAATACTAAGATGGTGTTAGTTACGTTCTCTTTTGTTTCCTTTTCTAGATATTGGCTTTCAAAGAAGCAGCATTTTGCCTATCTCTTATTATCCATCTTTATGCAGTGGGCATTCAGTTTCTTTTTGCCATTTGCTTTCTACTCTTGATTTTTAAAAGAAGCATCTATTTGGATATAATATGCTGTATTAATATATTCTTTTTTACTTTTATACAATAGTCTTGATCTGCAGTTAATGTGAAGCGCATGGTTACTAGGTTACTATTTCCTGTAATTATATTCTTCCACCAGGATCTCAGTTGTACTTGGTTCTTTCTCCCCACTTCATGCTTTAATCCTGTAATTGTTTGTATTTCTGACCTTGCTTTCTTGCTGCGCATTATAGGCAGAGTACCTCAAACAACACATGAGAGGGCATGGAGCTGCATCCTATGATACACCATGGATGAGAACCTTTAAGAAAGCTAATATGCTAAGTAGTCATGTAAGATAAATTTAAGTGACACAACGGGCAATGCCATTTTCATGCGTCTTTCTCTTTCTTGCATATTATCTTTATAGCTACAAGTCGTAAAATATTTTACGATGCAGCAGTTGCACTGGATCTTTTTGTGTCAAAGCTATTGAATGTAGCAAGATTTGTGAGACTGCTTGTTTTTTGTGTGACCTTTTTTCCTATGGAAAGACAGTGCGTGGGAATTCTGTGGGTGGGAATTTGTCTGTTCCAGAAACAGCACAGGAAACTTGAAACTTTATTCTGGCCTTCCGTGTGGCCTTGGAGCTTGCAATGTTTTTGATTCCAAGTTCCCAATGCACTCTTGCAGCATTAAAACTCACCTCTTTCACATGAAGGTACCAAAAGCATACCCATAGTGTGTGAGTGCAGCATCAGAGAAGTCTGCCCTATACTCATTTAAGGGCAATGTTTTCCTTTATTTCTTACCATCCCAAAAGCTATGCAAATCAGAGAAACTATGGCTCTTTAGCAGTTTTTGAAATAGCTATGAACAGATTTGTGTCATTTCTATCTTGCACATGTATTTCCAAATGAAAAAAAGGACTTCATTATTTCTCTATGTCTCGTCTTGACTTCTGCATGCAACTATTGCATGTTTGAATGCAAACTACTATATTTGACAGGAAATATTTTTCAGTGAAATCAGGGACTTTTAAACTGGCACCTTGTCCACAGAAATAATGTACAAGAAAAGAAGAAATGGTGTTCATTCTCATTGAGTGATAATGAGCCCTATCTTCTCTTGGTCTGATGCTAACCAGTTCTCCTCCTAATACTCTAAACATACTTGGGTAAGATTATGGAGGTCTTGATAGAAAATCAGTTATTTCAGAGACAAGATGGTGTAATCTTGAATGTTCTTTTTTTTTCTTGGCATTTCTTCTCAGACTAGCAACATCTTTTATCTTTATACAACGTTATGTCTCATTCATTTATCTGTTTTTGGCTGTGTCTTGTCTGTCGGCAGTGCTTGCGTTTAATTTTGTACAGATCTTTCAACAATATTCCCTCTGGGTTTAAAAAAGTGAATTCTTTGGCACGATGATCTGACCTTTATCTTACACTCAGGTAATTTCATATATACTAGCCAATTTATTTTTATTTTTTTCTTTTGTGAGCTTAGCATCAGGACTGATTCCCTTTATGTCAAACGCATTTAATATTAATTGTGTACTAAGCAGTCACATAATTTTTAGACTTGACTGCTTCGATACATGTTTTATTTTATCTGAATCTTGGCATATTTTGCAAGGCAAAAGAGGGATATTGCTGAACAGCACAAGGGATATGGTGCTGTTTGCACAAGAGAGTGCCAATGGATTCAAAAGTGTAAGATCTGTGGAATGATTTAACTCTGCATTCAAGCAATATTAAAAAAACTAAAAACTCTATGTTTATGTTTCTGTTCTTATAATTTATTATGATTTAAAAACCTGTAGCATGGTAGCATGGTTCTGTTGCTCCTCAGTTTAATTATTAGTTCTTTCATTTGTTTTGTTTCATTTTTTATATAAATGCGGTGTAGGAAATTAAGTTTTTCTGAAGAACTATGCATATTCTTTTCTCTTCAGCCACAGTCTTATATCATTTGCCTGGTTTATTTTGATCCTGAGCAAGATCAGAGTCTTTTAGAAGGACTGATGACCATTGTTGGGTTCTTGTTCTTTAGGCCAGGGGTGAAGACTGCTAGTTTGGTTAGGTAAAGCATCTCCAAGGAAGTGTTTATTGGGAAGTGGAAAGAGACGCTATTGCCGCACGTCTTTCCACAACAGTTGGAATGCTACCACAGGGAAGATGTGGAAAGAAAAAAAACCTCAGAATTTTTATCCTGAAAAATTTCCTCTTATTCTAAAGAGAATGAGTTTACGTACTAGCTGTAGGCTCAATTTAGAAATTTAGACAAGCCAAAACTTAAGACTATGTTTTTAAAGACCATATCTTTTTTAATTCTTCCTTTTTCTCCTGCACTCTTCTGAAACAATTTCAAAAATCTCTGATACTAAAACAAAGAAAAAAATGCTGAGAGAAGAAAAGTTCCTGATGGAATAGTCCTTTCTACGAGTTTGCAAGAAGCACTGAGGAATTAACCTTTAGCTGTAACCCTGACACTGAAGCAGTGTGATGGCACTCTCCATGCTGGATGAGGGACCTCGTTGATAAGTCATTAGCAAAACTCCCATTCCTGTAAATGTTGCTGTGCTTCCAGCCTATGTCTCCCGAAGTTTCCTGGCTTGCAGTTGTGTTTATCGGGATGATTTCAATCTGATGTGGTTTGGAAGCATTATTGAGCTTCTTGTGTAACTGAATTCCTAATAATTGTATCATTATTCTATGTGTGAACATTACTGTCTGTGTGCTTTATCCAGAACACAATATTTATACAGCAATATATATAAAAACATGTGGTATGTTTGCTGTCTTTAATGCTTTTAGGTCTTGTATGCTTGTATGTGCATAGGTAGTTTTGTGTAAGACGTATAAGATTTTCTTTTAAATACTGTTTATGTTTGTGTCAGTTTGTCTCTGCAAAATACAGTAACCTCTTAAATATGCACAGTTCCCATCAAATGAAAAATTTTCATGCTTCAGTGTCAGAATTTAGCTATTTTTTGCCAAAATAATTCTCTTGACTGTGCCTGCTACTATTTTTGCAAAGAAGAGATGCTGTCTGTTCACTGAATGAAAAATTGCAAGTGATATTTTGTAAATACAGGTGTAGATTTTCCTTCCATGTTCGGAGATTTTTAAAATAGATTTTATTCCAATGGATGCCTTCAAGTTACTGCTGCTTTGTTCTTCTGCTTACTATCAGCATGAGATATGGTTTGTCTTCTGCAACCAAACAAGTTAATGCTCTAGAGTAATGCTTGATTGTAATACTTGATTCGTTTTTGAATTTAGGTTAAATACAAGGAGAATTTCTCCAAAGAGAAGGGTAAAAAGCCGAAGTATGATTTAAAGGAGGCTAAAATCTACAAGACCATGAAAGATGCTCACAACATAGCTAGTGAGGTATGTCTAGGGGAACATACATACACTGGGAAGTTAAAAACCTCAGATTTCATTACTGAAGGCTTTCTTTATGTTATTAATACATTAGATATCCCAAGATTTCTTAAAAACCTTTGCTTATATTGTTTGCCCTTTCCTACCTGCAGGTGAAATATAAGGCAGATTTAAAGAAACTTCATAAGCCTGTCACAGACATGTCTGAATCGCTGATCATGAACCACGTCCTGAATACAAGCCAGCTCGCCAGTGCTGTAAGCTCATCAGCTCACCCTACATCCATTTGCTTTTTCCATTCTTATGATTCAGTTCTAAGTTATCTCTGCTAACTATTTCTGTAACAACTACTCCCTCTCTCACTGTTCCTGGGCATCACCTGGTAGTGATCTCTTCCTCTACTTTCTAATGAGTACTTCCTAGTCAACTAGCAACTTTGTCACATTTATCCTCTGGGCAGGGAAAACTTTGTTAGCTGTAGCACTGCTAATATTTTAAATCCTCTAATCATTTTTAATAGAATCATTCTTTATTACCTTTTAACTTATTGCATCTCACTAACAAGTAGTGGTTTTTACATTTTTTTCTTTACTGCTTACTATGATTGAAAACTTTTTTTTTTTTTTTTTTTTTTTTTTTTTTTTATTAATGTTTAACAACCCCCTGTAGTAAAGAATTATGCCTAACAAAATATTTGGTAATTTTATTGAGAAAAGACAAATGTCATCATTATTTGAACTTCTTCATATTTCTATTGTGTTTTCTTTTTCCTTTTTTTTTTTAACATGATTTTCAAAAATGTTTGCTGCATTTCAAATGATTGGAAAAGATAAGTTTTCACTCATATATTTAGAAAGAGTTTCTTAAGAATTTCTCATTTTGGGGGTTAAACTTCTTGTTTGAGTTTGTTTTTGCTTTTTTTGGAGTTCTTTTTTTTCATTGTTAATTTCTCTTTAATAATCCATTGAAGTGTTGCATTGATTGGGCCTAAGAAGCAGACTTTCTGAGGTTTTTTTTTTTATTGAGATGATTTTTGACACCTTCCCTTCAGTACCAGTACAAGAAGCAATATGAGAAGAGTAAGGGTCACTACCATGTGGTGCCAGATAATCTTGAACAGGTTCATCTAAGGGAGGCATCAGAACTACAGAGCCAAGTAAGTTGGTCACATTTCTCACTAACCTCACTTATTCAGTACCGAAATCTCCAACCCAGAAGTCATCTTATCAAATTATCCAATATATAGCCATCTCCGTGCCTGTCAGCTTTATAAATACTGCCGAACTGAGAGAATAGAAATCAGGGAGAAATATTTATTTATTTGCTTGTGAGTACACATTCAAAATGTCCGTATGATTTTTGCACATTCTGAAGTAGGTCATGGAGTTATTTTTGCTATACCTATATATTTTTGCGTTGTATAATATATTCATCACGATGTTTTCATCTGTAGAAAAAAAAGGAGAAATAATCATAGAAAAAGTAGACTCAAAAAGGCAGAAGTGTGCCTGACTGTATTTTCAACTGTTTTACTCATCCTAGTCTGAAGTGATAGAAAGAACATTGCTGCTTCTTTTCTTCTGCTACTGTAATAATCCAAATAGCTCTAGTTGCTCTAAGGACATTACCTGCTGTTACATGTGTCTATTTATATTTTTCTCCTCTGTATTACAACAAATCCATTCCAAAGAACCAGTCCTTTGATTTGGTCTGTACTAGTCTCTTTATTCCAGGTATTTTTTTGACCGTAGAGCAAGAGAAAAATTGTTGCTATATCACAAAGTGCTGTAGTTATTGTTTGCTACATGACACAGAAGAACAAAAAGGTTACACAGTAAAGGAAAGGCAGAAAAAGGTCATTACTCAGTTTGTATTTAGTGTGAGACGTCACTTGTTGCTCTCCTTTGAGATCTACATCTTCCTCAGCTGAAGACTGGATTTGTTACCACATGTAACAGTGTAAAATCGATTCCCTAAAGGCAATATGCTCTGACTTGAACCAAGAACGTCTTCATCTTGGTGGATATTTTATGTTGTGGACACAAATGTGCATAATTAGGTAACAAGTGTCTGAACAGCATCTTTTCAAACTGTGCTGCTAACATTCCCTTGATCCACTGGTGTGTACCTGGCTGAGTTCAGGCAGGCTCAGGAGCAGCCTGAGAGCCTTCAAGTTAGATTTTTATCGTTACCTGTCTTCCTTCTTGTGATCACTGATTTCTTGAAATTTAATCTGACAATGTTAATCCTTTGCAACAGGAAATAAAATTGTAGAATCGAGGCCACACACATTGTACTAGGCCTGTTCTTTGATTTACATTTGACAGTAATTGGTATGAATCTCAGGAAGATAATTAGTGTTAGCAGTTCATTTTTTTCATCAGAGGTCTGTAAACCCGAGTAGGCTCATACCAGTTGAGGAATGTGTTTTCTGATTTTTTCAGGGTGATAACTTTTTCTTTTCTTCTCAGGTGAAATACAGAGAAAAATATGAGAAGGAAAAAGGAAAACCTATGTTGGACTTTGAAACTCCAACATACCTAACTGCAAAAGAATCTCAGCTCATGCAGAGTGAGGTAAGATTAAAATAACCAATGGTATATTGAAGAAACTTTAGAAAGGTACTTTTCACGCTTAAACTTTCATGGTGATTTAGAAAGGCAGTTATACATCCTTTTATGCTAGTAGACTTTAAAAAAATACTGCTATGTTATGACATATATTTCCTTACGTTAGTTATAAAATGTTACTTTTAAGATTCATGGATTTTTCATGTGCAACCCTGAAGTATATATTTTCTGTAATTTTCCTGAGAAAGCTGTAAGTATATGAAGCTAAAGCAAAGTTTTAAATCTTTAGAAGAAACGTGATTTGAAATGCATTTCACTTAAGCTCTTGCAACAGATTGTGTTATGGAAAAGTCCATGAAAATTTTTTTTAGATATTTGTGTAAGTATCTTGGTTATTGTTTTCGTTTAGAAACTCTAGTTTTGAGAAAGCCATTTTTTGCATGTTTGTCTCTGCTGTCACAGTGTTCTTACTGACCTGTCATTCTATTTCCTCAAGAAGTTATTTTCTGTTTGTTTGAAGTTTTATCTTGTTCTGTCACAGATGAAGACTTATACATGTTGAGTATACACTTGTATAAGGCTTTTAGTCATTGTGTTTGAGTGATTCCATTGAATGTTTTCTTTGCATATATAAAGAAGCAAAAACAATACAGAAAAGCAGGGTCAGGCCATATTTCCACTAGAGCAAACGATCTGTTTCATGGACTTTTTTCTTCCAGCTATCTGCAGCACTGACTGTAGCAGATGGTCACTGTGACATTACTATTGAACTGCTCTTTTTCATCCCCCCTACAATTTTTCACGTAACTAAAAGTTAAAATGTAATAAATATTTGCTATTTTGCTTTTTTTCTTCTTCTTCTTGCTTTCATTAGAAAGAATATAAGAAGGACTTTGAAGAGTCTATTAAGGGCAGAAACCTTACTGGCTTGGAGATTACACCATCCTTATTACATGTCAAATATGCAACCAAAATAGCAAGCGAGGTAGCAGTTACTCTGTGTTTAATTCTTCTGTCAGATAAAATAATTTCACTAATTATCCTCAGCAGCATTTCTTCTTCACCACTTTCTTTACCCTAACCATTCACATCAAGCATGTTGACACGTATTGTTGTGTGGTGATCTAATTTGTTGTGGACATTTATTTCGTTGTTTGTTACCTGTATTCATATTTACTGTATTCCTTTCTGACATCCATGAGTCTAACTGTTCCATTGTGGGGTGTGTATGTGTGTGCCTTTTCAATTTACATAGTACAGTTCTTACTATCTTGTATTCTGTTTCTGTAGTTTGTGTATAATCCTATATAATATTCTTTATTGCTAATTGTGGTGTGTACTACTCTATCTAGTCTAGGTTTGCAGGTTTTTTTTTTTCTCCTCCTTCTCCTGCAGAAAGAGTACAGGAAGGATCTGGAGGAAGGTGTCAAAGGCAAAGGTCTAACAGCCTTAGAAGAGACTCCAGATATGCTGAGAGCAAAGAATGCAACTCAAATCCTAAATGAGGTAAACCAAAAGCTGCTTGAAAAATATCTGAATGTATATAATAAGCTCCCCTCAATAAGTGCACATGACAGTTTAATATGAACCACTCACTAGAAAATCCTGAGCTTCCGAATAGGAGGCTGATCTTGTAGTGAACAATTCCAGGTTGTACAGTAACATATTATGTCACTGTCAGGGATAAAGAGGGAAATCAGGTGTCGTAAGCAATAGCCAGATCAATCAAGGGGTAAATTAAATCAAGGTGCTGCTGCAGCAAGGCTAAAGGTAGGAATTGAAGGTGTCAGTTTTGGTAAGCTGAGTGTCCTAGGTCATGGCAGTTACTAAGAACTGGTAACCAAGGCTGAGGAGACGAGAAGGAAATGAGAGATCAGATAGGGACTACAATGAGAGCATCAGTCTGGCTGCTTCTGCAAGTGGGAGATAGACTGACTACAGGGAGCTCTTCTCAGGAGCTTTGTAGGGAAATGGGTGTGCTAGAAACACAGCTGTGCTTGCGGTTCCCAGGACTGACAAATGCTAAGCTGCTATAGCAGCCTGGCAGTGGCTTTATTTCTGGAGTGAACTGGTATAGCAAATGTTTTATAGTGATTGTTTTTGAAGGTTAAGCTTAGCTCATATTTTAGCCAAACTTCATCAAGCTGAAAGCTGAAGAAGTAACTTTTAAGTCTTACTGATATTATGGCTTGTTAGCAACATACTCTTTCAGATAAGTATGCTGATTAACAACATTTTGTACTTAACTAATGCCATTGATGTTTTAGAATTATTCCAAGAGCTTTTATTTTATTACCACAGAAATTTTATTTTATTACCACAAGGAGACATATTCAGCTTATTTCAGCAGAGCTTGCTTAGACAGGGATTATACGTGTTTATACAAAATAGGTCTTTTATACCTCAGTGAATATCATTCCCACCTTTAGGAGAGCAGCTGCTGTAATGCACGCCCATTTACTGCTGCCAGAATGCAGTTTGTTCTTAAGGTTTAAGGAATATGCTTTTTAATATGCATTTTGTACTCTTCAGTATATAGTAGGAAAAAAAAATAGTATTAAAATAGGCATTTTAATGACATTACAGGTGTTTTTGATTGTGAATTTATATTAGTATTACTCCTACATGATGGTGTTGTGAGACTACCTGAAGTTGCCAAAGGGATTGCATTCTATTGATATTTTAAAAATATCTACTTAATCTCTTCATTTGCAGAAAGAGTACAAAAAAGCCCTGGAAATGGAAATCAAAGGAAGAGGTCTCACAGAACTGGCTTTGGAGACACCAGATTTTGTGAGAGCAAAGAATGCCACTGACATTGCGAGCCAGGTATATGCGAATAACTCTTATGTTGCATCTGTTGACTTATTTATTTATTTTTAAGAAAATTCATTAACATTTTTTCTGTGCAAACAAAAATTGTTGTCATATGGGTGAGTAAGGCAGCTAAATGTGAGCTTTCTCCAATAGATCAAATACAAACAGTTGGCAGAAATGGAGAAAGCCAATTACACCAGTGTTGTTGATACTCCAGAGATTATTCATGCCCAGCAGGTCAAGAACCTTTCAAGCCAGGTAACCTGAGTGATGAGAGTTAATTATTGTTCATATGGGAACACATGACCAGATAATAGTTTGGCACAATTTTTTCTTCAATAAATCTGAATGACTACCTCTCATAACATTCAGGAGATACAGAAGTAACCCAAATTTCCTATAGCAGTAGTGGAGTGTCTCTTACATGAATATTCAGTTTGATATGTTATTAATTCATTCTAATATGCATAAAATGCAGCAATAATTCGCAGCAATTTTACAGTACTGAAGTTAATTTTGCTGTGTGTAGATGTAGCTGAATTTTCCTACCTCTTAATAAAATTAACTGCTTAAAATAAACAGTTGCTTACAGATATAACCTGAGTGCATATAAAGCACAGAAGTTTCAGATTTCTACAGAGATGGGAATAATACAAGGTTTCTAATTACTATTTTTTGTTAATGTAATAAACTTCTTATTTTGTATCAGAAAAAGTATAAGGAAGATGCAGAAAGGACCATGCCATACTATGTGCCTGTTGTAGACACACCAGAAATGCAGAGAGTCCGTGAGAATCAAAAGAACTTTAGCACAGTATGTATACATATATATATATAAAAAAATAAATATTGTTAAATAGCAAAAATCTGTAGCTTTTCTTTTTTTTTTTAAATTTATATAATAATGTCCCAGCATCACACTTGAATCCCAAATAGGCTTTATGTTCTCAAAATAGGCTTTATATTCTCAGGAATTCTCAGTCAAGAGATCATCCATGTATGCAGCAGCCTAATTATGTGTTACACTGGCAAACATAATGATGTGGAGGGTTTTTGAAAAGAACATTCCTTTTGGCTGCAGTGCTTTGACAATTCCTGTGCTAGCAATAAAAAATTCTGCTTACAATGGTTTTCCAGGGATGCCGAGGGGATTACCTGCAAGACTGTATTGTCACTATGAACAATTACAATTGCAATTACATTTGCTCCACAGTCCTTCTTGAGATCTTTACCTTTCAGTGTTGACACTAAATTCTTTTAAATACCACCTGGCATCTTTCAGGATTTCTCAGGATCTTTCTCTGAATTTAATAAAGGATCTCCTGTTGCTAGGTTAGGTGAGCATACTTGCAACTGTGCTGTATCACTATCAGTAATGTTGAAATGACCTCTTTACATATGTAAATTGTTTGCTTCTCCTGTCTTTAAAAAAAAAAAAAAAAAGTGCCAAACAAAAAAACACTTATAGAGTAAGTTTTTATGGCCTAGAATCAACATTTTTTTTTTTTTTTTAACAGCTTCAGTATCAGTGGGACCTACAGAACAGTAAAGGAAAAGTTACAGTGGTACAAGACACACCAGAAATACTCCGTGTGAAAGAAAACCAGAAGAATTTCAGCTCGGTATTGTTATTTTTTCTTTTCATTGCTTATTAAAAAAAAATGTTACTAAGTTTTATAAAATAATTATTTTAGACTCTTAGCTTTTTAGTGACTAGGTTCCTCACCAGCTTAACTGAATATAAGAACTTTTTCAAGCAAGCTGATTTTTTTCTAAGCAGATTACGTGACTTTTGCTACCTGTTTTTATCTTTTTATCTTTTTTCCCTTCCCCTCTGAGAGTGGATTGGTTTCTTTCACATGTACATAGCTTTGAGGTAGTTAAACAGTCAGTCCTGTGCTTACAGTAGCTTTGCTGCTCCCCACTTTTCTTTTGTCATGTGGCTTTGTAGGTAGTACAGTCTTGCTGTGTTGCAAATGCCATATTTCAGTGAGAAGTAAACTGTCTGTCCTGATTTGTTTCACATTTCATGTTTGGCCATAAAGTGTTGAGTATCTGCTATATTGTTTTGCAACTAGTGTCTTTAGCATAGTAAATGCAAGAAATTTTTGTAAATTATCAAAAAAATAGAAAAAGAACAAAATAAAACTAAAGCAAATGCTAGTTTTCAATGCTAAAATTAGTCTTCAAAGGTGTTGTTATTGCTAGAAATATATGATCAGTCTGTTTTTTGCACAAATGACTTAAGTAGCAGGACAATCTTCAGGTAGGCTTTACTGGCCTTATTTTGCAGTGAGTAGAGATGATCCTTCTTGCTGGCTTTCAGAATACACCACTATGCACATCTCCCTCTCTTGAGCCTCTATTCACTCTCTAGAAGAAATAATGCTGTTTTGTGCTTAACATTGTTGTCTTGATTCTGAATATTAAGATTTTATATAAAGAAGATATTGGAACTGGAACTACTATTGAAAAGACACCAGAGATGCAGAGAGTTAAACGAACCCAGGATGCAATTAGCTCGGTACAAACCATTGGTTTTTGTTACTCTTACCAGTGCTAATTCCACTTAAAATATAATATTTCCCCTCTTTCTTTTTTTCCCTCACATTTTATATTTCCCCTCTTTGTTTTTTTTTTCTCACATTTTGCTAACTGTGATTTGGCAATAATCTGTTCAGCTAAGGATTACTTTCTAAGAGTTTCTCCTATTATTATTACTTAATATTTTTTCTAATGATTAACAATGAATTTGTTACTTACTCCATTTCTAAACCATTAAAGTTTTTGTCATAATTCTAATCCCAAATGTATTTAGTTAGCACATTTCTTGAAAAACCTTTATGTTATATAAAACTCTTCATACTCTGAAATTGGAATAAGGAGATAAGTATTATTTTTCCTTTGAAAATTATAAATGTTTGTTGTGCTTTTCAATGCTCACATCATTTTAGCATAAAAGATACTAACATTTCAGATTGTTGTTTCATGCACTGTATGTTAAATATGTTCTTGGGGAATGCTATTTTTGTATTATGCTAAAGTAGAAATGAAAATAGTGCTGATATTGAGTGTTTTAATTGTTATGTTGGATGGTGATATACACCATGTTTCATTGATAGATTGTTTGTAAATGTGATGGGAATACTTGAATAGCAACTGTCTGCTCATGTTGAAGCTAGTGAGATCTTTTCAGCCTCCTTGAAATGATGATAATAAGATCCTTTTTTATGCTGTTAGGCCAAGATTTTTAGAAATAATTTTTAGTTACTGGTATCACAGTTTGCTTTGGAACACCATGTGAGATATCTCAAAAAGACTCAACTGTTAGAGGTCAGGAGTTGTGCTTGCTGAAATGACGATCCTGGGAGATGTTAAATACTCAAATTTGGAGCTTCAGTTGAAAATTCTGACTCAACCAGAATTCCTTGCTTTTTTGCTATGAGCTCCAAGAAAGCAAAGAAGCTTTTCCTTGCTGCTTTAGATGAACATTCCTGGCTAATTGTCCAGCTGGTATCTAATGAGTCCAGGGCTAGAAGGAGGTAGTTTCCAAAGGCTGGAGGATGAGATTCAGTAGTAAAAATGTCTATGAAGTACACTGTAAGATGACCAAAGGTGCTGTGATAATATGAATAATTCTTGTAGCTTCCTTATGGTTTTCCTTCCATCAAAGGACCTGATTTAGTACTCTAGATTTGTGAGTTGTATTATGTAAATGACCTATGTTTCTTTATTCATGTGTGTGTCTCAACTGTGCTTTAATGTAATCCTTTTATTTTTTCCAATATCTTTGCATTTGTAGATTAAGTACAAGGAGAGTATTGGAAAGGGAACTCCTATTCCTGATCTCCCAGAAGTGAAGCGTGTCAAGGAGACCCAGAAGCACATCAGCTCGGTAGTGGCATATCTTTTTTTTTTTCACTTACCCATTTGAATTGCTCAGCTAAGTCATCTTGCTTCCACTCCTAGGAAATCCCTTATGTTTTTTTAATGGTGCTGTTGTTTTTATCCAGGACTTGGAGAGAGAATATTTTTGCAGAACTTAAGTTTTAATCTCAGCTGACGTTCATGGCTAGTCTGAATAAAGATCAGAGCTCTTAAATACCTAGATTTAGCAGGAGATAGTTCAAGCACATGAATGAACTTTTTTTTTTTTTTTTTTTTTAATGGTTTGGTTGTTAACACTATAACAAAGCTCCAGAGGAGCAGAAGATACAAATTCTCACCCCACATAGCATAATATTAAAGCTTATGACCCACTATAATGAAATGATCCATTGAACTGAGTAGGTTAAAAAGACCTATCAAAACTTTGATAAGTTGATGACTGCACTTAAAAAGCTGAGTCAAATACATAATGCACATATTTAATATAATTGCAGATTATATTTGCCTGTAAACCAGGTGAAAGACCTATCCAAAAGTACTGTAACTGAGTTCTTGTGGAAGGATTATTATCTTCTCACCTTTCTGAGTGCTTCTATTCTGCAGGTATTATACAAAGAGGACCTAGGGACAGGTATCCCAACACCAGTCACTCCAGAAATAGAGAGAGTCAAACGCAATCAAGAACACATTAGCTCGGTATTTATTAAAATAATAATAATAATAAAAAAAAAGATAACTTATTTTTGCATAATAACATCCTAACATATTTTCTGTTTTCCTCAGTGGTTTAGAATCTCACACTGTGCCTTTTATCTCCCTGGCAGTATTTTTAACTCATTTTTTCTGCCTTTTTGTGCTTTATTTTTTGGGGGTGATTTACAACTTTATGTGCATTTCTTTTAAGAACCCAAACTGGAGGTAAGCTGTGAAATTAACATGATGCTTCTTTCCACGTTTGTGTATCTTAACCTATTCTCTCTTATATATTTTCATTCCTATATTTACAGAATAATCAGCGACAAGCCATTTCCTTAATATTCAGTTCTAGAGCAAGTGTGAAATTAATAATAAAAGAAAGTGATCCTAACACTAAACATAGCTTAGAAAACAGATTTAACAATTTTGCCTGTGTTGAGCATTTTTTTCTGGAAAATTTCTTGTACCTCACAGGTGTTATACAAAGAGGGCTTAGGGACTGGCACCCCAACACCGGTCACTCCAGAGATGGAGAGAGTCAAACGCAATCAAGAGAACATTAGCTCGGTATTGCTAAATCAAACCAAAATGACCTCTTCAAATCAATACCATTTAACTTTTTCATAATTTTTTTAAATTCTTTGTTGAACTTTAAACAGTCCTTTCTTAATCAAATCACTAAAAGCTTATTAGTACCCTTATACTTTAATTTTTCACCTAAGTCTAATTGTTCTATCTGTGAAACTTTTAACTTCATTTACTTAAAGCAGTTAAGCAGTTCCTTTTTTGCCCCCACTGAACCAGTAATGTTGCGAGTGAATCTCACTCTCTTCTTCAGTAACACAGTTGGTCTTCTAACAGTCTTCAAGACTCACCACTGTGATGCAGTGCAAACATAATCGTGAACTCCTAACGTTTCTTGAAGCCAAACAATTTAATGCAACTGGTGTGTTCTTCCTTTCCTTGTTTTTGTTGTGTTGGATGCTTTCTTCTGTCCTACAGGTCTCTGTAAAGAAAATGTGGGCAATGCCCCCAGATCTCTATAATACCAAAGATGAAGAGTTCATGATTAAGGAAATTACTGTAATGAGTTTCTGTCCAGACATATTGCTACTCCAAATAGCTTCCATTTAAATCACCATGCACAGTTCCAAGTGTTTGATTTTATGCTGTAACTTAGTGGTTTATTTCTGGTTTAATTAGAGCAGCCTAGGACCAATCTTGGTTTGCTCTGACCCAGCTGACGTAACTGATGTGAAATCCAGTCTTGATTTACGGTTGCTAAGCCCGTTCAGAAAAGGCACTGCTGTTACACTATTTGCTGTTAGATAGTTGTCCCCAAGAGGATCACAGCTGTCTATGCCGGTGAGCCTATTTAAAAACGCACCTGAATAAGCATCTTTCCCTCTAAGGCTTCTTTAGAAACCTGTTTTAGACTCCTAGGGGAGGGGAAAGGACAAATGCAAAAGAGTTTCCAGGTAACTCAAAATATGCTATCAGAAAAAAACACTCCTAAAGTTCCTGTTGATGTGCACCCAGATGAGATCATAAAAAAGCAAGTTAGCAGAGTCTTTATTTTGGAAAGCCTTGGAATGAGGCGGACAAAATTGTATTGTTCCTGCTTAGAAGTTTCACCGCATTAAGTTATTTTCACTCTGTCTCTTTCCCTCTTTCCCATGCTCCTTTTTTTTTTTTCTCCTTTTTCTTCTTCCTTTTTTTTTTCTTTTTTTTTCTTTTTTTAAACCTCCTGCTGCCACACAGGTGTTGTACAAGGAGGAGGTGGGGATTGGAACCCCAGTACCCGTAACCCCTGAGATGGAGAGAGTCAAACGCAATCAAGAAAACTTTAGCTCGGTACCTCTTTGTAATCTAAGAAAAAAAGTTCCCTATAACTTCATTTCAGATGAGCTGCTTAACAATTGTACATGTTCTTTGCTTTCTAATTAACATACAAACATACAAGCATTCCTTTTCCACTATTGGATTTTTCAGTAATTTTTTTAGCTATATTCTATATGGTTATTTTTTCTTCTTTTTTTTTTCCATAATCATAACAATTAAAACTTCATATCCCTTAATTTCTAAAGTTACTTTTGCTTTTTTGAAGCTTAAAGCTTATTTTACATCTTAAAATTAACACCACTTAAAATTTGCTTTACTTCTCTACTGCTTTGTTATTCCATTGAAGCATATCTAAGAATTGGGTTATAGTCTATAAAGGTCTCAGAAGGCTTCCTCTGGATTTATCACCACTGTTAGCTGTTTTGTATTTCCTAATTTTTCCTGCTTTCTAATGGATTGGATAGGCATTATAGTTACATACAAGTTGCCTCTATAAAATGATTTTTTTCCTTAATTTTTTTACACTCCTATTTGCTACGTAGGTGTTATACAAAGAGGATCTGGGGACAGGGACCCCAACACCTGTCACTCCTGAGATTGAAAGAGTCAAACGCAATCAAGAACACTTTAGCTCGGTATTTTTTAATTTGAAAAACACAAATTCCCTTTTTTATCTATTTGAAAATAATTTTAACAGCAAAAAATGTATTCTTGTGTTTCCTTATAATCAACTCACTCAAAAAATACACCTACTCCCTTTGTTTTGACATTTTTCCTCCATAATTGTTACTTACATCATTTTTGCTCCATTGTTTTGATTGTATCACCTTTATAATAATTTCTAGTTTCTCCCTCCCTTTTGACTCTGAATATCTTTTTAATCTTAATCTTTTTTAATTACTGAATAATATCCATTTTTTCCTTTTGTTCCTTTTGTTAATCACATCAGTCCTTGATTTTGTTTCCTTTTTTGTTTTTTTTTTTTCTTCGTTTCAGTCTGTATGAAAACTTAACTGTAAGTGACCTCATACCAATCTGTGGAAATGCCTTCAGTGTAACAGTGCTTTAATATATTTCAGTTTAATCTTATGGAACAGATGAAACAAATGAGATAGATTGTTGCTTTTGTTACATACTTGATACCTCCTTCCTTTAGGAATTCTTTAACTATATTTCATTGCACAAAGAAAGTGTCCCAAATTCCTAGCTGGGCTGAACTGTTTTGGATTCAGTGGGAGCAATGACAGTGATTTCCTCAGTGAGAAGAAGCTTTTACAGAAACTATAAGAGCAGTAATAATTGTAATTCATACATACACCTTTATTATGAGCTCATCTGCATGTCCTTCCTGCAAGTAGGATTCTGTAATATTAAACCCTGAACCATAAGTAACATTTTGCTCAGGGAATGGATGACTGTCTTAACGTGGGAATATATAGAAACTCTTTTAGGAAGGAGCAATAGGACTCGAGCACTGTCAAGAAAAAGATCACCCCACTTTTCACTATTGGTGAAAAAATAGTAATATACTTCATTGTATTTTATGTAACGCTTTAATCTTAGGAGTAAGCAGGTTTTAATGTGTATCTCCAGGAGCATTTAATTACTAATTAGAGAAGATGTTTTCGTGTTTGGGCAGAAGTCATTGCAGTGTCAGATGGTTTAATATTATGTTCATAAGCTTTGTGGGTTTTTTTTTTTTCCCCGCTGTTTTTGTTCAGGGCAGCTCTGAAAAAAAATCTCTCTTGTTCAGTTTGCTCAGCTCAGCAAACTGCGAGATACTGCTGTTTGCTTGTTCCTTTTTCTGTATTGTTTTTAACATAGCTGTATTACCTCACAGGTGTTATACAAGGAGGGGCTGGGGACAGGGACCCCGACACCTGTCACTCCTGAGATTGAGAGAGTCAAACGCAATCAAGAACACTTTAGCTCGGTATTTTTTCTTTACTTGAAAAACAGCAATTGCCCTTTTTGATCGATTTGAAAATAATTTTAACACCTTGAAATTACTGCTGTGTTTCCTTATAATCAACTCACACACAAAAAATATTCCTATTCCCTTTGTTTTGTCATTTTTCCTCCATAATTATTACTTAAGTCATTCTTGCTCCACTGCTTTGATTTTATCACCTTTGTAATAATAACTTTTAGATTCACCCTCTTTTGACTTTTTCTTAGTTTTTAAATAAGACTCATATTTTTCTATTGTTAATATGATCAGTCCTTTTTTTTTTTCCTTATTTTTTCCTGATTTTAGTATGTAAGAAAACTAAACTCTAAATGGCCTGATACCAATTTGTGGAAATGCCGTGTTCTAATATATATCAGAGTAACCTGCTGTGATATTTATGGAATGGTGAAACAGAGCCTAATTGTTTCTTCCTTTTGCTTTGTATTTGATAACTCCTTTCTTTTGGGATTTTTAAATTTTTATATTGGTGCACAAAGATAGTGTGTTATGTGTATCTTGAGAAGCACTTACTGAGGTAGGGAAGGTGTTCTAGATTTCTTCCAGAAGTCGTTGCAGTGTCTCACTGGTTAACTTTGTTTGATTTTTCTTTGCTTGGTTGGTTGGTCCAGAGCAGTGGGCACATTTTGTGCTTCTCAGCAGGCCGAGTGTCACTTTTGTTTGCTTGTTCCTTCTTTAACGTAGCCGTGTTACCCCACAGGTGTTGTACAAGGAGGATCTGGGGACAGGAACCCCAATACCTGTCACTCCTGAGCTTGAGAGAGTCAAACGCAATCAAGAACACATTAGCTCGGTATTTTGTGGAGGACAACAAAATCCCATTTAACTCCACTTCAGCTGAACTTTTTAACCTTTATTAAAAAAGAATTGGTCCGATCCTTGCTTCTATATAATCAACTTATAAAAACATCCTTTTTTCCTTCACTGTGCTCCCCTTCTCCATAAATACACCTACCTCTTCTTCATGATTATTTATTTAATCTTATATATCTTTAAGCATTTTGCTCCATGTTCCAATTCCCTTTTCCATTTTCTGTTCTAATGCTCTTACAAAAGAGTGCAGATCTGACTTTCCAGCAGGCTGCCGTGGTGGTCTCCCATCCAGCATGAAAATAGAATATATTTATTTGCCTTGTTCTGCACCTTCTAAACAGAACTGTAGTCCTGTTGGCTTTCAGAACCCAATTGGTGCCATCCCCATCTGCTTTGCTTTCAGTGCACAGTAGAGTAGCTCAGTATTTTAAGACCCAGGAAACTTCATGTTGGATGTAATTATTACCAAATTCTGATTTTCTTTTATTTTTGGTGCTTCCTTGTTGCTGTGCAGGTGTTGTACAAAGAGAACGTGGGGACTGGCACCCCCATTCCAGTCACTCCAGAGATGGAGAGGGTCAAACACAATCAAGAAATCTGTAGCTCGGTACTTTACCAAGGAAAAAAGTTCCCTTTAACTCCTTAAATGAATATTTTAACAGTTTTTATAAATGAATGCTTTAACACTTTTCCAGAGTAATGTCCACTGTAGGTCTAAGGCAGCTTAAATAAATGATTCCTTCTTACCCATGTTTTCCAGTGATTTCTCTAACTTTTTGCAATTTAACTGTCTTTTTGGAAACTTACTTTAATGCCCTATTCTAATCCTATGAAGTTTTAACGAACAGCCTTAATTTTCTTTCAGATGCTGATTTATTAGTGACTACAGATTCATAGCATCCTCAAATCCTGTATAGAGTGTTCTTTTGCCTTTTTTGTATATATAGTACTTACACTATTAAAAGAGTGGTCTTACAGTTAAAAGGAAAGCTAAACCTTACATCTCTAGTAAAATATTGCTAGGTACCTTTTTCAAAAAAAAAAAAAAGTATATATAATATTGTGAAATTAAATACAAGCAAAAAATGCCTAAGGCTTCAGATTTGTCTACAGGTGGCTCTTTACTTATTGCTGCTCTCTTTGGCTCCTTTCTCGTGTTCATAGGTGTTATACAAAGAAAACGTAGGGAAAGCAACCCCGACACCTGTCACTCCCGAGATGGAGAGAGTCAAACGCAATCAAGAAATCATTAGCTCGGTATATTGAACACACAGTCAGGTCTTAAAAGCTGAAGTGTTAAACATAACTGTTTTAATAATCATTTAAAACAGCATTTTTTTATAATCTCTTGCTTTCTAACTTTATAAAACAAAATCACTACTTAGCATAACCTCCTACTTTTTTGTGCTTACACAGAAATTGTAGTATCTTGTATTTTAACCCTTTTTTCTTAGAACTAGTTTTGACCTTTTTCTTCAATAGACATCTTTTCTTTGCACTTTTTTTTTTTTAACACTTTCTCACTACTGATTTGCAATAGTACTGGGTCCATTTCTGCATCTTAATATAACCATGGCAGTGCCTCCCTTGCTACACTGGGCCCAAATCTAACCCTTTCTAAATGGCACAATTCAGAACCTTTCTTGTATGTGTGCTTTTGGTTTTGCTTTTGTTTTTTCTTTTTTTTTTCTGTTTTTTTTTTTTTTTGGTTCTTTTTTCTTGGTGATGCCTTTTTAATGATATTTGGATACTCCTTTGTATCCCTTAGGTTTTGTACAAAGAAAATGTGGGGAAAGTGACCCCAACACCAATCACTCCAGAGATGGAGAGAGTCAAACGCAATCAAGAAATCATTAGCTCGGTACCTTAAAAATGGTTGTTTTCCCCCCTCACCATTAATCCCATGCTTTAATGAAGTAACATTCTAACAAATGACTGAAAAATGATTTTAAAATAGATACACCTGGTTTTGCAAATTAATTGCTCCTCCTCTAAAATATGCCCAGCTTAGGTGTTAACCTCCTGCTCTGGAGATGAAAGCCTGTCGTGCAGCTCCCTCCTCGCCAGCGCAGGGCTCTATCCAGAAGGCCACAGCCAGGCTGCCCTGATACCTGGTTGGTATCTAGACCTCCCTTGGTGGCATTTAGACCCCCCTCGTTGGTATTTCAGTTTTCATTGGCATTTCAGCAAACTGGCTGTAACTCAAAAAAAAGAACATCCATCCAAACCTCATCAAGGCAAAACAGGCGCTTCTTAAATAGCTCTCCCGGGTCAGTGGCCACTTCCCAGGGCTTTATGGAGCCCAGTACCTGTAGCTGGATAGAGCCCTTCTTTGTTAATTGAAAAAATATCCTTTTAACAGGCTTTTCTTTGGCAGTTTACTTTTCTTACCTTTCCTTCTACCATTAGCCATTAGCCTTTTGTGCAGTGCTGCGTACCATAATCCCTCATGTTCTTTTACTGGAACTTGATAACTAAGAAATAATTTATGTTCAAATACTATTGATACATGTATTTTTAAAGAAATTGGATACATCTTTTGTATCCCACAGGTGTTGTACAAAGAGAACTTGGGGCGAGCAACCCCCACCCCTATCACTCCAGAGATGGAGAGAGTCAAACGCAATCAAGAACACATTAGCTCGGTATTGTCTGGAGGACATAAAATGGGAGATGATAGAGCTTTTTCTCTTCTTTCCTTCTTTCTACCTTTCTTTTTTTTTTCCTTTGTTCTTTCTTCTTTTTTCTTTCTTTTTTTCTTTCTTTCTTTCTTTCCTTCCTTTTTTCTTTTTTTTTTTTTTTTTAAAGAACATCTGTTCTGTTTTTTCTTAACCCTTTTATATTTTTCCCCTGGAAATTTAGAAATTAATTATTTAAAATCATAGTACTCAAAAGAATCTTTTACTTTGTTGATAATTAACTTTTACAATGCTCTTTTTCCTCTGATGTCTCTTTTTCTTTGCTTTCTTTCCTGCTGGATGCTGTTTACTGTAAACCCAGTAGCACTGAGGTGCTCAGGTGACGTGTTTGTGACTGTGGGCTGTTTGTGGTCTGTAGGTGGTGTACAAAGAAGGCTTAGGGAAGGCAACCCCCACTCCGGTCACTCCAGAGATGGAGAGAGTCAAACGCAACCAAGAACACATTAGCTCGGTACTGAAAGAGGAAAGACACCCGCTTGATATTAAAAGAAATAATCACTTGGAAAAAAACCACCCTTCTAATTTAGCCTTACTTTATCAGTTTACCTTATTTTGCCTATTTTTCCTTTTGATTTTCACCTTTTCCTCTAGCAAATAACTTTTTAACTGCTTTGTTTCCCAAGATCTTTTCCATCCCTTGCCGTGACGCTTAAGCACTCACCCCATGAACACGCGAGCACTTCCAGTACTTCCAGCCTCATTTGTGGACTCTTTTCTGTCCGCTCCAGGTATTGTACAAAGAACATCTGGCAAAAGGGACTCCAACACCCATGACCCCAGAGATGGAGAGGGCCAAGCGCAACCAGGAGAACATTAGCTCGGTATGTCCTGTTGAGCCAGTAAATGACTGCACCAACAGATAATGTTTTTACTCTCTAAAATGTGGATTCTTTTCCTTACTCGTTTTGAAATAATCATGCAAATAGTGACATTAGTCCCACATACTAGTTTTGAACTTTCAAATCCTATTGCAGTTGGCTGTTCCTGTGTAATTAATTGCTCTTTTTTAAATAGCAAAAAAAAAAAAAGAATTTCAAATTGAAAGTATTTTTGGCAATTAGTGGACTAAATGAGTTGTAAAATGTACATTCTTTAGTAACAGTATATTGTTTTAGGTGCTGACAGTATCCTTCAATTTATGTAAAAGATATCAAACCTGGAAGCTTCCTCCTTTTGCCCCGAGTCTTTGCTAACCTTTTATTCCAGCTGTAAAAGTTCTGTCGTGCCCCTTCTCATCAATGTTCATGTCCATAACACAGCTCGTGACTCATGCAGGCTGCATTTGCAAACAAGTGGTTACAGAAGCATTCCAGCCATGTTATTGAGAAGAGAAGCCCTGCAAAAACGGCAAAAATTGTAATAATGTGATGATAAATTTTCTGTTTCATGCTGATAACCACACTGAAGTCAGTGAGTTGCATGTCAAACGGATGAAAATTTTACCCCTTTTACCTGTCATTTACCTATCTCTCTTATTACAAGGTGGAAAAAAAGTAAAGATCTTTAAGTTCAGAAGAAGGAAGGTTTGGAATCAAGTCTTGTGCAGTCCGTGTTTCGTAATTATGAAAAATGCTGCTTTACATCGTAACACATTTTCTTCCGTGGCAGGTTCTTTATTCTGATAGCTTCCGGAAACAAGTGCAGGGCAAAGCTGCCTATGTCCTGGATACACCTGAGATGCGGCGTGTACGAGAGACCCAGAAACACATCTCCACGGTAAGGACAGAAGTACATTTAACGTGCAAAGGTGTTGAATAAAAATGTAACCTTAGTCCTGAGACATGCCAGGAATTGCAGCTCAGAGGTGGTGCCTGTGTAGCAAGTTTGGATACCCGAGTGATAAAGGTAAAAGAGACTTTGCAGGAAAGGCATGTTGGGGATGAGGCGCTCTCTGCCTCGCATAGTTCCTCGGAGGAAGCAAAAGTTGAGAACTGCAGTTCGTGTCTCTACTAGGAATTCACTTGTGGTAAGAAGGAATTAAAACAATTATCTAAACTACAGGTGGAACAGAAATTTCATTTTAATTTGCAGGTGAAATACCATGAAGATTTTGAGAAAAACAAAGGTAGTTTCACACCTGTAGTTACTGACCCCATTACAGAACGTGTGAAAAAGAACATGCAGGACTTCAGTGACATCAGCTATAGAGGCATTCAAAGACGAGTGGTAGAAATGGAGCGAAAACGCGTGGACCAGGATCAAGAGAATCTCACAGGTGAGCAGAAGGCAGGTTTTGTAAGGACTGGAGTCTTTCCCTTATGCTAAGCACAACCTGACCTTGATGCTTCATCTTAAAGATTTTCAAGCTCTGACGTGGAGAGTTTTAAATCTGTATCTCTCCTCGCGTAGCAGCTCTTGGCCCTCCAGCCCTGCTCGTGCCCCAGCCCTCCCTGGGAACCCGCTCTTTCTCTTGCAGATCTCCGTGTGTGGCGCACGAATCCTGGCTCGGTCTTTGACTATGACCCAGCAGAAGACAACATTCAGTCCCGAAGCTTACACATGATCTCTGGTTTGTTCCTCAGTTTGTAGCATTAATGGCAAGGAGGCGTTAGATGGGCATAAACACGAGGTGTAAAGCTCACGGGCTGGGGTAATGAAGTCCAGCTCGGCGCTGCCCCTGGTCCTTGGGGCTGGCTTCAAACACACACAGACCAGATTGCAGAAGTTGCCCAGGGACTCGGCTCTTGCGAAGAGCTAATGGAGATGTGAGGAGAAACTGTCGCTCCACCACACCAGTGTAATTATCATTGTTGTAGATATAGCTGGATGTCTAACGAATATAGATGCTTCTCACATAAAGTGAATTTGACTAGTATACAAATTACTCCTTAAAAACATGGGGTATTCTGGATTGTTTATGTGGTCCACAGGTTAGGTCACGTTAGGATTCTGTACCTGTAATATTAACATGTTTCCTTTTTAAACTAAGGCCAAAACTGTTGTTCCTTAGTGTCTGCTTTTACCCCTTTCCTGAGAAGAGATGCATCCTAAATGATGGCGAACCCTGTATTAGGCCTGTCTCAGCTCTGGATAAGGGAAGTAAAGAATAGTTCTAATAAAAAAAATGGAATAGCCATAAAAACAGCCTGCTATGAATTAGGTAAGAGTACAGTGGTGGGACAGGACTGCTTTAGGGCTGTTGTATAGCAGACACTCCTGTATGCCTTTTCACACGTGCATCTTCTTGCCAAGTAACTCCCTGCTCTCGTCACAGTCCAGGCCCAGCGCCGCAACAGGGAACATTCCCGCTCTGCCAGCGCCCTGAGCCTCAGCGCTGGCGATGAGAAATCGGAGCCCTCGGACGGGCTGGATCAGCATCTCTCCTATTACAGCAACGCGGGCTTCTTCACTACAGCGGCAACAGGTAGGAGGTGGTGGCTGATACACACGATACAAAAGCAAACTAACCAACCCCACGCAGCCTGCAGGGCAGCACTTGTCATCCTGTCTGGCCTGGCTCGTGGTCCTGGTTTTAGCCATGAAAGAAGCACAAAGGGACAGCTCTAATAGCTTGAGCTGTGCACATAACCAACCCAAGTAAACTGGAAGAAGGCATATTTGATGTAAACAACTCTCTATCCTCATATCTTCATTCAGCCCCTCTCAGACTCAGCTCTGGTGCCAGAGCCACAACACATAGCAGCATTAAGGAAGTACGCAGTATAAATTACCAAGTCTTTCTTTCCTTTTGCAGTGACCTACAAACACGCTAAAACGGTAGAGCTGCCCCAGCAAAGATCAGCCTCCGTTGCCACCCAGCAGACGACTGTGTCCTCGGTCCCTTCTCACCCTTCCACTGCTGGCGTAAGTAACAAGGCGGCTCCAGCGCAGCCCGTGTCCAGTCCCAGGAAACCAGCGCCCTTCCAGCCCCGAGGGGGCCAGGGCTGCCCTGCAAGCCTCAAAATGACCCTGACAGCAGGCTCAAAAGAAACTCCTGAAGTGTTTGCAGGGTTTGGGTTGATGTTTGAGTGAAAAGAAATTTTGTTATGAAGCTGCTACTTAAACATTCTGCCAAAGACAGAAGCAGCATTACTTTTAGAGCATTAAAGTCAAAACACGACCTGCCCCTACTCCCTGTCCCTACTCCCTGTCCCTTACGCTGTGTGTCTGACCAGGAGCTCTGTCAGTCCCTGCTCCCAAAGCGCTGTGCTGTAAACCTGCCTCTTCTTTCCCCTACACAAACAGAAGACCTACCGGGCCATGTACGACTACACGGCCGCCGATGCGGACGAAGTTTCCTTCAAGGATGGCGACACCATCGTGAACGTGCAAGCGATCGACGAGGGCTGGATGTACGGGACGGTCCAGCGGACGGGCAAGACGGGGATGCTGCCCGCCAACTACGTGGAGGCCGTGTGAGGCCGAGGGCGCTGCCCCTGCAGCGCGGCCACGCGGCTCCGCAGCGCTCACGGCCGCGGCTGGGGGGAAAAGCCGCCCTCCCGGGCGCGTTGCTCGGGTTTCCAGCTGGCAGCGCTTTATGAACCGGCCTCGTGGCACAGCGGGGGAGAAACAAAAAACAGCAACTGCAGAATCAAATACTCCTAAACTCTCTTTCCCAAACATTTTTGAAAAGTGCCTGTAAAACCACTCCCTGGCCTTGCTCTGGGGAGACCTGTAGTTCTTTTTTCATTGTCCAAAATACTTTTACAGGGTCTGGACTTGCATATAAAATATTTATGTCCTGAATTAGCACCCTCTTAACCAGCTATGCTAGAATTGCAGTCCAGTTGAATATCAAAACTTCTATTTAACATTACCGGTTGTTACTTTTTCAGGACGAGAAATAGTACCTTGCTGGGCTAGTCTAAACTAGCTCTATTTATTTCTTTTCCCTGTAAGCAATAGTTAAGCTTATTATCTCCAAACAAATTAAAAAGAGCCCCTAGCCAGAGCCTCTCCTCTGCTCGCGGGCCACTCCTGCATGTGTTTTTCAGTCTCGTGTTCTGGGGTCAAAAGCTGTTACTTCTTGTAAATTAGTGAGCAAATAAAGCTAATGTTTCTGCAGTATCTCTAATGTATTAACTCCTGTTCGAGAACAGGAACCACTTTCATACCAGCTTTGTCCAGAAAAATTTTGAATTGAAGGCTAAAAGCCACAAAAGGTGATAGAGGAGGGGGAGCCGCAGCAGCACAAGTCAAAGGCAGAGAAGCTCAGGAGGAGGCGGAGGAGCTCCCCCGCGACCCTTGCAGGATTTGAAACCGTAAGTTTAAATGAAACAACTGCTATTAACAAGTTAGGGAGCTATTTATTCCTTTAGGGAACTAGTTACTCTTTTATTTGCACATCTGTAAGTTCTAAAAACACCTGTGGCAACTCCTCCCAGTAAATGTGCATTTTTGATAGCTATAGTGCAATATATACAAATTAATAATGCCAAATAAAATCCAAGAACTCTCTCTGAAGGTCTCTGAGAAGCAGCAATGCATTCCCTGCAATTAAAATTTCATGTCATAAATTATTAACCAACATTTGCAATTGTAAGTCTGTACATAATATACAACGAGCTCCTGTCTAATCCATTTCCCCATAGGAAAAAGTCTTCTCCCACAGGGGAGAACACTGCTGCCAACAAACCTGTTAGGACACGGGAAAAAGCCTGAGGAGTTTTGTGCCTGTAAAGGTCCCATTTATCATCAGCTTCTTATTGTGACTCTTACTTAAAAAATACATGGAAAGAAGATGCTGCCCAGGTGCCGGGTTCTGCAGCCCCGGGAGGGCGGTAGTGGCGCCCAGCGCAGCAGGAACGGGAGGCACTGACGGGCCGAGGACTAAGAACACTTCGGATTGCAAAAAATAACTTAACGACGCTGCTGGTTTGGGTTCACAGTCTGTGCTATTGCACCCCGTAAGTTTTCTTTCACCACCTGAAAGAAATATGCATAGCGATATGATACAGATACCTCTACGATGGAACAAGTAATCCCACAAAACCAAACAAACACGATACATTTGCCCATATCGTTCTTAAAAATTTTTCTATAGTACAAATGCACAGTTTATGGAGCAATTCAATATGAAAAGCAGGCTGTCAGAAAAAAGAAAATCATTGTAACAAAGTCCTCCTTGCTTAGACATGATGAGCAGCTACTCGAAACTTTCATGGGGTGGCGATTTCCAGCGGGCCTGCAGGTTTTTCATGATACAGTTTGTCATGCCCACGAGCTTCTCCTGCATCTCGAAGAGCTGGCTGCCCGGGTAGCTGTGGAGGTCGGCGGCGCTCAGGCGAGCGGCCAGCGCCTCCACCTGGCTCAGCAGGTCTGCGGCGGGAGGGCTGGTCAACACAACCGGCTCCACCAGGTCTAGAAAGCAGAGGGAGGACAGCAGGTCGGTATCGAACAGGTAACAGGGCAGCCTTCCAAGGGCAGCTGGAGCTGGAACGAACGTGCTCCCACGAAACGTGCTGAGGCTGTTGACACTACGAGGGAGCATCCGAGAGGCACCTCCGAGCTAAAGGCTCCCTTCCTCAGGGACACAGGAACTGGTGGAGCCCCTCAGCTCCCAGCACCACCACCCGTCCTCCCAGCTTCTTGCTCAACACAGTTACCTGTCGCAAGTTTCTCTTCATCCCCAGAAAACGATTTATCCTCTGTGCTGTTTATTGGCTTCTCTGCGTCTTCCAGCGCTGTGATTTCCTCCAACCCTCGAGACTTCACCTGGAGATGTAGAGAGCGAGAGACATTTTAGGCAGAGAAAAAAATCCCCTCAAACCACACTGAGATAGCAGGGTGGGTCACATTTAAACAGTTATTCACAGAACATTATGACTATATTAACATTCAGGGATTTAGATCACTAAATTACAATGTTACTTTGACAGATGGAGATCACTGTTCAAAAAGTTAAATAATTCCTTATGCCAGACAGAGCAGTTATCAGGCTGCCACAGTGGCTTTTTGAGGACTACTGAACTTTACCTGTTGCTCATGATATCCTTTTAGAGCTTTTCTAACGTTGGAAACTTTAGGAGAGCGGATGGGAAGAGTTTTGATTTCCGAGGCTGTCAGAGTACTCAGATCACCCACTGTCTTAATATTCTTCGCTCGAATGAGCTGCCCCAAACCTCTTGCGCTGCAGAAGGGTGGGGGAAAAAGGTTAAAAAGTTTATTATTTTATTGTCTAGAATCCATGTCCCATCTCCCAGTGATGAGGCAGCAGGAAGAGATCTTATGTGAACATACAGACCAATTAATATACAGACAAATGAGACAAAAAGCAAGGGAAACAACATTCTTTGCTGTGTGGGGAGGCAGGTCTTGCTGCAGCTCGCCCTGCATCCAACGGACGGTGTCCCCAAACTCCGGACGGTGTTCCCAAACTCCGTGTGGTTGAGCAGATAAAGCTGACCGCCCCGAGGCGGCCACCTCACCCTGCCCTCACTACAGGGCTGCAAAGTCTGGCGCCACCTACGTTATCAGGCTTTTATATTTGTTATCAGAAACCAGGTGACTGCACTTGTTGGGTGTCCTGCGAAGGAAAGGGGATGCTCGGACAAGATGCATTCCAGGTTTACGGAAGGCCAGGTAGGTGTTTATGCTTCGGAGACAGTTCTGTACAACCTTCTGTGCATCTGAAATAGCCGTTTTCTGAGCATCCCTCTTCCCCTGCAGAGCTCCCGGCAGCGCCTGGGAACACAGAGCCTGTGGCCATCAGCAGAAATCCATGGAAAGTCCAAGCGCTCTCGCCACAGACCACTGTGATCAGTCTCTCCCTCGAATCCCAGAATCCCAGAATGGCTGAAGTTGGAAGGGACCTCTGGAGATCATCCAGTCCAACGTCCCTGCTCCAGCAGGGACACCCAGAGCACGCGGCACAGGGTGCTACATGAACCTACTGGGAGATGCTCCCTGTGATCGCAGGAACGAGCTGTTCACAGCTTGACAAGAAACACCAGTAACAACAGTTAAGTCCATCCATTCCCCCCTTTTAAAAACCGTCTCCGTAAGTCATCACATCCTACATCAGAAAAAAAAAAACACTTCTGTAGCTTCAATCTGAGAATTTCATTTCTATTAAAATATAATCTTCAGCAGCAATAACCCACTCACCATATATTTGATGTAATCTGAGGTAAAATTATATCAACTGGTGCTTTACAGCCAACTAAGGCAGGATACACACGTTCTGTCAAGCAGGGCAGCGATTCTTTGGACATTTCAGTGATCTTGAAAAATACAGGAAAATTATTAAATTAACTATCCCACAAACAAATCCAGAAAAAAATAGAATATATACATGAACCAAAGCACTTCTTACTAAACACTTCTTTGAGCTCTTAAATTTAAGGTTACGGAATCCTGGGGACAGAAATCCTTTGGTTGGAGTGGTAATATGCTGGGTAGAAAAAGAGGAAAAAAATCTCTCAGGATCGTAGGAATTCAGTTGATTATCAGATTCTAGCTACCCTAATCTCAAAGCATTTTTCTTTTCAGAGACATCTCACTCAACACAAAGAACCTGTAACAGTATTTCTTAAACTACAGACACACAGCAGGGTGCACACAGCTTTCTGTCCATCATAAGCGAGAGCCCGAGGAGCTGCCACATACAGAACACACTTGAGACAGAGTTTACCTTAGGCTGAATGTTAGATAAAATTTTAAGGCTTCGTGAGGACGGTGAACCATTTGAGGAATGGGATCTAACGACGGGACTTCTCCTGTCTATGTCATCTGCCAGACCTTCTTGATAAATGGGGTTTGCAAAAGACACTCGGCGAATCTGTTTCGAGAGAGAAGGCGTTTTTATGGTTAGGTTACAGTATGAACTCAAACCATCTCCCTCGGGTGAAATGACCTTTAGCACGAGATCATTTAAAATGAAGGACAAAACAGTCAGTAATTCGGCACACACACTGCATATGGGATCTGGCATGTCAGTTACTACACAGAAATGCATTCCAATACCTTATTAGCGGGTGACAAGGAATCGTCATCTTGATTTCTTTTTACACCTCTCTTTAAAATACTGGTGGATGGAGATGCTGAAGGAGACCACATAGAGCGTGCCTGCACACCAGTCGGGCTTTCATTAATTAAAACTAAAGGATCAAGATCTTTTGGCTTTTCAGGGGATTCCACACTGCTGTTTCCTTCTGCACCTTCTTGATCTAAGGTGACATTTTCAGGCACTTGAATTTCAGTTTCTATCAATTCCTCTTTCATCTCGGCATCCTGCAAGCTGAAAGGCTCTCCCACACTGATTTCATCTTTACGATGCTCCTCGGCTTCCTGCTCCTCCATCTCCCTCTGCCCCGCCGGGCTGGCGGCCGCCGGCGCCTCCTCCAACGGCGCCTCCTCCAACGGCGCCTCGTGACTGTCCCCTTCCCGGAGCGCGGGCTCAGCCGGCGCCGCAGGCTCCGCGGGACGCGGCTCCCCCGTGTCCCTCTGATCCAGGGGCTCTTCTGCTTCCACCACCGGCTCGGTGCTGCCGCCTGCCGCACGCGCCGCGTCACCCTCCAGATCCTCCTCGGCTGCGACACAATTCCCCTGCAAACTCTCCTTGGATTCTGTCTCTCCTGGCGAGCTCAGCACGCTTGATTCCGCCGTGGGAAGCAACGGGGTGCTCATGGCACACGGGGCCATGGGCAAGCTCTCCTCCAAGTTGGAATCTCCCGACATCTCTGAGGTATTCGGGGCTGCCCGAGTAGGGGTTGCTGGGGACTCGCTCAGCTCGGTGTCAATCTCAACTTTTATTTCACTTAACGACTTCAGTTGCTGCTTTGCCTTTACGCAACAATCACAGCTCCGTGCCCTTCTCGTCCTCTTGCTTCTCTTGTGCTGACACTCGGGTATTTGCGAAGGGGAAAAACCAGCACCTGCAGCGTGTGCCCCTGCTACGGGCTCGGGGGGGACACCCGAGCTAGGATCCTCTGCGCTTTTCCGCTTTCCAGCACACTTGTTTTCCTCGGCCGCTTTCAAAGCTTGCTCAGATGCACGCGGGTTGCTGACAGACTCGGCCAACCCAGCGGTCGTGGTTTGTTCCCCCTCCGCACTCTGCGCCTCAGGCGAGGCCTTGGGGCTGGCGGGTCCCGGGGCCTCGCTGACGCCTGGCTGCACCGCCTGGGTTTTCAGCTGAGCAGGTTCAGCCGGGGCTGCAGCATCTGTGCTGGCCTCGCAGCTTAGCTCGCTGCTGTTCACTTCCACTGCAGCCTTCCTTTCAGTTTCCTGAGAAGAAACCTCATGGCCGTGCCCTTCTGGCACCTGTTCTTTCAATTTAACTTCTAGAGCATCATTTTTCACTTTCCCTGATCTTTTCTTCCTTGTGTTTTCTTCCTTGACCTCACAGCTATCGGCCTCTGAGTTTTCTATGCTGGAGAGCAGCCCCTGTGAAGCCCTTCTCGTGTGGTACCGCGGCCGTTCCCTCACCACCTTCTGAGCGGCCACATCCGAACTGGCGTCCTGGCTTTCTGTATCAGCCTTCGAGGCATCTTCCGGCCTCCTGGCACTCCTGTTCTCTTCCTCCTCGGGACCCCTGGGAGCGCAGGACTCTCTGCAGCCAGAGCCTTCTGCAGCGGCTCTCTCGGGTGCATTGTCTTCTGCTTTATTTCCAGCTTCTGCTGCTTTCTGCTTTTGGGACACATCGTCTTTAATCTGTGGGCCCTTCTTTTGCGCAGACTTTTCGTCTTCTTTACGCTTGTCTTTCTTCTGGTGGCTGTTTTCCTTATCTTGGCTCCCTGCGGCGCCTTCTGTGGGTTCCGACCGTCGTCTTAACGATCGTCTGAGCGCTTTTGGGTTAGGAGACACGTGCGGGACCTGATTATCGACACCTGCTACCTGGTCAGATGCTGCAGTGCTCTCTGGGGGTTTATTTTCTTTGGAGTCTGCATCCAATGCCCTGATCTTTTCCATTTCTGCTAGGGTATCTTCTATCTTTTTAATTTCTGCATCGGTAGAGCGGAGAGCTTGAGACTGAGCAAGCAGAACACGTTCCGTTTCTTCCACTAGCTCAGGATTATTTTCCATACTGACAGGAACAGAAGGCTCTTGGCTACTCTTCTCTTTGTCTGCTTTGGTTGAAAGTTTGGGCTGCTTATTTCCTTGTTGCTCAATTTTGCTCTGCCTGCGAGTCAGCCTCCGTATTGCAGTAACTATCTCTTCAGATTCAGGCTTCGAAGCATTTTTACTCTCTTCACCGCATTTTTCTGCCTTAGCATCAACCTTGGATTTATTCGTATTTTCCTGCTTCTCTGACCCAGCAGCCTTCCCAGGAACTTCCGACAAGCTGCTCAGTGCTGAAACGCTGAAGGGTCTGTGCTCCGAGCTATCGAATTTCTCCAGCGTGATGAACGACTGGCGCCGGCTCGCGGGCTGCGGCGTCCCGGAGATCACGTCGCTCGAGGTCGAGCTGCTGCTCACGTTGGAGGTGTTTTCTCTTCCCGCTGCCGAGGCCTCATTTGAAGCCGCTTCCACGGCGCTTTTCTCTAGTTCCTCTCCAGACGATGGCTCCTTCAGAACCGCGTCAGCTCCTTCCTCGAGCTCCCCGGTGCTTTTTGAAGCGGGGCTCTCCTCTGTGTGGGGAAGGGGCCCGTTTTTCACATCGATGGCACCGTCAAGAGCACTGTTGGATTCACAGTCCTCCATGCTTACATCTGGCTCATCCAGGCAGCCCTCACTCTTTGCATCTTCTTCCTGTCCAAAAGGAAGCACAGCAGAGCACTGTGATTTTTATATAGAAGAATAACTACAAAATACTTTAATAAAATTTTTTTAATGGGTTTAAACAAACCTACAACTAAAATATTTTTAAACACTGCCAGGTATTACTCTGCTTTTTTTGGCACTCGAGTACAGACAGGGCTTCTTCAACTGATGTTGCCCATACCAACTTTATTCAAAGGTGAAAAAAAGAAGGGAAGTGCAAGAGAAAGAGCACAACCTCAAACCTGCAACAAGCATCTGACAGGTTACTTGACAGGAAGGAAAAAAGAATCCGGAGAGCTGCTACATTTGTGGTTTTGCTTGAAGAGCTACCAATCCAATCTAAAAAGCACAGACTTATCCTAGCCAGCTGAGAGTTTTCCTACCCATTATCACAGCTGCTAATACAAAGAAAATATCACTTGTGGTTATGCTTCTGATTTTGTAACATTTGATAGTAAGAAATTACCTGAGGTTTCTTTTCCATATCTTCTTTTGTGTTGTCTTTTAAAGAAGATTTATCTCTAAAATAAAAGTTAATTAAATTAGAAGTGCGGGGGGGGGAGGGGAAGAAGAAAAAAAAAAAAAAGAAAGAGGGGACACTTTCAGTGCATACATTGGCCACCTTTACTTACAAAGACTCTTCCTGGCTCTGAGTATACTGAGAAAATAAAGTAGTGTCTTGTGAGGTGTCCAAATTGTTGTACATTGCAGGAATGTCAGATCTGAAGAGAGAGAAAGAAGTTTGAGAAAACCCTTTTCTTTGTCACTTATTTCAAAAAAGTGACAGCTTCTATTTTATTTTTCAAACAAGAGTCATGGGATAAAAGTGCAAAGCCTACAGTATCAAACTAAGGGCAGATCACATCATACATAAGTGATCAAAATACGAAAGGCAGATGAGAGACCAATTTGGTTGCTTTTAGTGTAGCAAAACAGGGAATTTTGTTAGCACTTTTTTTTAAAATTGCAAGGAAGAGTGAAACATAACTGCTTATAGTAGCTTGAGATACAGGAATTCAAGTTATGTCCATTTGATATCCTCATGATGTAAGGGCATTTCTCAGTATGTTTAAACAGAATAGATTACAGACCTCTTTGACCTAAGCACTTCTTTTTGATGTTCTGTCAATACTCTTGCTTTAGCTTCTGGAGGAATAAACACAAAATCAGCAGATTTCTCCTCTTCCAAATCTATCTCACTTCTAGTCTTCACAGAAGAAAATTCTAGTTTCAGCTGTGGAAAGCAAAAAAGCCGGATTAGAAATGAGACAGATTCAGGTGCAGGTGACAGAGCTTCCCCAGTTGAGGTGCATTCATCCTCTCAGAGAACTCTCAAATAAGTAACGGTGGATCTTTCAGCATTAGCCAGCACAAATCCCCCCGTAGGTGCTGGTTTACCTTATGACTTTTCCCCCATCACCCAAGGGAGAGATGCTGCAACCCTTCCTCTCTGCCCTTATATGAACAGGAAAGCTTCTGCACTTCCTTTAGTTTCTTAAAATTTAAAGCCTCAACCCCACTCAAATCTCACAAAAAATGCTGATATCCCTCAACAGATCTCCCAAGCTTCCTGTTCCGACATCTCCCAATCTATCCTATCTTACAGATAACAAGAGTGAAGAAAAACTGCCTTTCTCTCTCTACAACTCTGACAGTGTGACTCGAATTAAGCTCTGAGCATGTGGCACTAGTCTATGAAAACTGAACAAGCATCCCAACACTAGAGCTTGTCATGAATTGTGCATGTGATTGCAGCCTTCCAGAGCCCCTCAAACCTCAGCAGTCTCCAAACTTACTACAGAATTTGAACAGAATTTACATGAACATGCTATAGAGCTTAAATTTGAAAGAAAAGATTGAATACTGAAGTAATTAGATGACTCAATAACTTTAAGAATTTAAAACAGTATTAAATATTCAACTGTAGAAAAAATATGGATCTGATTTGTTGTACTTATGCATAAGTATCTTACCTTTGCAGATGTTACTTGAACATTACTGGTCTTGTCTTTTACTTCATTTTTTAATTCACTTGTCTGTGCCAACAGAGAATCTCGTTTTCGAGCTGACTTTACTTCCATTCCACTTATCTTTGTATCCCATTGCGAATTCTCCATCTATTAAAATAAAAATACACAAAATGTGTTGCTACGAAAAAAGTGAATTTGAGTTTCATGAAACTCTCCTGAGATGTGTTCATCTTTCTGACTCCTTTATTTTCTCTAAATTATGTAAAGGACATGTTAAAAGTTTGTGAAGAGGCTGGTAGCATCCAAAGGTTAAATTGCAAGAAGTATTAAGAGTTGGCTCAGCCTCCCATCAGGCCTTGTTCAGCCCAGCTTCCCACTTCAAACACAAACCAACTGCAAGCCAATTGCGGGAAGAAAAAAGGAAAAAAAACCGCAAAACAGAATTCCTGGCACCCCAGGAAACCTTCTGAACATTTCCCCCCATTATACACAATGGAGCACTCACTGGGATCAACAGAATACCTACTGCATCAGAGAAGGGGCCACTGTATTCCTCTGCTATCTCCACGCTTTCAAAACCAGGCAGCAGGAGCGGCGTTTTCTGCTTGGCTCGAGTCAGGACCGCTCTGCGTGACACAGGATTTGAGACTGATTTAGTGGGGGGAACCACGCTGCGAACCCAGCAGACACACCAGCCCTCACAGTGACAAAACGTACACGGCAAACAGAACAAGGCCAATGCGCTCATCTCCAACTTAACATCTCCCTCGCTTGTGTTACAATTCATGGCTTTAGCAGTCGGGTAACCCTACACATGGGTTTCCAGGATATTTTAATACTTACAAGACCTTCTTCTAAGCACCTGAGGATAAAATTGCACATTTAACTCCAGGAATGAAGATACTTTCACAAGTCAAATATACCACTACACACTTCCACATACACATACTTGACCAAATCTAGTTCTTACGATCAGAATCTGCCTAAAATTGCACTGACTGTGCGTTTTCTGTTTGTTTGGTTTTTGTTTTGTTTTTCACAGACACAGCTAAACACAATATAGAAAAAAAAATCTTACTTTAATTCTTCAGGGTATGTTAACGATGTCGCCTTTGCAAACGTTGCATTCCAGAAGTTGGCACATTGGTTGCGTATCTGTTTGCTCTTGTGCTGGAAGAGTGTGCAGAGCAAGGGAGAAAGCTGCTTCAGCAGCTCACTGTCAAAGGAGCCAGTGCAGTGAGACTGTAAACACAGGATGATCTCTGCCAGTAATTTTTCAAGCTGAGGGAGGGGAGAAGCAGTGTTTTTAGTCTTTCATTCTGATGTTGCATATATTTACTACTTAAAAAAGAGCTTTCTTAATACAGAGAGAATTGTTACCCTACAGGATATCACGGCCCGCATAAACAAGTCTGAACACCATGCCACACAAAGAATCTCACTCCAAAGAAATTGGATATAACCGTGTTTAATATCTAAGCTGATCATATTAGCCACCTTTTCAGGAAAATATAGATAGTTTAAAAATTAATTCCCTACTTTTGCTACAATTTTCTTTACAATACTGGATGAAAGGCAAGAAAAAGCACCTCTGGACTGCCACATTCCCCTCCCTCCAGCTATCCCTCCAGGAAATTTACCTTGCTGTTAAGATTATTATAGGCTTTAGGGACATCAGCAAGCCTGTCAAAGCAAAAAGAAGTCATGAAATATTCTGCTGTTTCATCTATCCCAAACATAATCACTGAAGACACACTCAAAACAGTGCACACAAGTCTGAATACACAACTTGACAAACACACAATGTGGGTATGTCGGGTATGTCAGCAACAGCCCTCCTCCCTGGAGGGTTATAAACCTCCTGGCTTGAAGACTTTCAGCTGAGCTTACACTTTAGTACCGTATTTCCTCCCTTTAAAGACATGCATCCAACATGAACATCTGCCTTTTAACAAGTAATTCCGAGACAAACTTTGCTCAGAGGCAGAGAAGGGAGGTGGAGAGAGTGGTATAGTTAAACTCAACCTTGACAGAGGAATTTATTCAAGCTGGATGATTTTTACAGTGATTTTCAGATTATGTTTATGTGTGTGCAGCTTCTAAATATAATTTTCAGTGGCCATCTCTAATGAAATGAAACATCACGACCGAAATCTTCAATTTACATATAATGAAGTGGAGATAATGTCATTAACTCCCAAGAGACTAATTTGAAGCATCCAGTTTGGGTAGTACTGTGCAGACAACCCTGGCACCTGACAACCCTGGTTTATACAGAGTCATTACAGGAAGCAGCAGGTTATCAGTGACCCTCCCAGGCAGATACGTTCTGTTTGCAGTGTCTGGGGGCACTACAAGAAAGGTGCCTCCTAGCTAGGTTCAGACTAAGCAAAATACTCTGTGCTCTAAAAGAAATTTAGCAGGAGCTGAAAGTTCTTACTATCACAAGCTACACAAAATTACATGAATAATAATACTCACTTTGTTTTTTCATAAAACACTGACAGAGGTTTTGAAAACATTGCAAACATAGTCCCAATCACTGAAGGCAACGAAACGTGGCTGATGATATTGTGAAGAATAGCAATAATTGAAGAACCAACAGAGACCAGTGTTTCTGAACAGATTTCTTTGGAACTGAACGCATGGAAAGAGTTTGCCAACATCACCAGGATTTTGAATAGAGGGGCAAGCTTTCCAAGGGGCTCCTTCTTCTTCTTAGACCAGTCTGTAGGTGTCTGCGGAGCTAAAAGAAAAGACCTTTTAAAAGTCCATTTTTCACTCTTTTTTTCCATGCTTTAAGATTTCTAAGTTACATATATTAAAAGTAAACATACGAGAACTTCTCATTTTTCCTCTACATGGGAAGCAGAACTTTGATTCCTAAACTGCACCTACAAAAAAACAATTTATCACACAAACATAACAGACGACTTACCTTAATCCATTACTTTCTGTTATCACTACAGATACAATTCCGATTAATTTATACTTATGGTCGGTCATGCAAATGACTATCCTTTTAAGTATCATTAATCTCTACTCCTAAAACGTGGCAACCCCAGTAGAGATACTAACCAACAAGCCTAAGTTTTATCTCAAAGATAGGGAGGGCATGAGGAAGTTGGAATGAAAACGTTTCTCCACAATCTTCCTCATTAAGGCTTTCAATGAAGCATTTCATTCTTTCAGTAGGCCCAGCTAGCTTCATATTCAGATGAGTCAGAGAAATTAAAAACAAACAAAACCCCACAAACCTTCAGTTTTATAAAACTGAATTGCAGTTACCTCGCAAATATTTTCTTCAAAATTTGTAAAGTAGCTTCATGAACAGTAGCCTCACAATTGTAATATTAAGGAGTTAACATTCATTTTAGATCATTCATAGTTAGATTATAGTTTAAGATCAAGCATTGCTACTTCCAAGCATGTTTAAATAAAATATGAGGCAGATTTCATGGGTAAAAAAAAAGAAGCTATAGCCGAAACATCGACTACATCCTCAAACTAAAGCAGAGCTATATTCTAGAGTGAAATGGAAAGGAATATAGCCCCCGCGTTCACATGAATTTACATGTGCTGTATTCTATCAAGCTAAATTGAATGAACTATTTGATGGCTCAACAATTAAGAACAGATACCAAATACACTGGATGATATTTTTAGACCTTTTAAACATCTCTTCAGTACTTAGATAATATGTACATTATATGAGCAGTTGATATTTTACTGTGATCACTTTCGAACATACAAAAATTCCAACTTTCAACCAATCCAGGAAAATAAAATACAACAAAAAAGACAAAAGCACAATACTGAAATATCTTCTTACATCTGATTTTTGGCTGATACTTAGTACCATATGGTGCAAAGTTGATGCAGTCCACCACAACCGACATAACATGTGTGAGACCCTCTGTTACTGAAGAGACCTGAGTAAGAAACAGGAGGCATTAGCAAACCTTTAAAACAATTGCAGTGACGAAAAGAAAGAAAAGAAAATACACACATAAACAAAATAAAAATTAAAAAACAAAAAACACCAAGATGTTGCCCATTGAGGACAGCAATGCAAAAGTTTCAAATTTTTTAAGTAGAGAGAAATGGATGAAAATTGACTGCACAATCAGGTTTATGATTTAAAATAAGCACATCTGCATAAAGCAGAGATTCTGCCTTCCCTCTCTAGAAGAATTAAATGCAAAAATACATATTTCTAAAAAGGCAAAAGAGTAATAGGCAGATATTAGATTTAAGATGATGCATCAAAAACATAAAGGTTTGATGTACTAGCTGTCTAGCAGAACATGCCAAATTTCAGCAAGTGATTTCATTTACTATACAAAATCTTGTTTTTTCTTGGCCTTACCATTAACAGCAAGATTTTCATTATGAGCTACACTCAGAAAGCACAGTTTCTAGGACACACGAAGAGACTGATGTCAAGCATTTTCTCTTTTTTTATACCAAACAAGTAGTTTTGCTTGCTTTAAAAGAAGGGCCAGAAAAGTCTAGTTTCAACTTACATACTGAAGCTTTTAAATTCTAGTTTGCCTTAATGAATAATTATTTATTTCTGAAAATTGAACTCTATCATCAGGATTAGTATACTGCACACAGCAGTATCTAAAAGCAGCTGTAATGATGTAATCCGCTAAAAAGCATGTTTTCAGATTCTATTTTTCTTAGTCATTTTCTTATTTTTTCCTTTCACAGTATCCTCCCTCCCTCCTTCTCCCCTTAAGGAATACAGCAAACTATGTTCTTCAAATGCTATGATGCTCCTCTACTCTCCCTCCTAATGAAGGCATCTTTTTTTTTTTTTGTATTGACTAATTCGACCTTAAGTTGCATCATATATTCACTTCAACTGATCAAATCACATTTATTATGATAATGACACTCACTAAACGAGTATTACCTACATATTCAGAAGCCAAATACAAGATTTGCTTAGCTTATTTTAATAATAAAGCGTTATGATTACTTTTACTCTCTTCTACCGATCCATTTTTGGAACAACTCTTTAATTCTGACTGGTTAAAAAGAATTTTCTTACTGCTTTCAGTCCCTTCCACTGCCAATTTTTAAGTTACAGAAAATGCTACATTAAAACTTTTCATATGTTCGTGTACATGTACCTAATTCAAAATATATTTGCTGAAACATTTATATAGTTCAGTATCACTGGTTTATACTCACTACTGGAATTTCACCTTCTAGCCCAGATATTATTTTTGCACAAAGTTCTTCACAGCATACGTTTTCTTCTGCTGTTGCAACTAAAGCAGCGCAGCGAGCAAATGCTCTATACAGGTCTGACCACGTGTGCAACAAGGACTTCATCGTTGGCTTTTAAAGAAAGAAAAAGTTTATAAATATCAACATCTGTGCATAAAAATAATTCTATTATTTTACATTTTCTTCTATAAAATCTATACAACTTGAGATTTTCACCCTTAGAACTATATACATATACCTGTGGGTGTGTGTATATATAATACATATTTAAATATATGCCATGCACGCACACATTTATGGACAAACGGAAACTCTATCCTGATATTATCAGACAGCACTTCATTATTTCCATGAAGCCATTGTTTCCAGTCACTGTCAGCAATTCTGTTACCTGTGGAAAATCTGGAACTGGGAAGATATGGAATACAGGTAGCAGCAGCGCACTATAGACAGCACTGAAGTTGTGTTCCAGTGCATCTCCCTGGTTTACTTCATTAGTCTGCAAGAAGAAGTTTACTCTGCATTAGCAAACTGCAAAATTTAGATAAGACTGTTCTAAATGCATTATTTTATACCTAAATTTTGCATAAGTTTTATTTAACTTATGATGTTCCGAGATTAGCCATTATTAATTAGAGAAGGAGGTAGAAGGGGGAGGCACTACCTGTTAATTCCAAAGCAGTTCCTTAACCCCAGACAAAAAAACAGAAGTCAACATTACTTTTTACTTAGGTCAGTGGCAGTAAACGATGCTAGCAACTTATTTAAAGCACCTAAAAATAACATCTTTCAAATCTCCAAAGATTTTTTAGGTCCACTGACTACATGGTGATAAGTTTGACAATTCTCACATTAAAGTCATTGTGTTCCTTGCAAATAGCCTGCAAAACTGGTTGAATACTGAAGTTTACATGGCTTTTATTAGGGTTTTTATTACTTGAAAAGGCTATCCTAATAACTTAAATCTTGCAAGTCAACATACAAACAGCAAGCAAGCTTAGTATTTAAAGGTTAAGAGGTCCTGAAGGGCTAGTCTCCATCCTTCACAACAACCAGGCTACAATGAAGTCTCAAATCTTACGTAGAGGCACATTTGAAATCTTTAAAAAGGAAAAAATCCCAATGCTCTAAGCACACTGTACAGAACAATGATTACTCATCTGATCACAGTCATTTTAACCTCACTTTTGATCAGCATTCCTACCTTCCTCCTTTTTTTCTACCTCACTTTGCAATGTGCATCCTTCAACTACAAACCTTTTAAAACTACTATGTGCATCCTGTTTTCACAAATACTACCAAGGTTTATGCAATTTCACCATCACTCGAAGATACCAAATTCCTAAAGATATATTAAAAGATCAGCACAACTTTTTTCCCTATGATTTTCTTTTGGGAAGGATGGGGATGACAGAGGAAGAAGGGGTAGGGGGCAAAACACCAACACCATACCCGATTAATCCATTCGGTGAGCGGGTTAACAACAACACTCCACATTCTCCAGAGATGCTCCTTGTTCTCCACCTGCTTTGCACTTTGATTAATAATGCAGAACAGCGATTCACTGAAAGCCAGTAGGGATGTAGGACCAGATAAAACACAGCCCACAAGGGTTTCCAAGATTATGAAGAACCTAGAGGAAAAAAGTCACATAAGAAAGGGGTTTTTTTGTTTTGTTTTGTGTTTTAAGCACGCTTAAAAAGTGAACAAAAACCACAGTAATTTTTACTGTAGTGCACATACCTCTCATCTGTTACACACTGCTCCAAGAGGTTATTATGGAAAGGCAGCTGAATTAAGAATAAAGCTGGTGTTCCCTTGTAAAAGAAATTTAAGAGATCAAAAGAGTCTATTCTTTGAACAAATGAAATAACTGATTCACTTAAATATTGAATTATCTTAAGGGACTGGAGCATCTATCATATGAGGAAAGATTAAGTGAGTGGGGCCCGTTTAGCCTGGGGAAGAGAAGGCTGAGAGGGGATCTGATCAATATGTATAAGTATCTGAGGGAAGGATGTAGGATGAATGGGGTCAAACTCTTCTCAGGGGTGGCCACTGACAGGACAAGGGGCAATGGGTACAAGCTGACACACAGGCAGCTCCATCTCCATGTGAGGAAGAGCTTCTGCACTGTGAGGGTGCGCGAGCCCTGGCCCAGGCTGCCCAGAGAGGCTGGGGAGGCTCCTGCTCTGCAGATCATCCCAACCCGCCTGGTTGCTACCGGGTGCTCCGTGCTCTGGGTGTCCCTGCTGGAGCAGGGGGTTGGACTGGATGATCTCTAGAGGTCCCTGCCAACCTCAACCAATCTGGGGTTCTGTGATCCTTACATAAAACTACATGCCAGAAATCTCTAACCATTAATAGTACATCATAGGAGACTACCAGTCACAACACTTCAAAATAAAAACTAGTGGTGAAAAATCCTGGCATTTTAGCAGAACAACATTTATACTATAGCTAAAGTTAGAAACATTTCTTTTTAAATGGTTAAGAATTATAGTGTTTTTTGTACTCTGTATCTTTGTGCACACAGACTTCCTAATGCCTTTAAGCATAAATAGAGAAAGATTTGGAATAAAGTCACACTTACATTTAAGAGATCCATATCAGCAATCTGATAAGCTGGTGACCCCAAGACTTTTGCAGGCAACTCCTTAACAGTAATGTCAATGAGGGACTAAGGATGGGAAAAGGAGGAAACATTTAAATACTTTGAAGCTTAGGAAAGATATTTTTGTCAGTACAAAATAGTAGCAAAACTGTAACACTCAGTCCTCCTTAATAAAAAAGTCAAAAAAAATCCATCATAAAAGTAGCTCCTCTTTAAAGCAAAATCTCTGCAAGTGGAATCACAAGCCTATTATGGTAAACACCGCCAATAAAGCTTTAAAAAAAAACAACAGACAAACAAAAACCCACACAGCAACACCCACAACATTTTAGGAAATTCCACATTTTATGAAATCTGTAAGCAACACAGCATAAGTTGATTACAGTTACCTTAGTTAGCTCTTATAAAGAGCTGGCTCTGATGCATAGGACACAAGAATGCCACCAAGTAGAATTCAGAAATCAGAAAGATATGAGATAAAAAATACACATCTGACTTACCAAGACTTTTGGCATAGGAAGAGAATTTGATCTAACAATGTTTTTTAAGGTCTGTAGCAACATAGTCAGTACTTCAGATCCCTGCTTTTCTTTCTTATTTCCTAAAACAATGTACATTTACAGTTACAGCAGAACTGACAAATGGTCACTCTGACCATCATTAAATATAACGCACTTTAAGTTGAAACAAATCCTACAAACATATCTGGCTATTCATATACGCCAAATACTTTACAGAATCAGATACCAAGTCTTTGCTCTAAGAACAGTGTTAAAAAATTTATAGAAAGAAATGTAAGTTTATTAAAGCTTCCTACCTTCAACATGGACTGCTGCACACTCTTAAATTTAATACTGCTGTTCCAAAATGCTGTCAAGTATTACTTCATTCAAGCAATATATGTAGTTCTGGATTCTTACCCTACTTTTCAGTTAGACTTTTCAGTGCAAGAAAACTTTGGTATTAAGAACATTCTGCATTTCTAAGGTCTTTATTAATCAACGGCCTTTTTGTTAATATGAAAGAATTATCTTTATACAACCATGAAAAGACTACGTTTACTGAGACAAAATTTTCAAGTAGCTGCAGTCATATAAGAAAAAATTAATATTAACTTAAGACACTGAAAAATCAGCAGTTACATGTAATTAAACAAACATTTCTCAGAGTTATCTTAATAAAAAAATAGTCTGCAATAACCAATAAAAACACATTTTTACCTGATTCGATAGCTGTTTTTACATATCCATTAACGTCCTGCCATATAACATTCAGCATAGAATCTGCAAGATAACATTTCTAATTCAGTTTATAATAAAAACATTGAACAGACTCAAGTTAAAATGTAGGTTAAGTCAAATTCTGTAGTTTAACAGAAGTCACAACCTGATCCTTCAAACACAGCCAGATCAGTTCCATTTAACAATATCAGCACCAGAGTATTATCAAATAGTGGCGCCTTTATTTTCCCCCTCCCCTAAATTAACTCTATTCCTAGAGGAGAAAAAACAAACAAACAAAAAACTCCATCATGCTCATTTCACCATTAAATCCATTAAACTCTTACCAGGAACCTCTTTTCCAATTGCAATGAAGCCATCCTGAACAGCATTTATAAGTGTGCTGGCATGCTTACAAAAGAAAGACGGGCTACTGATCAGTGGGTACTGAAGAGGCTCTGCAGGAAGAGCAGATTTACAGGATGTGTTTTGTTATTTTGTGGTGTATTTTTAAGACAACACTCAAAAAAAAGTACGAACAACACTCTAAGCATGTGATACAATGGAAAGAATGGCAATTCACACTTAAGTATTTCAAGCATTTCATGATATTAATGGACATCTTTAAGTCTAGTAACAGTAGCAATTTTCAGAATACACAGAAGTAATTTGAAAAAATGTAACTCATTTACCTAAACTCAGTACGAGCTTATTTTCCTTGGCAAAATTCAAAACTTCTGGGCCCCTCAAAAAGTGAAGCAGCATCTCGATTCCCAGGAGCTGAATGGAAGGAATCATGACCATTCCTGCTGCACCAGAACTCAAGTTCATCCTTGGTGTGGCTGGGCTTCCAAAAGGGTATGGAGCTGGAGAGGGGGGTTGAAAAATTGCATTAGTCAGTACTTCATCTAGAAGCAAGTGAAAGGAAAGGTTCACCGACCAAAACTCCACAGTTAACAAAAAACAAACAAATGAAAAAAGAATCACAGAATAATATAGGCTGAAAGGGACTTCTGACAGACATCTAGTATGAACTCCTATCCCAAGTTAGATTAACATAAGCAATAAACATGTATCTTTAAAACATACGTATCTTCCAAAGAATCCTACCAGAAGTTTCAGATTCTTATCTCCTTTAAAGAAAGGTGTCTCAATGAAAGTTGCTGTTATACAGCAACTACTAATACTTCTATTGGCATGTCTACTAAAAGCTCCTATATTTGAGTGTGAGAGCCCCAGACACACAGGACACTGGCAGATTTCAAAGAGAATGTTACAAAATTAAAACGAACTAATTTTCCTGTTAAAAGGAACAACTTGAAGATTTATAGTTCTAGGAGACTCACAGTGTCCCTGCAGTTTCTACCTACTGCAGCCTACAGTTACCTAAGGCCCAAATTCCTGGGTGCTCTGTACAAAGAAAGGCAGCTCTGTAACTTTTTGATATGCAGCTCAATTTGACAGTATTTAACATAAATTTGAAGAACCAATATTACAGCTGTATTCCAAACACAGAGTCACAATATTCATTCAAGCAAAATGTGCAAATATTAGAGAACTGAAAATGGCATACACAAGTAGTGGCTACACCAAAAAAATATTGAGAAACAGAGTTTCAAAGCTGCTGTTATACAGTCTCTATTAACTAGCCTAAGACACCACCTCTAAGTTCTCAGATAAGCATTCAATATTTTAAATCCTGCAATACTCAATTCAAGAGCATTTAATATAACATATCAGTTCCCGTTGCTGAAATAGAGTTGGAAAGGTGCTTGTGTTTTGATACCTGATTTCTGTGCAGGGTTTGTTGAGGCCAAGCTCTGGTTGGCTGGGCCACGCGAAGGCGTTCCTTGCAACGCAGCAGAAGAATCTAGACTTAGAGTACTCTGGATTAACGGTACACAGACCTGCAAAGACACCAAACCCCAGGGAAAACAGGAGTAAGTCTCAGATTTCTCAGCCTTTCCTCATGAGAGATGCTCTAATCTCTCAGTTGCTTTAGTAGCCTTTTGCTGGATTCAAAGGCTAGATTAAGCCAAGCTCACTGCAGAAGTGATTTAATTGTACCTTAATTAAAAAGGTAAATGGACTCCCTCTCCCTCACTTCGTGAAATTTAATGAAATTCAAAACCCTAATAGGTTCAAAAACCTATAACGCAAGTACTAACAACATTATCACATTTTCTATCAAATCACATTTCCAGAACAAGTCTGACTACTGCTATTATCAAAGGCAACTACCTAGGCACTGCTTTAAAGTCTTCTAAGCCTCCAAAAGTCCATCGTGAACAGAATAGAGAAACCTTCACTTAGGCCCGTCCTGTCTCAACAGGACAGAAATTATGTTTCCACATGGACACTGATGAATCCTGAAGGATTACTTGAATATTATTTCAAGTCAGCACAATCCAAAAACAGTATTTCAGGAAAACAAAAATAAAAGTTAATCCTCCTGCCCCTCCAAGTCACACACAAGGTTCCTTAAGTAATTGTAATGCACCTGTTCAAACAGATATAGACTCCCTTTTTAGTATCCCACATATTTGCTGACAAGGAAAAAAAAAAAAAAGAAAAAAAAAAGGTTTTCACAGCATTTCTGTGAACAGGCCATCTTAATGGTTTGTTTTTCTCCTTGTTCACTGGATGTTCCTTTGGAAGGGTAAAGCAATGCCTGACTGATTGTGAATTGTACAGAAAAGTATACCTGGGTCACTGCTCTATGTCACTTTCTAAATATTTTGCATTCTTTTTGGTATGTTTTCCTACTGCAGACTTTGTAAAGTACATACTTCCTCAGTGAAAAGATAAAGTAGTCCTTACACAATCCACTTAGGTTTACAACAAATATGTCCTGAGCAAAGATCTTCATTCAGATGCTCACAGGACATGCCAACATGCTTTCAGCTCTCACAACCTTAGAAGAAATGCAAGCATTACCCCAAATACCTCTACCTACATAGATTAAAACATCCTATTCATAAGCGTAAGTCTGATTTACTCACAAGCTAAGTCTGATTTAGTCCTCTATGACAATTTCATTTTCATACTGAATGGAATAGAAATAAAAAAATATTTTGAGAGAAGATTTGGCTTCACACACTCAACACAGGCTTTATGACTATTCCACGACTGTTTTCAGTTTTTTACCTGTTCGAAGTTTGCAGGCAACTGTGGTCCCAGTCTCATAAGTAAATACCACCAGACCTCGAGTTTTGTCAGGGCCAAAGCCTCTGTTCTCACGTGGATAGAGCTCAGGGGCTGCATTAACAACTTCAACCTTTTAGCACTGCACAGTATATCTTGAGGGGAGAGGGAGGGAGAAAAAAAAAAAAGCAATGTAATTAAGAAATGATTTGCAGAAGAATAGCAAACATTTTCCAAACTAAATGTCTCTTCCTAACTCTTCCTAATGTATTTTAGCTTAAAATACAATGTGTAATAACTTGTGAAAATAAAATACATGACGTAGACACCAATCTTTCTGGCCCCTTTTAGAGCTTTACGGAATGACTTCAAAAATAGCAGGTATTTATTTTGAAAATCAGGACTGAAATGAAGTTTGCTGAATACTAATGTAAACATGGAAAAAAGATATTCATTCATGCTTAGCAATTAAAAAAAAGAGAAAAAAATCAGTAATATGTGTATGTGCACTAGCTACTGAATGAGACAATGATTTTAAAAGAATACTGGAGCCACAAATGATAATTTACCACTGAAGCATTTATATACCTTACAGATTACTTAAATTAATCTTCCTATCATGTAGGAATAGCAAAGCAAGTCTGGACAGAAGTTTGCTCAACTTTATCCAAGTGCTCAAAGAGCAGAAACTTTCAGCAAACTCAGCAGCAGCAGAACACATCCCTCTGCAATTAACATGAAACTGCTCACACTGCTTTTGCAGTATGTAATTCTTGTTGTTCAGACTAAGACACATAACACAAATGCCAACACCATAAATTACTCAAGACCTGAAGCACTGCTCTTATTCAAACAGCCAATACAAAGCAAAATAAAATCTACAAAATAATGTTTTCCGTATTTCACTGTTCTTTGGTTCAAACTGTTATAAAGTCGAGGTCTTAATTTTAACCACTTCTCCTGACAACAAAATTAAAATAGAAGTGGACAAATAAAGTTAGTTCTCAATTAAAAAAAATACATATATACACATATATATATTTCACTTTTATTTATGCATATAAAGTTGATCACTACCAAACTGAGAAAAAAAATACATTCTCTTCCATTTAGGTAACATGATCATAGAAAAAACAGTTCATGTGTTAGCTTTTTGTTTTTAAATCTACCTGGATTTAGAGCAAAGTTATCTATTAGACTCTTCCATGCAATGAAGGCTATTTTCTTTACCACTGGTGAGCCACTACGAAATCCAAGTTCCTCCAGCTGCAGCAATGAGTTAATAAAACTTCCACTACGATGCAGAGTCTGAAGATAAAGATGTTCACAGGAGTTAAGATATTTATGTTGTCAAAGATCTATAATAATTAATTCTTGGGGAAATAAACTTACTGCTTTTCTACTCACCTTTCCAAGCAGTTTCACAAACAGTGGCCATAATTTCAAGACATAAGTCTCATTTTTTGTAGAGAACAATTTCTGGAGTTCTGTAATTAACTTCTGTAAACAAAAAGAAATATTTTTGACATGTAACATATTCTAAAAAGCATGTACTTTTGTTCATCATTCTTGGAGAATCTGGACTTAATGTTATTTCTCAATTAGAAAGATACTATTCTGAACCATGCTGCATTTACCAGTAGATCAGTCGAACATTTGAAAACTTTTGATTATTGTTATATAGAGTGAGGCTAGCAGTTCATGCTGGATGTTAAGGGTAACGTAAAGGGCTTCTACAGGTACATTAGCAACAAGATCCCCAAGGAAACCGCAGAAACATAAGGGGAGAAAAAGAAAAGAGCAAGGGGAAGACCTGGGGAGTTACAAGCCAATGAATCTGGCTTTGAAGCCATGGGCTCAACATGATTTAACATTATCAACGACCTGCGTGGAGGGATGGAAGGCACCCCAGTGAGTTTGTCATTGGCACCAAGCTAGGCAGGTTGGAGCAATGACGAGCAGGGCTGCCATTCAGAGGGACCTCAACAAGCCTGAGAAAGATGCTGGCTGGAATCTCAGAAACATGAAAGGCAAATGCAAAGTCTTCCACTACCTACAGTAGGGATATAAGGAAGAATCGAGATGCTTTTCAAAGGCACCTGAGGAGAAGACTGGAGGAAACAGTCACAAGTTTCAACAAGGCAAATTTCACTTGGGCAAAAGAGGGAAAAACAACAAGCTCCCACCCAAACCTGTACATCTTCTTTTTCTTAAACTGCGGAAGTGATTAGCACTGGAGGTTGCCCAGAGACAGGACATTGGATTTCTATCCTTTCAGATGTTTAGAAGTCAACTCAACAAGGCTCTGAACAACCCAATCTAACCATCCTTACTTGGATCAGGAAGGTGGGATAGATAATTTAGAGTGGGAGTGCTATTAAGCTATTATGATAGTTTTGTAAAATAAAATCATTTTAAGAGGCAATAAAGTTTAATGATGCTACATTTAAGTTAAAGTTATAACAGATAAAGGCCATTTAAAAAACACAGGTTATTATCCTGATCAGTGACTCATAGCAGAACCTTAATTTTTCTTTTTTTTCCAGTGGTGCTGCAACTACATTGCCATTATCTTCCTATTTCTGTCAAAATTGTTGTCATCATGTAGCTGCTGTCAATGCACAGTGACGGCAAAGAGCTACTTGAAAAATCTCTACTAGATTTTATATTATATATAAAAACAAAACAAAGTAACTGGAGGCGTTGCCTTTAGAGCAGAGAAAAGCCCAACATTGGCACTAACATTTGCACTTACCGTGGTCATCAGGTGCTCGGTGAGCGCGGCCACCTCCTGCTGTTTCTGCAGCAGCAGGGGCATGCCCATCTCCAGCGCAGTGGCACCGCGCAGCTGCACCTTGTGAGCAGAATGGACGACCAGAGGGATGATCAGCTTTGCCCACCGCACGGCCTCTTCTCCCATCTGGGCTGGTGCTTGCTCCACTAAGCTGAATTCAAAAAAAAAAAAAAAAAAAAAAAGTAATTCAGATGTCCCTCCTGATATTTATCACTGTCCTCATAGCACAAAAAGTCTGAAGGAAACATACAATCACTTCCTTGTCATTAATAACCAAGTACACTTTGCAAATCAACCATTCCTTACATGTTTCACACAGACCAGATCAGGTCCAACAGGCTATAAAGCAATACGCACTTGCTTTTGAAAGACAGCTTGAACCTAGAAGGAACACAGGTTTGCACAGACCCCAAGTAGATTTGTCAAGTGTCCATAGTGCTTCATTGCTCAAGAACAGCAAGACAAAAATAATTATGTTTAATGAGACTTTCAGTGCCAGGTGTACCTGACGTATTCAAACTTGCCTGTAGGAAGAAGATTGTCTCTCTGGAAGGGACACAATTTCCCAGGTGTTCTCTGTGGCTCAAGCCTATCAAATCTCTATCATTAAGGCTAACAAAATTCTCACCATGTGAAGGAAAATTGCTGCCTCTCAACAATTTTGTTCAAGAAAAGGTTTCATGTCTTTAAGGTGAAGGCTGAAGGACCATTCTATTAAAACTGCCATCAGCCTAAGGACTTCTGAAGCACAGCATCCTCTTACCAATAGTTTCACTCAATTTGACAGCCAGTATCTGTTTAAAGTTTATTTTCAAGTACAACTCTTGCCTTGGATAGAGTAACTGAATCTTTTTTGTAATCCTGTAGAAGGATATGAAACTGTTACTAAAAGAGTGAAAAAAGTATCAAAAGTATTTCTGTACTGCACTTCAGATATGCAAAAATTATATATAGTAGAATTACTCAGATGTAAAGGGCAGCTAAATACAAAGTAAACAGAAAAAGCAGAAAATGTAACACCCAAACTCTCTGCTATGGAAGTCTGATGTATTAAAATGAAAGGGAGAAAATAATTGTTTCTACTAGATGGATGCATCCAGTTCAAGAATTTATTATTTATTATAGTCCAGACAGGGGGGAAATAAGATTTAATATAGCTTTATTTGAGATTAAGCTTAAAAGACATTTCCCATTAAAAAAAAAAAAAAAGAATTAATTCCAAATAAAGACAAAATAAGCCATTAAAAGTTAAAGCAATTAAAGTTCATCTGCACATTGACTACTTTCTGTGCCAGTATCAGTTATTTCATATTATCATTAACATAATACTTTGAAGATGAAGCAATTCAGGAGCGCTGGAAAGGCCAGAAACTGGACCAAGAAGTCACTAATATTGTTTCAATGGTTTTTCAAAAGACCAAAAATTCCAAATATTGCAGTGCACATACCGTATCACAACATTCAGTGCTTCGTATTCAACGACCATGGAAGGTACATCTCCTTTAGTAAGGATTGCTTCCAGTGTAGAAAGGATGCTGGACACCTGAGGAAGAAATAGGAGAGTAAGCACTGTATCAAAAATATGAGTATTTCCATAAGCAACAGGAATTGTGCAATATGGTTTGCCATGAGCGTGCCTAGTCATTGGATTATCCCAGGTCCAGTTAAGATTAGAAATCTGAGAAAAACAGAGCATCGTAACATTTCTGTCCCATGCAGCTTCCCTGGGATCTAATACAATTGCTAAGCTCATGTTGCAGGTTTTCCCTCAAACAGAGCAAACGTTTTTGAACTCTTTCTTCTCTGTGAGTATCCATGCTTAAAAAAAAGCTTCCAAGAACTTCATATAAATGGGCCCTCTACCCACCTGTCAAATTTGACAGAAAACCACCTTCAGACTCAAAAGTTACTACGTGAAAAGTGACCAAGGAATTGCATGAAGTTGCATTTCCTTTGGCAACCAAGGGCAGAAGAGGAGAAAAAAAAAAAAAAAAGAAAAACAAAATCCTAAAGTTAAGAAACTTACCTCCTTTCCAACAATTTCAGAAGGAAATGTCTGCTTAGAGATCACCCAAAGTGCTCGAGTGCGAGTGTTTTTGTCTGAAGTTTTCACGGCAATGTTGTTCACTGCAGAAAGCAGCTCCTTTACTTCTGTTGCTGAAAGCAGAAAGCACAGCACTCACACTCTGCTTGCACGATTCAAATCAACTTCTTAGCAAGTTTCATTCAGGTCACTATGCTCAGTTAAATACCAAGGCAAGGTGACTCCAAGTCAAAACTAAAGCATATGGTAACAAAGAAATAAGGAGCTCTGCTATATATTTTTAAATTACCAAATATGTGAAAGTTTTAGCTTGCTTACCAGATAATTCAGATGTAATCTTGGAATTAAAAACACAAAATCCCAAGGCCTGTAATGCTGCATTACTTAGCTCCGAGTTTTGACTAGAAATGTGTTCCTAAAAAAATAAGTTAAAGTCTCAAGTCACAGAAGCAGCTATGAAGTTTTAACTGTCTTAATTTCAACACTTCTGCTTAATGAAAAGAGCTGTCAGAACACTTGACAGAAAATATATTGATATATTTAAGCTATTCTGTTTGTGTATAACCCAAACTACTGAAAGAATTTGGGATTCAAAGGAATTAGAACTAATTTTGGCATCTTTATTAAAATGTGCTAAATACCAGAAATTCTTTACTTCTTTTGTATGCATGTATTACTACGTATTACTACGTAACTCCCTAACTGTTATTAAATGTCTACAATCGGATATTAAAAAAAAAAAAAAAAAAAAAGGTCTAGAACAGCAACCTGCATATTCCAAATCCCTTGAGATTTACTTCATATTCAAATTCTCCAAGTGTTTCTAAGGATAGGCAGAACACACTGCATCTTTTCAGGAATATTAGATTTGACTGCACAACACAGCATCAACTCATCCAAGACTCTCCGAATTACTTCTCTACAGTAATTTCTACAATGGGAAGGAAAATTTACCAATCCCTAGCTCAAATCAGCACTGCTTGAATTCCATCCAAGTCTAAGCCTGACCAGCTACCGGGACATCTCTTTAGGTACCTAAACATCTCTTTGGTTTGTTCATTAAAATAAACCGTGGAAATGCAAGGAGAAGACATATACCTTCAGTGCTTTGCACAGGCGAGAGAAGTGTCTCCTGACTTCCACGGTGAATTCTTTGGCCTCCTCGCCAGTCAAGCGACTTGAAGGGGCAGAGAGGAAGACAAGCAACATTCACAAATGTTAAATGCGGTACTGGAGCTCATTTCTTGCCACACGCAACCCACGAGACTGTCTAAATCTGGGGGTTATAATAAATATAAATCTGTTTTCCTCAGAAAGTTGAAAGTTCCTTTAAGAAAGTTCCTTTATGGACATATAAAGGAGCAATGCTACTGATCACCACACAATTAGCCTATCATGATGATAATTTTTTTTAAGCATGTGTATCCTAATATGTTAAGAGAAAAGTCATCAGGCATTGCGCTATTTGGAGCATAAAAGACACGAAGATTTTCACTTGTCACCTTCGATAAAACCCATTCCTGGGCAAACGTTTCGGGCAAACTTCCCGCGAATGCTGTAAAAAAATCCAATAAACTTCACACGGCGATATAACAAGCTAAAAGCCCAATTTTAAACATGAAAATAAAGAGGGCAGCGCAGCTCCGGTCACGGAGCTCCCGAGTTTTACGCCGCGGCGCGGCCGCACGAGGCGAAGCCGGGCCGGGCGCCTCAGGCGGCCACCCCCCCGCTCCCCGCGCTCACTTGGCGACGGTGAGCAGCGCGTCCGTGACGTCCCCCGGCGGCGCGGCGGGCTCCTCCAGGGTCTCGAGCAGCGGCAGGAGGCTGGGGGCGGCGGAGGGCGCGCTCATCATGGCGGCGGAGGGAACGGGACGGTGTTGGGGGGGGGGGCGCCCCGCGCGCCCCGCGCCGGCTCCCGGGCTAAGATGGCGGCGCGCGGGAGAGGAGCGAGGGGCGGGACGCGCGGCCGAACCACGAGGTTATCGAGCGGAGCGCGGAGCTACGGATGGCTTCCCGCGCCTTGCTTGGCGCCGCCCCCGAGGTCCCTCCCCCTCGGGGGCGGCGCCAAGCGGGACTCCGCCCCTGAGCTCTCCCGGGACGAGAAGCCTCGTGTCTCCTCTTCCAGCGCTTCCTGCGCGTTGGGGTTGTGCAGCCCTGTGGGAAACGCCGCTCCGCGGTGCATTGGGAAGCGCGGCTGTTCCATGCATTGGGAAGCGCTGCTTCCCGGTGCGTTGGGAAGCGCGGCTCCCTGGTGCATTGGGAAGCGCGGCTCCCTGGTGCATTGGGAAGCATGGCTCCGGTGCTGCGGGACACGTGGCTCCCTGGTGTGTTGGGAAGCGTAGCTCCCTGGTGCATTGGGACGCGCGACTCCAGTGCTGTGGGAAGTGTGGCTCCCTGGTGCATCGGGAAGCGCTGCTCCCTGGTGCTGTGGGAAGCGCAGCTCCGGTGCATCGGGACACGTGGCTTCCCGGTGCATTGGGAAGCGCCGCTCCCCGGCTGCCAGCGCCCCGTGCAGAGGCCGCGCTCCCCCTGCCGCTGCGGCCATAATGGGAAAGCGCTGGTTTCATCAGGAGCGCCGGGATGCATTTCCACGCGGGGTGTCCGGCTCCCCTGCAGGACCTGTGCAATCAAGTGCTGCACGAGAGGCACTGAGAGTCACTCCTCTCCTGTGGTGGGACCCTTGGTGCTCCATCGCTCTCCAGAGCCACCTCCCCTGTGATGAACTGGAAAATTCCTGTATTTTAGCATCAGCTCGGGTCAGGGCAGCTGTAGAGGCCGCCCCAGCAGGGAGTAGGGCCGGGCAGGGGTCACACAGAGAGGAGATGACAGCTGGACCAGGACTCTGCAGAGCCCAAGGCTGGGGAGACCTCAGCACCTGCTGGGGACAATTTGTACATCATGTACATGTACCTCATGGTACATTTGCAGAAAAACAACCACCAGGTTATCCATAAGGGTATGAAATAATTCATGTCAAGCGTGTTTGTGGATGCAGTACGAAGTAACTCAAGTTTTGTGGCAGCAAATTGACGGGCAGGGAAACGTGGTTTCTCGTGGATAAAAGTGGGCCTTAGCAGTTGCAGCAGCTTGGGCTTTCTGCCTTGGCGACCTGCGGGGCTTTGCAGTGGCTCTGGATGCGCTTGTCTGCAGCCTGGGTTCGGCAAAGTAGCTCTTGGATGATGTCACTAAACTCGCCGTCCGTCACAGGAAGGGTTTCTAGACACAATGTTTCCTGCACAGTTTTTCCATAACAATTTAAGACCTGTTGCTTCTGTGTCCACAGGAACCCCAGACCACAAATGTAGTGTTAGCAGCCTCCTCCAGGCTTTCTGCTTCTTGTTGCTAAATTGTGCTAGTTTTAATGAGATACATTCACAGGAACATTTAAATAGCTTTTTTTTTTTTTTTTTTTTTTTTTTTTGTAGTCCACCAGGTGGCAGGACTAAAAAAATTGAAAATACCAGTCGATTTTAAGTGCAGCTTGATTCCATTAAACACAGAAATGTGAACTTTGCTTCCTGGCATCAAGATGAAGCATGAATGGAGTGTATGAGATGAAATGAAAATACATGAAAGCAGTTGCAGTTCTAGTCATAACACTGTTCTCCAACACAACTGAGAAGCTTTTAAGATACTCAGCATTTTAGCAATAATATTGCACATACTTTAAGGAAATTACAGATGTCAGATTTTCTGTGTTTCTCCATTTTCCCATCACTGCTCTTTGTATGTCACAAAATTGTGAAAAATGTCAACAGCTTCTCTTAGCAGGATTCATCCTTTCCCACTGTTAGGCAATTCTGAAATTGTATCTTGGTGTGTATTTGAATAGGATAAAAGAACGATATAAAAATGCCAGTAAAGTGAAGGGTACGTGCAGATAGCCAGAGAGGGGTGTGTAAAACACAGTCACTCTTCATATACACCAAAGACCTGAATTTCCCCAGAAGAAATATTTATTTAAAAATACATATTATTTGTTTGTAAAAAAATACAGTGACATTTATTGACACCAACATAACCACATTCATACGGCGCCCTGGAAACACGGCTTGGAAGCAGGGCGTTCCCAAAGCCAACACTTTTACCCCAAATTTGCCTTTGGGCAGGCAGAGCTTGTGTGAGCCCTGCCTGGCTGCGGATCCTGGACAGGCTCAGCTGAATCTGCTGCCTTTCCTACCAAGGGAGAGGGAAGATCAAAGCCCCACTGGGAACGGCCTCAAACTCAAACCTCAATCCTAATCCCAGCAAGCAGCTGAGGTGCTCGGGGTTACCCAGCAAAGCTGGGTCTGGCCCAGCTCAGCGATGCCCTCAGAGAAACGCACAGCGGCTACTGCGAAAGCAGGAAACAAGCGACATTTCCTTGAAGGAAGAAGGAAAGGAAGGGAAGGGACAAAGTGTGCTCCTTTTTTCACATGAGTATAAATCTTGCAGAGATGTCAGATGCACTGTTTCTAGGCAAGTATCAAGATTATAGAAGCAATATAAGCAATATAAGCAGGCATCTTCAGTAAGTATAATGTGAGGGAGATGTCAGTCTAGAAGATATTAAACGCCATGGGCTTATTGGCAGAATATCACGCTAAATCAAGAAAAAAAAAAAAGGCAGTACGTTTACAACAGAATATGGTGCCTTATTGAAAGAAGAAAACTACTTTTTTTCTGCAGTGGCAGGGTGTCCTCACTGCCTGCATACACTTACTTAGCAGCCAAGAGCGAGCAGTGGCACCATCAGCTATGCAAGAGAAATCATGTATGAGTTCATGTTGATCCTGCCGTGCGCTGCCTGCACTGCTGCTTGAACCAGAAAACAAAATCCTATTCCAAGTGAAATTAAAACAAGAAAAGCTCAAAGTTGAAGTGAATATAAAGTACTATGGCTGAGAATGTTGTAAAGTGAAGACAGGATGGATTAGGTTATGAATCTTCTCTTGTTCAAAGCGCTTTTGGGGAATTCACAAAGTGCTAGATCAAAAAAATCACAGGAAGATGCTCAATGAGCATTATATTTCTGCTGGTTTAGGGTCAGGAAACTTTGAAGCATTAAAAAAACAAACCAAAAACCTCTCAAAACTTACTTCCTTTTTAAATAAGGAAAAGTGAACAAAAATCTGAAAGTTTTCACGAAAGTAAAAGAGCATTCACGGAAAACTCTGGACAAGGTTAAAACAGAGGTAGCTTTAATGACACTTCAGACTGAGGAATTTAAACTGAAGTAAAAAACATACGGAGAATGATCTACGCTTACCAGTTCAAAATAGTACAGTCTTAAAACTTGTGTAAACATGTAGCATCTTGACAGTATCTTAGAAACTGTGTGCTGGTAGCCAGTAAATAACTTCTGATGCTTCATCTCACCAATATTCTTAGTACTATACAGTCTTTCATTTGATTGCTTACTAAGTGAAATCAGAGAAGTTAAATGTTTGAGCTTCTTTTCTCTGGATGAGGAAACCTTGGCAAAACTGAGTAGTTTTAAATTTATCTCACAACAAAATATGATGATAATATAATTGTTTCTGTGCTTTTCCTGCTGCTTTATGTCTTCTGACTTCAGCCAATGACACAGGTGGCAATTAGGCCACCAACAAGATCAATTCATGGATCTTAAAAAGGAGTTTACTCAAATGGCCTTTTGGTTTCAGGGAATTCAGTTCATTAAAATAATAATTTTTTAAAAATAGAGAACAGAAAGAAATAAAGCAAGAATCCAAAAATAAATATATAGAAATCAAGAAAGATAAGGATAGAAGACTAAATTAAATTAAATCTAAAAAACAAGCATTTGTGACACAAAATAAAAAAATGTTCAAGTACAGCAAGAAATGAGGAAAAGTTCGTATAGAAAAATAATTTAAAAATCTTTGTTAACAATGAATTCTTCCGTTTTATACAATCCTTGTAATCTAAAAATAGTCTTCTATTATTTATGCAACTTTTATAATTTATTTCCTAATCTACTTCTTTAAAAAAAAAGCTTATGTAAGGCAGAAAATAAGAAATCAGAAAAATATGAAGAAAATGTGTGTATGTCTCTTATTTGAGAAACAGATATCAGAACTGTGTTCTAAAATACGTTTCTTAATGATTATACCTTGCTAATCTGCTCACATTATACCAAATTTTCCAGCTAAGAAGTTTGTTTTTCCTTGGGAAGTTGTATTCTTTCCATCACCAGACTTTGAAGGCATGTCCATAGTAACATATCTAATCTGAAAACCACCAGCCGTCACTGAGGCATCAGTCAAAAACTTCAAGGTCATAACATTTCCTAGGACAAGAAAAAGAAAAGCAAGGATTACATTTTTGAGTGGCATAAAAACATGGTATTTCAGTGATTTTTACATTTCTCTCTTGCTTCCCTGAGGCAACTGCGTTTCCAGGAGGGAGTCTCCAAGCTGCAGCATGGATGGACATCCCAGGGAAAGTTAAACACTGAGGTCTGCAGAGGAATCCACTTGCTCTGCCTACCTCTGAGCTGAGAAGAATCTTTCACCCCTGCAGAAGACGAGGTCCATTTTGGACTTAGGCAGTCACCCAATTTAAGAAAACTCCTGGACATGTGAAATAGGCCGGGAGCCTCCGGCAGCCCTACCAGACTGTCACCTGTTCTCCCTGCCAGGCCAGTGCAACCTGGGAGAGCAGTGATGGGACAGGGCACCTTTTCTCTTCTCCTCCCACTGCTTACGGTTGTGGGCTATGAGAACAGCAAGCAAAGCAAAGGTTGAAGTTCAGATTAACTTTAACTCAGAATTTGCTGGAGCATGAAAACTGCATTGGAGCTGGGTAGAATCCCATTTTCCATGTATTAAGAGCCCCACAATTATTTTTCAGGTTCTGCCTTCTTTATTCGCACGGATTAATCCAACTGATTTCCAACAACCCATTATGCAAAAGAGTGGCATAACCTGGCCTGACAAACACTGTTCTGTTCTGTCTGCATTCTGTTTCTTTCACCATCACTTCATTCCCATCATTCCTGTTCATTTTTATATTTTCTTTCTGCACATGGTAATGGTCTCTCTCCACTGTAATGTACTTTTTTCCTGTCTCTTTTAAATATTTAAGGAGTTGAAAAATGCTTTATTTTCAGTCCACTTCTTTAGAAGTGCTTTAGGATTGTTTATTACTGGGGAGTAGAGAGACTGAAAACAGAATTTGTACGCCAATGCTCATAGTTCTCAGATGATTAATATGATGCCTCATTCTAAGAAGTATTTCTTCTGATGCCAGCGATTCCTCCTCAGAAGATAGACCTTTGCTTGAGACTGTGCTGATTTGCAGCCAGGTTGCAATCCTGGCATTTACGAGCCTCTCAGAGACAGTCTGTGTTTGATTAATGAGTAACAGTCTATCCTTGTTTAATCAGGGATCACCCAGGTAAGGAAGAAGAAGACACCAGCAGTGTCACACATATACAATTAGGCTCTGAGATCATAGGAAGGAAGGTTCACTCTGTGATCAGTGCAACACAACACGACAGGCACTTCCAGCTATGGGAGGCTCATTTCCATCCAGAGCACGGTGAATTCCTCCCTGAGATGCTCCATCCATAGATGGTAAGTGAGGGCACTGTAAATTCTGCGTGTACTGCCCAGGTACTGGGCACACTGCAGCTGTGGTACATGAGCTGCTGCACACACTGCCCGCGTTGCCTGCGGAACATGCAGGCTGCTTCCTTGCATGAGTAGCCTGCAGTGACCACAGCAACTTTGCAGCACTCGAGCAAGGGCAGGTAAAAGTGAATTGCTTTTACGTAGACCTTGGACATGTATGTATTTATACATAAATATATACTAAGTAATTTCTAAGTCCAGCTTTGGCAATGTTTTTGGCAACCTCTGACCTGAAAACAGAATAAAACTTGATGAGTAGCTCCTTCCCTCATTTTTCTACCTAGACATTTTTTTTTCTTTCACACTTATTTAAAAGTAACTGTGTTGATGAAACAGCACACGGGCAGTTTTGAATAGCAGCTTATGATATGTTGGCTAAGGCTTTGAAAACAGGGAGAACAGATGAGCTGGGCTGAATTTTGCCATGAAAAGTGCAAATAATATTACCTGTGCTGATGATATCATCTGGCAACTCATCCCCACAGAACCTGAAAAAAATTATAAATGGTTATGACTGAGTGACACAGCAAACATGCCATATCCCTGACCTCTGCTGACAATGGTGACTCCTAGTCTGCACTCTCCTTTGAGAGCTCTGAGTCATGAGACTAATTTGGTGTAGGCATTCAGTTTATATAATTTTCTATATGTTAGAGCAATTCACTCCAAGATTTTTCTCATTATAGTAAAATTCGGGGGAGAGAAGGCTGCATGAAACAGAATTTTCAATACAGGAAGGAAGCCAACATCGTAAAAGCAGAAAAAACTATTTTACACAGCATTAAGGCAAGGAATAATGGCCCAAAACTGAGAAAGCAAAAATTTCATCAAGAAAAATATTAAAAATAATCTCTAAAGGAGAAACAAATGCAATATATCCTTGCTTTGCTACACATGATTTGTAGAGAGGACAGGAAGAGTGGTGGGATACAACCTATTTGTTGTACTAGAAAATGGAGACACTTCATACTAAAGAAATGACTGCTAAAACCATGAAAAAGATGATATTAAAGAAAGTAAGAGTTAAGCAAAGAAGAGGGAAACTACTTCAAATGTTAAAAGACCATGACATTTGATCTGTTCTATTTTCTTAGAAAATATTTGACTTCTGTAGCTGATAACTACAAATTTGCTAATAATTTAACATTCCTCCTTTCTTCCTTTCTTTAAAGCAAATGCAGAATATTTGAGATTGACAGTTCTTCCTGAAAATTAATATAACACTTATTCAAAGCTGAAAAGTCTTGCTGGTCTTTTTTTCATATAATTTAACAAAACAGAAAATGACAAAGAATAATTTTTTTTTGAATTTGAATGTTTTCTTTCTGTAATTAAGCCGAGAATTAGTTTACCTGCCCACAAAGCCATTGATATCATCATAGCTATCATAGACTTCCAAAAAATCAGCCATACAAGCAGTGTCGTCTTCAACATCAAACTCCAGAAACTGCAGTTGAATCCGTTGTCCGTATTTTACTCTAATATGCCAGTAGCAAATTTGATCATTTTCATATTCATTTGGGTAGCCTGGTGACTTAAAAACATGTTTTGAATCCGTGAAGACTCCACCACACTCTTTTCCTAAGAGAAAAATAAAAATATCAGAGTTCAAGTATTAATCTTGGATATGGCTGTGATTCAGTTCTTTGTGAGCTTTGACTCAGTGGATCTCTTTGTAGAAAATCACACAGGAATACTCAGAGAAATATCACTGTTCATATATTTAAGCACTCGGCATTCAGAAGAAATGCCAATTATTCCTCACTTCTGGGAGCAGATGCTTTGTAAATGAGGCACCATCCAAAACTCACTAACTCAGAGAAAAAAACTTTCATTGACTTAAGTGGATTTTAGGCTAGAACTAAGGGTTTTATATTAAGACATTTGGTGTTTCTAACCCTGTCACACAGACTGTAAATTTACAGCTGCTCTTGTAAATTACTCTCACCTCTTTAATCCTTTTTTTTTTTTCCTTCTCCAAATACCTCTTCAAAATGTGTCTTCTCCAAAAAGCCAATAAAGGTTAGTAACTACATTTATTTTGCTTTACTGCTTTTATTGCTGCAGCTCTTTTCCTCCCTTAGCCAGGTCTCCTTTGGGAAGAAAAGCATGCATTCCTGCCAGGTTCTGTGCCCATTTGAGTCTTACCTTGTTGGCAGGACCAATTCATTGGTCCCACAGTCCCTGACTTCAACCTTGCCATTCTTCCCTATATTCAGACCTACAAGAAAGGCCAGTACTTTCCAAGGGAGATTCAGAGCACTTTTGGTAGGAGGCTTAAATTTGGTAACGAGAATAACCCTCTTAGTTTGCCCACAAGTCCTGCATTTTCAGCACCACGACACATGGAGGATGGATGTGATTTCAGTCCTGTAAGTAGTTCCTTACGTGGTTGGACACCTTTAGCATCTCTGAGAAGAGCAAAAGCTCCATCCAATCAATTCAGCTTTGCCTCCCCAGGCTACAGTCTCCCACCTGCACACAGACTCTGCCAGCTTTGGAGGCAGGCTGCCATCGAGCTGGAATACATACCCTATAGTGGCAGGGGCTCAGGCCACCTTCTGAGTGCTGGCAGTTCTGCTTTCCTTTTGTCCTCTAGCCAAGCCATTTGCAAAGCAATCACCTTTCACGCCAGAAGAGAGGGCTGACAAAGGAGAAATTGAGGCCGACCATGGAGCTGCGGTGATGAGCGCAGTAGCCTCTCTCACAGTTTCCTTTGTATGCTGAACATCTGTGAGAGTTCCCCACCCCGCAGAGCTATTTGGTTAACAACTGCCCAGCTAACATAAACAAGCTCAAACCCTGTGAGCACAAACAAAATGTGCACAGCTGTACAGACGTCATGGACAACTCCAGTTCCTGGCTCTCCCATGCAGGGTAAAACACTCGGTGGAGCAGGAGAGCCAGGCAGAGCACAAGGCTAAGTTTCTCTCTTCTTCACAGTACCCACTCTACGCATCCACATGGAGGATCCCAAGATAAACTGAGCAGTGTCCATGTTAATATTTCTGTGCGGCTTCTCCAGCTACCAACTAGCTCAGCAGCAACAGTCCACATGTGGCTGCACAGGACCCTGATGACCTGTTTCACCCTCCCATGAGAACTGACACGTCCCATGTTCATGAAGTCTAGTCACTCATGTCTGAATCACTTCTCTGCTGTTCACCTTGCAGTTATAAAGGAACACTACCGGGAGCTGTAGCTGCGCACGTTTCAGTCCCACAGAGCTCATTTTCAAGAGCCTTCTACCACAGGCATGAGAAAGAAGGAGAGAGTAACAAGACGGGTAAACACTTAATGTCTATAGGCAAAATACCTGCAAAATAACTGCTATGTCACTATGCGCTACTTGCCTATAGCCTATCTCTTTCCGTAGGAACTCATACAGATTATCTGGAGATAGATATCCCAGACACCCTTAGATGCCAAATTCTCAGATGATGCTTTCATTTCAATAGACTCGCCTCGGGGCATTTCACCAGCAAGGTGATTCTGTTCCTGCAACATCTGCCAGCCCTTTAAGGTTTTCAATGCAAGTGAAAACACTGGTGCTTACCTTGGCTGCATTTAATTATAGATAACGTTCCTCCACAAATGTCAGGCTAGTAAAAGGAACACAAGGAAATCCTCCAAATTTGATTTGAGAAAATACTATTTCTTTAGAATTTTTTTAGAACTTTACCAAATATACAACAATCTGGAGAACTCTAGATTTTATTTGCGGAAATCACATAGCTTTTTTCTTTTTTTTTTTTCCTCCCAATTTTTATCTGCAGTGTTTGCAACTAGAAGACTGAGAACTGCAAAAAGCAACTGTTGTTGTGTTTGTGTTTCTAAAATGAGAAAAACCTACCAGGCCAGCAAAAAGGTCATTATCACTGTGGGTGTGGGTGCCTTGGCACAGCCAGTCGTTATGCCATCACAACTAAGAGGCCAGGGGTTCTGTTCAACGCACCGTTCGGGTTGTAGCAGTAGGCATCCCATCTCTCGCTTCTGTTGAGGCGGATCCCGTAATCTACGATGCCAGTCTTCCCAAAGCCACAGTTGGCTCCGGCTTTTACTATGGGGTAACCAACTCTGCCCTTTGCCATCCAGCCAGCTGCACACACATGGAAACCTGAGATGGAGAGAAAATGAGGTATGGATGTGACAAATTAATCCTAGGCAAGACACCGTGCTTTGTATTCAAATAAATAATGGCTCACCAATCAATGACTCAGATGTAACTGATCTAACAGAAATTGTACTACAAGACAGAAACAGCTTTTTGAGTGGATGACTTTAAACACAGGAGGTATTATGTTATCCACTGCATGATTACTGGGTTGTCATTTGAAAAGAAAAATCAAATGCAGATAGACTATAAAGCTTCCAGGGTGGTGAATTTTAGGTAGCGTACGAGCATTTGTAATCAAATTATAAATTGCATTAATTATACAAGTGATTGTGTTCTTTGTTTCTCCTTTGAAGTGATACACATGGGTCTGAGGGTGAGCAAAATGCTATATACAAAGACAGATAGGGAAAGGATACGCTCACTTAGAATACTTACAAATTAAATGTAAATGCCTAAAATATGTACTTCCTAACAAAACAAAAAACACGCTGTTAGTGTATTGTGTGGCTGAGGACTTAGAAACAATATCCAAAGAATGCACTGTTGTTCACTGTCTGGTAGGGACTGACTCCATGGTTTCACCGAGACAAACTCGAACATAGTTGTGGCGCGCCAGGACTGCGAGCTCCTCAGAGGAGACAACAGTACCCTTTCTACATGTGTGCTGCTGCTGAGTGCCAGCTTGTGACTCAACAGCTCAGCCTGCATATTTCCAGAGTGGAGGATATTTTCCATTGTTTTCCTGATGCTCTGAGTGAATTAATCATTTTTCAAAGGGAATCGAAGAGAAGGACAATGGTGTCCATCCTGAGATGGGCTTTCCTCTCTGAGCACTCCAACCACTCAGCCTCGGAGCAAACAGGGCTCAAATAAACATTATGAAAACACCTTGGCTGCTGAGATGAAAAAAGAACTCTCATTTCCTAAGAAAACTCCCTGGGGACAAACACCCTGCCCTGCAGCAGAGCAGGGAGAGCACTGGGTAGGTCCCACTCCTGCCCAGCTGCAGAGGATGGATGTCCACTCCGTGTTCCTGCTTTTCCAGGAGTTGCATGCAGAGCTCGGGCGTGCGGAGCACTGTTATCCCTGACAGCTCTGTCGGTAGCACAGACACACTCCGCTACTACAGGGAGCCACTGCATGCAACTCGGGCAAAAATCCAGGGAGTTTATAAGCCTCACAGGATTCATAACGCTCATGCAAATGAGAGATTGGCAACACAGTGAGCAACATGAAAGGCAAATGGCTGTTTGTTTCCAACCTATTTTTCTCGCTGCCTCCAGCTGCTGGTAGGTGGCTAGATGTCCTCCTTCGTACTCACAGACGGCTTTTGCTTCTGCATAGGTGAGCTGGTACTTCCCAGTGCGTGACTCCCTGTGATACACTCCAGCTGCTCGTTCTGCAGAGCAAAGCGATAAATAAGCTCAGTAAAGAATGCAACTACAGCTGACCTACCTTCCTGCAGGATGTCAAGTCTCACAGGTTCAGCAGTTTCCCAAGACCTTCACCTTGGGCTACCATCCAGGTGAGAACAGAAACAAGATGTTCTGCTAGTAGTTGAAGTATCAGGAAAATATGCAACACAAAGGTATGTTTCTGGTTGGGAGAAGTTTCTGAGCAAGAGCCGGACTGAGTTTCGGGGCAAGCTTTCAAAAAACTGAAAAACAGCAACCACAGGGAAGGAGTCCCATAAGAATACTCATAAAGGAGTAGTTATGGGAACAATCAGTGGTTCAGTATCTCTACATCTCTACGGGACCATATCAAACTCCAGGAAAACTCTTTCGGGATTGCTATTACAGCATACTTTTGGATATAACTTAAAGGGCTTTTGTAAGATGAATCAGAGCTTTGTTTTGAATCTCCAGAGAAGCTAAATGAGAACTACTTGGATAGAAGAGAAGCAAGAATTAAAGGGAATCAAAATGTGAAATAAAAATATCTGTGCTTGGCTCTCAAAGACCAGAACAATTGCTGGCTGACATTTTTGCTATACAGAAATTTAATACATTTTCTTCATATATCTTTTTTTTTTTTTGACGTTTAAAGTCCAAAATACAGCATCTTTACAGGAAAAACTAGAAACTGTCAATAATATCACAGGTTTTGTAATTTCCTTCACGTTTCACTTGTCTGATGCCATATGCACAGAAATCTGTCTTGATACCAATGTGCAAATAAATCTAATCTTAATTTTTAATTTTTTTATATTCAGTATAATCTGAGAAAAATGTCTGTCTGCAGCTACCATTAAGCAACATAACTGAGAAAAGAAGCAAAATAGGAAGCATTTTTTTACAGTAGTTATTTGCACCAGGGGAAAAAAAGAATGTCTCTTCCAGTGTCTCTCTACTCTACTGAATCTCCTTAGAACCAGTACTTTGGCTACGTTAGGATGCTTTAAAAAATGTTAACCACTGAATTGTGGTTGACTACGGCGAGATCCTCGTTAGATACAGAACTGACGTCTGCCAATGTAGTTTTTGGACCCGCAGTCATTGGACTTGCTCCCAAACAAGTAAATAATATTGTTGACAGTAGTCTCAGAAGACTGAGAGGTCTTATTGTAACACAGCCAGAAATGCCATTGGCATGGGCAAAGAATAACATATATTCTGCAGAAAGATCTTTCTAAGAAGCCAAGGTAGTTCCAGTGCAAAAATCAGTCACAAGAGCAAACAGCTACAGAATAATTGTATAGTATGTTCAAAATATATCTTTCAAAATCTAAATTTCTTTTATAGAAAGTATTACTGCTCACTCACATAGAGATCTACCATCTTAGCCCAATAAATCCGGTCACTGTTTCCTTTCAACAAAATTTTGTTAAATTCAAGAACTGAAAAATCTAAGTATTAAAACCAAAATGTTGCCTCACTGCCCACTCAGGGGAAAAACCTGGAAATGAGATTACTGATCACTACAGCTCAGTTGGGATTAGCTAAACTGTCCCACCTACACTGAGTCACAGAAAAGGGCCCTTCATTCTGAGCTTTCGGATCCTCATTTCCGACAATCAGTAACTGTTGAAATAAAAACTCTGCTAAAGCTTATTATAGGTGATAGTTGCTGATAACAGCTCTCACAGTTCGGGCAGCTATTTTGCAAGACCCGCTCTGCCCCTTGCCTGGAAGAGCACTGGATGCAGCACGTAACATTCAGAGGGAATCACCCACAGTTCAGACCTGCAGCTCCCAGTAAGAGCTTTGCATTTTCATAGAATCATAGAATGATGAAGGTTGGAAGGGACCTCAGAGGTCACCTAGTCCAACCCCCCTGCACACGCAGGGTCACCTAGAGCACGTAAGTTGCTCTTTCAGCTGTCTCTAATTCATTTGACTTTTTCTTCTGTAAGAGCGTTTCGAAGTCTTGTCCCTCAAGAGGTATCTATCCCTACTTACTGATGCTAAAATGCCAGGACATCACTGCTCTGTTTTCCAAAGTTTTGCTGGGAAGTTCTGCCTGTTGTAGTTTCTGTGAGGGCTTTTACACTGGTAGCAGCAGAACTGAGTCTGGTGTCTCTGTGGTGGTGTTACCTGCTGCGAGCAATCGCCAATCTGTATCTCTTAGTCCTTTGAAAACCTGATAAAAGGGATTTCTCCACCCACTTTTTCCTCTGGTTCTTACATTTATAGGTCTGAAAGGACATGTTCCTCCCAGCTCACATTTCCTGAAATTTCTCCTTGAAGTCCAGAGACAGCGGGATTCTGCAAGAAGAGTGACCCTCAAGTCACCCACAGCGGTAGGTGAGATTAAAATGCAGCCAACCTCTTCTGCACAAAGACAAAAAAATATGAGATTTGGCCTAATAAAGTGCCATCAATATGCATGACACACAGTTATATAATAAAGGACAAACAGAAGTACTCAACTTCAAAGTGAGGGACTGCCACCTAAAGCCTGTGGGTAACTCACGGTCACCCTCAGAGCACTTGGTGAATGGTGTGGATATGGCCCAAGGGTGCAGACAGGGTCCCTACACCTCCCTGGCACTTGGTGTGTGAACAGGGACAGATTTCTGAATGCAGGAGTGTTACTATGTGTTTGTTTCAAAAATGAGCCCCAACAGTATTCCATCCAAACAGGAAAGACATTAAGTGAAATTATCTATTCAGCTGCACCAGGATTTTGTATTCTGCGAGAAAACAAAAGATGTTTTGTATCACAGAAATAAGGTTAATGGCATGGACATTCCTAGCCTGACCTTAATTGAAGATTTGATATTTGTTTGAATGGTTTGTTGAAGAAAAAGGGTGAAATGGAAACTCCCTTCATTTTCACGCTGGTCTTGATAGGGCTTTATCAGAAGAAGAGAAGATAAGGCAAGTTCAAATGCCACTGAGCATTCCTAGGTTTTATCTTGGGGAGAGGGTCTTGCTGGTGCATAGTTAGTTTGAGATTGGATTCATACCTTTTATTGTTCAAATTATATGTGTATACATATATTTTAATGTTATATACATTTTAATGCAGAGATGTGTAAAATGAATAGCTGTGATTTTGCCATTTTTTTCTTCATTTATATATAATTGCACTGAATTCCATTAATTAACTGTAACTTGTTTTTTGTTACAGTAACTTTATTGAAGTACTTAGAAGAGAGAGTGCATTTTTAAAGACGTTCCAATGGAGTCGTGGAGCTGTGAGAGCACAGTGATTATTTTAAGTTATACACTGTGCTTCTAAATTTCGCACCTATCTATTTATTTGCTGCAAGTCTAATTTTTACCCTTGTTCTTCATGCAAAGTGCAACTGCTTCAGAGATGGGTATCATCATCATCACATCACGGGGGGCTCGGGGGGCTCAGCTCCCGTTCCCTGGGTCAGGGGGCTTCCCACAGAGCCCCCGGCCCCGTTCTTGCCACTTGGCTGGCAGAGCTGAAAACCACTCCTTCCTTGTGCAGACACAGCCTGAACAAAACAGGGAGAAACAGGTTTGGCTCAGCATCTCCCTCTGCCCGCTGCCCTGACCACTTCCTTTCTGTGTGAGAATATCCATCACAAACTACCAAATTCAATTTCTCTGTCCCTATTATCTTAACACAGCTTCAGTCCTATTTATCTTCTGTGTCTCCTTATTGCTACTCCAGCCCAGAATGTCACCCGAGCCTCTCCTCTCTTCTGTCATCCCCGTTTGAACACTTCCTCCTCACAGTGGTGCAAGAAGGTGCCAAGCTGCCTCACTCAGAGCTCTCTCCTATCTGAACACCTTCAGTAACTGCAGGACACAGCAGGCGTGCGCCACGCTGAGAGGGAAAGGGAAGTAATTAAAAAAGTGCAATTAGCTGGAAAATGCTACAGATCAGTTTCCTTCTCATTCACATTCCTTTTAGCTGACAAAGTCCTCTGAGGAGGCCTTGGATTCACGTGGTTGTTATACCAGCTAATAGAGTATGGTCTCAATTCTTCATGAAGCATCTGAGCACAGCAGTAATGAGTTCTGGCTATGGCAACTCCTTAAAATTCACAAAGAAATAAGCAGTATTCCAAAGACAATAAAGGAACCTATAAATATTTGTCTATAAAACAGCACACTCACTGCATGTATTTATTTTGACATATTTCCTGGGAATGTTTTGACTTTTTGTTTTTGTTGGATTTAACAATAATAATAAAGAACTCTGAAAGAATTCTAGGAGCTATTTAAATCTATTTAGGGTAAAGGAAATTACTGCCCAGCATTTGTACAGCCCCTTTGGATTTTTTTTTCTCCACTATTTAATGATGTGAACAAATGAATGGGCAAAACATATACATATCTGTATTTTCCTAGAAACCTAGGAAATATTACTGCTATTATTTCCAGATCATTTAGTTTCACATGTGGGACCCCAGGCATCTGAAGCATATTCATGCAGAAACTAATTCATTCTTTTGGCAAATGTTTCTTTTCATACTCTTCTTTCCTTCATTAGAAAGAACTAATATTCAATACTGCTTTCACTTAACTTCATGCTTCAGCAAATACATTTAGACAAAATACTCCATTACTACGTTTTCTTACACATCAGATAAACAGTAAAAACCAGTATGATTATAAGGATAAAAATTACAGGCATTAATCAGATAAATGACACCCAATTTCAGTGCAGGATTTTGCTTCTTTTAATGCATGCTTTTATATTACTGGCAGTTCATCTTACATTGTTAGAGGAACACAGTGATTTTTGCAGAAAAACATTCACAATGAAATTCTTTCTTACCTAACCAAATAGAGTTATGCAGCACTCCGTCCTTGAATCCCCACGCGTCAGCCTTGCCCCACAGCAGGACAGAAAAGAAAATTAGTGCAATCATCTCTCCCGAACTATTAGCTGTAAAGATCCTCTGTTAAAACACTCAGGGTAACCTCTGCTAGCAGCTGGCTAGATTCTGCTGGAACATCTGGTAGCCAGATCTTAAATAGCGCGTTCAGCTGTGAGGTCAGCGGGGCTGCTCCAATTGTGTTTGCTCTCGTAGTATTACACAATGAAATGTGAGGTCTGGATTCGTCCATGTGACTCATTTTTGGCTCTCTTCATTCCCAGTGTGTCCAAGGAATCATTCTATCCCTAACTACTGGAGCACACATGAAAACTTTTCGAGCCAAATCTGTTCATTCTTCAGCACTCACTGTCTTCAAATTCCATAGAAAAGTAAGACTAATAACCAGTCTAGCCGCATATAATGTTTCTACTCACGTGATTTACAGAAATAAAGAGAATCACGCATCCTATTTCGCAGTCTCATTTAAACATTCTGTTCTTTCATACATAATTTGAATTTAATTTCACAGTGACCCAATCAGTTAAAAAATGTCACCACAATGTTTTGCCTTGGGTATTTGAATTCAATTTCCTCACATAAAATCTAACTGCATGTTGAACTCCTAAGTTGTTCAAGAACAGCAAAAAACTGCAAGTGCCAAAAACAGATGCTCTTTGTTATGCGAGCGGGAACTAAAGCTAAAATCTTTCCCTCCAAACCCACTTTAGGATCTGATTCATAGCATGACAGCTGTCTGCCTGTCTTCCCTTCTGGCTGAAAGTGCATCCTGCAGCTACTCCTTGGTAAGGCTGGGATGAGTGGGAGAGGAGAAAGCGGGAAGAATGAGAGTATGGAAAACTGTCTGCTGCGCCACACTCTGGAGCAGTCATTGGAGGACTCTGCTCTCCTGTTCTGATAACATCTGTAATTTCCACGTCAGGAGTTGTGGAAGAAGATACCCTTATGACCATAAGCATGATAAAGAGCACAGTCTAGACGAAATAAATGAAAAGCAAAACATGGAAAAGGAAGCATGGAGAACTCTGTGCATACTCAAAACAAACATCTGCTCTGTCATGGAGGAAGAGATTCCTCCCCAAACCAAGTTTAATGTGATGTAATAAACCCATAGCACACATACATTTATTCCTCCCACCTACAATACACACAGATGCTAAGTGAGAAGGGAAAGTTGTGGGGAAGTGCAGTCAATAACCTTTCCACTGCGTCAGACAGAAAAGCAATGCCACCCGCACCAAACCACCAGCATCTTGACCTATCTTGTTCAGCACTCACAGGTGCCAGCAAACCACTCCTTCCAGTGCAGTTGACCTAAACTTACATTCCTGGGGTACATGTGAGCACTTCTCACATCGAGGTTTGAACCTTTGGTGTGCAGCAGCAGCTGTACAACAGATGTATGTCCTATCGCTCCCAATGAAGCCGAGGTGCCCTGTGATCTCCAGGCCTGGCAGTGGGATTCCGGGGCACAAGGGACACTCTCGCTGCCCTCATGGCCGCTGTGCTAGTGAGTTCCCACAGTGGGGACGCTGGGACCAGGAACGCTGCCACCACGCTGGTCAGCAGGCTCTGCCACCCGGACCAACCCACCACATTGTACAGCTCCTCTCTCAGCAGTGCAAGAAAACGTCCACCAGACCTGGCTCATTTCACAGAGATAGAAGCCCACTATATTTCCACTTCACCCCTAGATTCCAGCATTACGTATTCTAGTTTTACTTGTTTTCTTGCTATTTTAATGCAAAGATATGATATCATGAGTCCCATTTTTTAAAGAGATTTAGCTTGACATTATTCTGCTAAAACAAGTTGCTAGAAATCTATTGCTTTCCACACATTGTTATGCAACACCTGTATCTGACCTTACCTGGGGTATGACTTGTGAAGGTGGCAGTATAACCTTTTAGAGGGGTGACGAATGAAGAAGACAGTGTCGGGAGCATTACTCTGGGTATATACCTTCATGGTGTCTTCCAGGGACCTAGAAATAATAAAGGTGAATGAGAGAAGGAATACAAAGGGAAAATGAAAATCTAACAGTAATATCATGCATCAATAAGCTAAAAAGATAAAGAATTTCTTCAGATGAGGAGAATCTCCTTAGATTGACACTGAGATAGACTGACACTAAAATCTCTCATTTTTTTCATAAAAGAGAGAATTATGTTGTGAATGTCCTTTGCACAGGTCACTTCTTCTCTCTTCTTCTTTCATTCAAATTCCTCTGAATTTGAACCTGAGTTGATAGCTCAGTGATTTTCTATCAGAAGCAGATGCCTAAACCACAGGGAGTTGTTCTGTTCTGGTGGGCAGGAGCCAACCCCATAACACCACAAAAATGTGTTAATAGTGACTAACTCATGTAAGCAAGGAGTGTATCCCATCCCGAGGTGATCTGTATTGGACAACAATGGTGAAAGGCTGGAGGCAGACACACATGCAATAATGAATAAAAGGTATTTTTTTACAAGCTGAATATTACTGTCAAAGGACTCTGTTAGAAAACATAACATATTAAATAAAGGGCATATGACAAACAATTCTGATAACAACTGTATTTGATGGTACCTCTTTTGGTATATGCAAGTCCTAATATTAATTATATATAATCTAATATATCTCTCTGGAAAGATAATTCATATAATTTCCATGTATTCATATATTTCTTTCTGGAGATTCTGGAGATTCTGTTACTACTTCCAAATAAACACAATGGCTTAGGAATCACAGAGTATCTAAAGTTAGAATGGGCTTCTGGAGGTCATCCAGGTCTGAGGTAAGGATACTGATGTCTGCCATAGTATCCTTCAAACAATTCCTCGAATGAATGAACTTGCTCCTTTATTAGAAGTTAGTAACAGTTTTACAGGATGAAGTACATGTTTAAAAGTGAAGAATAATATGGTATGCTGACTATATTGACATCTGAGGAAAAAAACTAATATTTGCTAGTGTTTTGCATTAAACATATTGCCCAGACTCAGCCTAGGCATAAATCTGTGTAGCTCTCAGTGTCAATAAAGTGATACATTCAGTCTATACATCTGGCTCCCAAGTGGGCTGGAAAGGAAAATTTTCATCTGCAAATTGTAGCAGACCTCATTAAGAAGAAAAGATTCCACAGCTGGATGCGGGCACGCTGAGACATTAATCTCACAGTATTTTCTTAAGTTTTCTTCCAAGTTTTCCGTATTTAAATATATCCCAGACATATCTTAAATGAAACATAGAGATTTTTGGTGGCCTTTCCTTAACTCTTTCCATGCCTACATATGCTAACAACCCCATTTGCCTAGTGTGTGAAGTTAATACCTAACTCAGTAGTTCTCAAGGTGGTCTGAAGGCCCCTGGCAATCCCTGACACCACAGTAATGGAGATTAATCAATTTGACTGTGGTTATATGAAAAATATGGGGACTGCTGGTCTGCTACCTGCTAGGCTGCAATGTCTATGAATTTTGTTAGCTGTCAGTCTTCCAGCCAGAAACCACAATTGCTTGGAAGGGAAAAAAATGGCAGAACAGGGAAGTATTGGGGAAAACAGTGCAAAAATAAAGTACCGTGAAAATTGATCACAATGACAGCACGGAAAAGTCATCCAGTGGCTTAATGGATGAGCCACTGGGGATGAAGGAATTTAAAGAATATCAGTAGTGTGTGCTGTGAGACAAAGCTCTTCTACATTGATTTAAATACTAAGCACCCAAACTTTTCTAGTTCTATTTTGTTAGCAAATGAAAACAAAAGCATCTGCAGCTTTTGCATACTAAGATGTATTTTAGTATAGGTAGTAAAGAATATACTACAATTATATTTTTGGTAGTTTTGACAGGCATATCAAGAATGATGTATTTAAATTGAAAGGCAAGCAGTGAAAAGCCTTTCATTAAAAGGTCTTCCAGCAAGAAACCAAAATCCCCTTGTAGAAAAAAAAAAAACTATACGGTGAAAAATGGAACAGAGAGAAGTGCAGAGAAAAAGTGGAGGGAAAGCTATCTTTTTGAAAAAAAAAGCTATTTTATTTTATTTTATTTTATTTTATTTTATTTTATTTTATTTTATTTTATTTTATTTTATTTTATTTTATTTTTCTTCTTATATTTCATTAACGGAGCTCTCAAGGTAAAAGACAAAGGATTATCCCAGACTCAAAGAAGTGCAAGGAAACCTTAAGAGTTACCATATCCTATGCTTCTTCCATATGGCAGGAATAATGACACCTACATTACTCATAGTTCCTTATCTAGCCTGTTCTTCAGAACTTCCAGTAATGAATATTCCACAGCCTCTTGGTGCTTAACTCTTCCCAATACTTTAAACATCTTCTGTAACAAAATATTTTCCATTAGTGAAAATCCTCCCTCCGGCGAGTTTTAGCCCATTGCTTTTCTCTGCTACAGCAGACTAAAGTAACTGATTCTTTACTGCCTCTTTGTAACACAAAAGTTATATCTTTAAAGACTGCTACTGTATCTCTTACGAAATAAACAGGCCCTTTTTCATCTTTCCTGTAGGTCGCATTTTCCAGACTCCTGATCACTTTTGTTCCTTTTTCCTGTATTCTTTCCCTTTGAGCTGCATCCTTCTTGAAGTGCCATATCAAAACCAAGCAGATCTCCAACAAAACACTTTTTGCAGTGCCAAATAGTACTGAACTATGGCGTATGTTTCCCAGATGACATCCTTTTTTACACAAAATCCCAGTTGGTTATTAATGAGATTAAAAAAAAAAAAAAAAACAGCAAAATTTTAAAGTATCTATTTCCTCTATCTTTTCAAAGAACATGTCTAAAGTATGTAAATGAATTCAAAATAAAAGAACTCAATGGGATTTGGTAGGCCTACCTGAATATATTAACTTGCTTTTCCAGTCTGCTTTTTTAAAAATGTATCTTCTGTTTTAGGGGAAGCTGACAAGCGTTGTGGAAATGTTGTGTTCTCCATGTTTTGGGCTAGTAAGAACTTACTTCCTGAAGAATTTATAAAACAGGTTTTCTAAGTTGTCACACAATTATTGCACTAGAGGGACA